CATCAATCATTCAGTAAAGTGGCAGGATACAAAATCAACACGCAAAAGTCAGTAGCCTTCCTATACACAAACAATAAATCTGAAGAAGAAGAAATCAAAAAACCACCCTTTTATTATCGAAACAAAAAAAATCAAATATTTGGGAATAAATCTAACAAAAGAGGTAAAGGACCTATACAAAGAAAACTATAAAACACTGTTAAAAGAATAGAAGAAGACACAAAGAAATGGAAAGACATCCCCTGCTCATGGATTGGAAGAATAAACATTATTAAAATGGCCATCCTACCAAAAGCAATATACAGATTCAATGCTATTCCAATCAAAATCTCAATGGCATTCTTCAAAGAAATAGAACAATTATTGATGAAATTCATATGGAATCACCAAAACCCCGAATAGCCAAAGCTCTACTGAAAAAAAAAGAAGGAAATGGAGGCATCACACTCCCAGACTTCAAACTATACTACAAAGCCATAATCATCAAAACTGCATGGTATTGGAACAAGAACAGACATACAGACCAATGGAATTGAATAGAAAATCCAGAAATAAACCCACAGATTTATGGTCAACTAATCTTTGACAAAGGAGCGAAGACTATGCATTGGAGCAAAGAAAGTTTGTTCAATAAATGGTGCTGGGAAAACTGGGTCGCTACATGCAAAGAATGAAGCTTGACCACTACCTCACACCATACACAAAAATCAACTCAAAATGGATTAAAGAACTAGACATAAGACCTGAAACCATAAAATACATAGAAGGAAATATAGGCGAAACACTACGGGATTTGCACATCAAAGACATCTTTACAGACACATCACCCAAAGCAGTGCTAGTGAAGAGAAAGATAAACAGCTGGGACTACATCAAATTAAAGAGCTTCTGCACAGCAAAAGAGACAATAACAAAACAAAGAGAAACCCACCAACTGGGAGAACATTTTTGCACCCAACACTAATGATAAAGGACTGATCACAAAAATCTGCAAAGAGCTGATGAGACTCAGCAACAACAAGAAAATAATCCAGTCAAAAATGGGCAGAAGAGCTAAAAAGAAACTTCTCTGAAGAGGAAATGCAAATGGCCAACAGACATATGAAAAAATGTTCAACATCACTTGTAATCAGGGAAATGCAAATCAAAACTACCATGAGATACCATCTCACACCAGTGAGAATGGCACATATTAAAAAAACTAGCAACAACAAATGTTGGCGAGGATGTGGAGAAAAAGGAACTCTTGTGCACTGTTGGTGGGAGTGCAAACTGGTCCAACCACTATGGAGAGCTGTGTGGAGATTTTTGGACCTACTAAACATAGAGCTTCCATATGATCCAGCAATTCCACTCCTAGGTATTTACCCAAAGGACACAGAAACATCAATTCCAAAGAGCACCTGCACTCCTATGTTTATAGCAGCACTGTTTACAATAGCTAAGCTTTGGAAACAACCCAAATGCCAAAAATAGATGACTGGATCAAGAAGATGTGGTACATATATACCATGGAATATTACTCAGCATTCAAAAAAGATAAACACATGCAATTTGCAGCAACATGGATGGCACTGGAAGGGATCATGCTCAGCGAAATAAGCCAAAAAGAAAAAGAAAAATACCGGATGGTCTCACTCATAGCAGGAATCTAGAAAACTTAAATAAGGGACCAGGAAAATGAATATAAGAAAGTGAAAATCAAAATCAACAAAAAAACTATGAACCAGAGACACTTTTTGGGGGGTGGGGGCGGGAGGGGAAGGATTGGGGTCAGAATGGGGCGTTTGCAATTGTATGGGGGAATATAAAAATAAAATTTAATATTTAAAAAAAAAAAAGAAATAGAAGAAGGCACAAAGAAATGGAAAGACATCCCATGCTCATGGATTGGAAGAATTAACATTATTAAAATGGCCATCCTCCCAAAAGCAATTTACAGATTTAAGGCTATCCCAGTAAAAATTCAATGACATTCTTCAAAGAAACAGAACAAATATTGATAAAATTCGTATGGAGCCACCAAAAACCCTGAATTGCCAAAGCTCTCCTGAAAAAAAATAGAATGGAATGGAGGCATTACACTCCCAGATTTTAAACTATACTACAAAGCCATAATCATCAGAACTGCATGGTATTGGAACAGGAACAGACACACGGACCAATGGAACATAATAGAAAATCCAGAAATAAACCCACAGATTTATGGTCAACTAATCTTTGACAAACGAGCAAAGAACATACAATGGAGCAAAGAAAGTTTGTTCAATAAATGGAGCTGGGAAACTGGGTCGCTACATGCAAAAGAATGAAGCTTGACTACTACCTCACATCATGCACAAAAACCAACTCAAAATGAATTAAAGAACTAGATATAAAACCTGAAACTATAAAATATACAGAAGGAAATATAGGCGAAACACTACATGACATACACCTCAGCAACATCTTTAAAGACTCATTATCCAAAGCAGTGATAGCAAAGGCAAAGATAAACTGCTGGGATTACATCAAATTAAAAAGTTTCTACACAGCAAAAGAGACAGTAGCCCAAACAAACTGACACCCAACCGACTGGGAGAAAATTTTTGCACACAACACTAATGATAAAGGACTGATCACAAAAATCTACAAAGAGCTGAAGAGACTCAACAAAAATAAAGTAAATAATCCAGTCAAAAAATGGGCAGAAGAGCTGAAAAGACATTTCTCCAAAGAGGAAATGCAAATGGCCAAGACACATACCAAAAAATGTTCAGCATCACTTGTAATCAGGGAAATGCAAATCAAAACTACAATGAGATACCATCTTACACCAGTGAGAATGGCACATATTAAAAAAACTTAGCAACAACAAATGTTGGTGAGGATGTGGAGAAAAAGGAACTCTCCGTACTGCTGGTAGGAGTGCAAACTGGTCCTACCACTATGGAAAGCTGTGTGGAGATTCCTCAACCTGCTAAAGATGGAGCTTCCATATGATCCAGCAATTCCACTCCTAGGTATTTTCCCAAAGGACACAGAATCATTAATTCCAAAAGGCACCTGAACCCCCATGTTTATAGCAGCACTATTTACAATAGCTAAGCTATGAAAACAACACAAATGCCCAAAAAGAGATGACTGGATCAAGAAGATGTGGTATATATGGAATATTACTCAGCAATCAAAGAAGATAAACTCATGCAATTTGCAGCAACATGGATGGAGCCGGTAGGGATCATGCTCAGCGAAATAAGCCAAAAAGAAAAAAAAATACCAGATGGTCTCATTCATAGCAGGAATTTAGAAAACCTAAATAAGGGACCAGGAAGAAGACTAATTACATTAAAGTAAAAATCAAAATCAACAAGCAACTACAAACCAGAGACACACTATGGGCGAGAGGAGAGGATTAGTGTCAAAATAAGAGACGTGGGAATTGTATGGGGAATATAACCAAGATGAAAATGCACACATTGTGCAAAATGAAAAATGATGTAAAAAATATATAAAATGAAATAACAGTGAGTATAATCTTCACTAAAGGTCTTATTAAGGGGGCCTCCCTGGTTGTGCAGGAGGTTGAGCGCAGCGCTGTGAAGCTGTCTGCAGCATCTGCAGTGCCGGTTCGATCCACGATGGGCTTGGAGCAACCCGCAGGGCAAGCAGACCTCTCCTGTCTCACCTCTGCTCCCCTCAGCAGTGTATTTCATCAGTCTGCCTGTTCTGTTCCCTGCTCTGTCTCTGGTGAATTCTCTCACCCTCCTGCGCATCTGGCCTGTACTCCAGTTCTTGTATAAATAAAATAAAATCTTTAAAAGAAAGAACTGTGCCTAGATAATTTTCCTTTTCTGAGAATCTATTGCCTCCAGTCTCCTGAAGTAGGAAGGATCAGTTCCCTGAGCACAGAGTACTGGTGTGGGACCTGGTAGAAGATGGCTAACTTTCAACCAGTCCTCCTCTGTTCAGTCTTCCTACATACCCTATTCACTAGACTCAATTGCTAGGAATTCAGCAATTTTCAGGGTTCCACAGCACCAATTAGGCCTTATTCCCCCATCGCTATATCACATTGCAGTTTTCTTGAACTGTAAAATCTGTCATTGTCATCTTGTTTTCCAGCTTCCAAAATATTGACACTTTCCTCTTTCCTCCTTTTCTCTGTGTGTTTTTTTTTAATCACATTTTTGAAGTGTGGATTTAGGACTGTTTTTTTTTTTTAAATCACACTTTTGAAGAAGAAATGGAGCTAAATGTGTATGGTTTTTAATCTATAACCTTCACCAAAAGTCTGATGGCTGAAAACCTCAAAATGTTACATCTCCTGAATGTTTTGGGTCTACTCCAGTTTTAATTCTAAGTTTAAAATATATAATTTGTAGTGCAATCCACTATAAAATAGTCCCTTGGAATAAACAACAGCACTGTTTGGAATGAAAAGCTTAATACCATAGGAAATTACATTTCCTGAAAATGGCCATTCTAACAGTTGAAAGTTTCTGACTGTCAAAAAGCAGGTTAAATTTGAAAATCATTTAAGTTAACAAACCAAAGCAAACTATATATTAAAAACTGATCTCCAAAGGTTCAATATGAGGGAGCAAACTGGGTTAAAGCAGGAACATGCAAGAAAAGATGAATCTCAGTGTGGAGACCATGAAAGAACCATAGGCAGACAAAGAAATACAGCTCATGTCTGGTGGAAAAACAAGGACAGACTGGGTCTCAGGACAGGATTACATGCTCCACGCTAGGCAAAAGTCATCCTACACACTTTGCATTATTATTAAGCCAGGAGATTTGAGAGGAATAAGGGATTAGGAAAAATAATCAATGTTTCAACATTCATTAACATTCATAAAAGTTGTGTTTGGTTTTCTTCTATTTTGTTTTAAACGACGACAAGCGCTTTAAACCTCCCGGAAGACATATAGTTTAATGATATATTTCAACAACATGGTAATCTTTCTATAAGCATTATATAAGAAAATATTTACTTAGAGGAAATTTCCCATTACCATTTTGGGATTATCCGTGGATGATTTCATTAGCTCCGATACAGCAAAATCTACATTTTTCAATAATTCATCATTAATTGTTTCTGAGAATAAACTATAAAAGTACTCTCCATGGGAAAAGCTGATGTTGTTTCTATGGGACACTCTCAAGGACGGCATGGACAACACTGCTTTATCCAGCAGAAGACTCACAAGGCAGTCACACTGCAAAAAGAAGAAAAGTATGATAAGGGAGTGTATGTCCTAGTATTATAGAAAGATTCCTTGGGCAGCTGTTAACTTTGAAAGTGAAAAATCATATAGCACAGATTAAAATGAGCCTGATGGTTGAAGGTCAGGTTTGAGTTTAAATTGTATATATCTCGATGATTTCCATTTCTTGAGGAAATAAATCTCCCAATTCACATTCCCTCCAAATTTCTAGAAAATCATGTTACTGCTTTAAGAGAATATTTTTAGACAATTTAAATGTGTGATTTGTTTACATTAGGTACATAAAGGGACAAAGTATAAGTTTATGCCACAGGTAAAGGGAAGATAGGTGCAATGCAGTGAACACACAGGATTGATTGGCAGATCTCAGCTATAACAGTCCTGCACAATCCAGAAAGCCATAAAAATATTTGTTGTGATGTTTCTGCAATGACCCTCCACAGGCTTTCCCCAAATCAGCCACCTAATCAATCATCAATGACAGGCCACTGCATCAACACAATCCAGCTTTATATTCCCAAAGTTGTTCATGTTCTCTGACTAAAGTCCTTTTGGAAACAAAGTGGGATAAATAAAATCTCAATTTCAGAAGAATGTTGTTCTACTTACTCAACTAAATTCCCATTTTTAGACATATTGCAAATGAATTACATATTTACATCATTAGGATAGAACAGCATGTAGCTGTTTTTCCTACCAGTCCTCCAAAAGCGAAGGCCAATTCCAGAAGTCCACTGGCCAATCGTTTACAACTGGGGTCTAGCGAAGGAAAATACTGTTCATCTCCAGGTACAATGCTTTTATAAACCAGGGAAAGAAGTTTTGTGCCAACAGGATGATGCTGATCTGTAGACTAAAATAAAGTCAACACTCTAATATTCAGCAGTAAGTCATTTTACAGAAAAACAAGTTCACACCTTTCTAGATTAAAAAAATCCATGAGAGGACCTCCCCGGTGGCGCAGCAGTTGAGCACTGGCTGCCAGCGAGGGTCCCACATGGTGCGCAGACCTCTCCTGCCGCGCCCGCTACTCCCCTCAGCAGTGTATTTCATCAGTCTGCCTGTTCTGCTCCTCTCTCTGGCTCTGGTGAATTCTCTCACCCTCCCGCACTTGACTGTACCCAGTGCTTGAATAAATAAATAAATAAATAAATAAATCTTTAAAAAAAAAAATCCATGACAGGGGCCTCTTGGTGGTCTATGATTAAGTCTCAGTGCTATCACCACTACAGCCTGAGTTCGATTCCCACCCAGAGAGTTAACCCACATATGGCATAGCAGACCTCTTCTGTCTTGCCTGCTGCTCCCCTTAGCAGGATATTTCAGTAAATCTACCTGTTTTGCTCCCTACTCTGTCTCTGATAAATCCTCTTACCCATCATACCTCTGACCTAAACCCCAGTTCTTCTTTGCAAAATTAAATTTTTAAAATCTGTGTTGGCTAACATGGACAGTTGTCTTCTAATTGTCAGAAAACTATTCACTCATCTTTGCTTTCTGTGCTCTATTTTTCATTCATGTTGAAAAACCATACAGGCAGGCATGACAGCAGCTAGTCCCTTAAGTTCTTCAGAAGGGATGGGAAATACTCAAAAATATTCTTTATGTTATACTTATAAATGTTTATACTTACCTTTATATTTGCATTCTAGGTAACACCTATGTGTCTGGAATAATTCCTATTTTAATATGCCCTTTTACATAAAGGATGCTTAATAAAGATCACAAATAATTAGCGTAATAAAGCTAAGGGCACCATAAAAACAAATTAGCTGTGATTACCTGAGATGGTATTACCACATGCAAAAATCCAGCTCTGTGAAGTTGTTTACAAGCTGACACAATGGAAGCCAGCTTGGCCCTATCGATATGAGCATCCGGGCCATACAGGTCAATGGCACAAATTTCCTCAATGCTGGCCATGTGAGTAAAACAAAAACAAAACCATATGAGTGTTGGTGCTATTAAATTATTAAGACACAGTTGGGGAAAAAACGTGTATATTTTGTTGACCCTGGAAAGCAACACATGCTGACATCAAACTAGAGGCCCACTTGCTAATCCAGTCATGGAAACTAACATGACACTAAGCTACTGCTGAGGAAGGATTCCATTAAAGTACAGGGAAGCCATTTGCTAAAGAGATGATTTTCAAACAAATGTTAAGACATTCTGCATGAAGCACCCCACTGAGGAGATCCTTTATTTTAGGAATAAGGGCTGCAGCAGTCACACAGGCAACAGCCGGAATGTGGAAGAAGCTGTGATCTTGAATTCCACCATAATAATAACCCTGAACATGATCCCAATGCCCACCTCTCTGCTGTTATTTTTTCCTTTAGGTGCATTTCTAGGAAGTCTTTGTGTAGGGACTTCTTTAGTGCTTTCATCAGGTTTACACAAACATTGGGAAGATGATCCATAACAGAAACATCACCAATGTTGAAACCTATGCTTGAGGGCTCACACACAGTTTTCACCAAGAGTGTCATAAGGTTTGTGTTATATAAATCCTTCTCGAGGAGCTGTAAAAGAGGATTTGAATAAAAACACATTAGTAATCATTTTGGTGTTTCCTATAGTATAAGGTCCATGAGGTTGGGAGTGTTTGCTTGCCTAGGCAGGGGTTGGCCTCTCTCTCCGTGAAGTGTTGGACAGTAAATATTTTAGGCTTTGAGGGCCATACAGTTTTTGTTGCAACTATGTAACTGCCTTTTAAGTGAAAGCACCCATAACAATATATGAACAAATGGGATTAAACATGTTCCAATATGGCCTTCTTTAAAAAGCAGGCAGCAGGTAGAGTCATCCCAGAATGAATTTACCAGCTAGCCATTAGCTGGACAATCCTGTGTCTCTAATATAGGCCTGGCATAAAATAGGTACTTACTCTATATCAACTGGATGAACTTAATGGAACTTGGTTTCTATAGTAAGTACAAATGTACAATAAGTACATTTATTGTACATTTATTGTAAAACAATATTTGCTAATGCATATTTCTTAAGGCAGATGTTTGATAGTATAGAATGTAGTAGCCAATAAAACATTTAGAAAAACTGTTTTGTTTTGCCACTTGCTTTCTGAAGTTCATAATAAGTTTTATTATTTTCAAATATGGGTACGCCTTTGGCAATATAAAGCACTAAGAAAATCAAAACTACTCCTAACAGATACAGTACAAGCATTTTTCTAGTATCCAGAACAGGTCTCAGGTTAAAAGAATAGTGGGAATGACCTACCTTCCAGTTTTCTGGAGAGGCACTGAGCAACGTTGTGGCAAATTCCATTATCCGGACCACAATTGTGCACTTGCCATAATTATACCTTTCTCCTTCTTCTGGGCTGGGTACATTACCTGTTACCCCAGTGCCAAAACATTTCTCTGCTGCCATAATATCATGCATGGCAATGCTTTCTAAAAAGAAAGCTACAGCATTCCAAAGACAAGGCTGTGCTTTAGAACCTAGGAAAATTACATTAAATGATAAACAAAGGCTTTTTTGTAACTCCCCTAAGAGGTATGCAAAATTCCTGTTTCAAGTGTAGGCATGATATACTTATAATCAAAATTCAAAATTTTTTAGAAAAAAGTTCAATAAAAACTGTGTAAAACGGCAGCTGTTCTTATGTCAAAATTTCAAAATTAACACAACCCAAGCAGAATTCAAAATTAGACTCATATAATAAGAATACATTTATGTATGGTTGGGTTTTGATTCTTAAACACTATTGGTGGGAATATAAATTAATGTGATCTTTCTAAAGGATAACTGGCAAATCTAACCAAAAGCTTTAGAAAACGTGCTTGTTAATTTCTTTTTTTTTATTTTTTTTAAGATTTATTTATTTATGATTACAAGAACTGGGGTACAGGCCAGAGGTGTGGGAGGTGAGAGGATTCACCAGAGACAGAGAAGGGAACAGAACAGGCAGAGAGACCGAAGTACAATGCTAAGGGGAGCAGCGGGCAAGGCAGGAGAGGTCTGCTGCCCCATGTGGGTAGCTCCCTGACTGGGATCGAACTTGCACTGCAGAGGCTGGGGACAGCTTCACAGCACTGTGCTCAACCCCTTGCGCCACCAGGGAGGCCCCTGCTTATTAATTTCTATCAAATGTTTACAAGATCATATGCTTTGATCTAGCACTGAAGTTTTATCCTTACAAAATAATGGCAGAATTGCAAAGACTTGTGTTTTAAAATGTTCATTTTAGCACTATTTTCAACAATAAAAAAAAGAAGCAATCAAAAGTCTTTTAAAGGAACAAGAGAGAGAGAAATTAAGACAGTAGTCTTCAAATAGATGTATATGGGCATTGGTCATTTTATGGAATCAATTTCAGATCAACTTCCAAATGGACATATGATTGTGCTGGTTCTTTTCCCTTATGTCCAGCTGTCCATGACTGGCCTTCTGCTGTTTAAAAAAAGAAAGAAAGATCTTTTACCTTTCCCAATTCTAACCATAATTTATTCTCCCAGCCTCCAGAGTCACCCCAAAAAGGGACAGTTGAAATACTGATATACATGTTAAAAGAGTAAATAAAGGAAATGACTAAGAAATACTTATTTTAAGAAATCTTAAAAAAAAAAAGACACAACAAGCGCTGGTGAGGATGTGGTGGAAAAGGAACCCTCTTACACTACTGGTGGGACTGCAAACTGGTCCAGCCCCCATGGAAAACAGTGTGGAGGTTCCTCAAATTACTAATAAAGCTACCAATGACCCAGCAATACCACTCCTAGGAATTTACCCCAAGAACACAAGGAAACCTGCAATTCTATGTTGCAGCACTTTTAACAGGAGTTAAGCTATGGAAACAACCTAGATACCCCAAACAGATGAATGGATCAAGAAACTGTAGTATATATACACAACGGAATAGTACTCAACATTCAAATAAGATAAACTCATACCATTTGTGGCAACATGGATGGAGCTGGAAGGGATTATACTAAATGAGTCAGTAGGAAGAAGATAAATATTAGATGGTTTCATTTACATGTGGAATATAGAGAAACCAAACAAAGGGTTAGGAAAAAGACAAAACTTGCAAGCAGACCACAGACTTGATGTAAGCATCAGGGGAAGGGGAGGGACATGGGTTCAAACAGGGGAGGGAAGAGAATAAGGGACATGGGAGAGGGATCATAGGTGCTATGGTGGTGTAAGAATTATAGGGACTACACTTGAGGAGGGAAATCATATATTGTCCAAAAATTAATAACATAAGAAAATTAATTAATAAAAATATGCATTTCACATATAATCAAATATAGCACTTGTTCTTGTGAACAAACTATTATTAATGCTAAACATGAATAAAACAAAAATAAAATACTAATCATATAATTTTACTTTTTATATATAATAGTTATCGAAATTTGTATTATACTTACATGGTGATGGTAAGCAACATAATATATCCTAACAACAAATGTAATAACACAGAAGAAACCTTTAAATATGTATTGCAAATATGTAGAAAGGATTATAAGTAAAATACTGTAAGATAAAAAATGTGAGGAATGTGGAATAGTAATAGTACTTCAAGGACTTTGCAAAATTTCCAACAAAGAAACTGTATTTTATATACACACTTCTCCAAAGAAAGCATACAAAAAGTTATCAGGCAATGAAAAAATGCTCATCATCACCAATCATCAGGAAAATGCAAATCAAAACCACAACGGGAAATCATCACACACCTGTGAGAGTGGCCCATATCAACAAGACCAGAAAACTTTAAGTGTTAACAAGGATGTAAAGAAAAAGGGGCCTTCAGACAATGTTCACGGGAATGTACACAGGTTGAACCAATATGGAAAACTGTGTGGATGTTTCTCAAATTTTAAAAATGGATTTACCATATGATATAGTAATTCTACTCCTAGGTATCTGCCCAAAGAATGCAAAAACATAAATTTGAAGGGATATGAGCACTCCTATGTTGACTACAGCTCCATTTACAATAGCCAAGTTATAGAAACAACCAAAGAGTCCAAGGACAAAGGCATGTATTAGAAAAAATGTGGTATATATACACAATGGAATACTTCTCAGCTATTAAAATAAGTGATCTCTTGCCATTTACAACATGGATGAAACTAGAGAGGTAACAGTGGTGGGAAAGCTATGGTGAGTACACTTGAGGGCAGAAATCCTATACTGTCAAGAAAAATCACTAAGGATGTAAAACAATGGTACTTCATTAAAAAAATATGCAAGTATATATGTATATGTGTGTGTATATACATATACATACATATAGCTTTATTAAAAAAGAAAAAATAAGCCCTGCTTACATTTTCCCCAGAATGACCCTAGACAGAACTGAACAAAAGTAACTAATGAGGTAGGTTTTACCTACCCAGGACTTCAGATGCCTCAAGGGTTTTCTCTTTGATGAATGTATTGTAGCACTCCAGTGCTGCCAGAAGCATGTCCATCCACTGCAGGGTAGCTCTGAGACTGAATGGTCCTCGCAAATGTAAGAGAGTTGGCTGAGCAAGGATGCCTGAGGACCAATCACAGACTCTTCCGCCCCCCTCAAATGTGTTTATAAGAAAGGAAATACCTTCTTTCTTGATAGTATCTTTCAGCCATATAGAAGGGGATTTATTGCCTTAAAAAAGAAATAAAATACATGTAAATAACTTCCATGATTAAAGACATTTACACTAATTACACTGCCTAATTAAAAATAGCATTCCTCAATAAGCAAAAATTAAAAGTCTGATAGACTAAAAATATACTCAGACCAGCAAAACACCGGCAATATCACAGTATTTCAATATTCCATAAAAGCCCCATATTAAGGATCAACCAGAACAGTGAAATTTCAAAATGATAAAGGATAATCTTGTCTTTCAACTGTAGCATTTACAACTTGTTTCACTAAAATTACTGCCAAGAAGGTATTTCTACCAAAAGCCAATCTATTTAGTTTCTTTAAATATTATAAAAATAGTTGGGTACCGTTTGAATAACTAGGCATTTCAGACTCTTCCCCTTGACTTTTTTATTAAAAATCACTGCATCCCTTTGTAAAATGGAATAATACATTTTTGTTTATTAATTTTTTATTATTTTATATATTTTCTACATCATTCTTCATTTGCATACAATGTATGCTTATCATCTCAGATACGGTCCCTGTGGAATTCGCACCACCAATTCACCCATGCACCATCACCACAGGCTCTTGTGCTCTTTCCATCCCCATTTTGATCCAACTCTCTCCTCTCCTTCTGCAGAATGCCTCTGGTTTATAGTTGCCTGTTGATTTTGATTTTTACTTTATTATAATTACTTTTTTTTTGTTTCCTTATTTGGATCCCCTACATTCCTCCTATAACTGAACTAGCCGATGTATTTCTTTTTCTTTTTGGCTTATTTCACTGACCATGATCCCTCTTGCTCCATCCATGTTGCTGCAAATGGCATGAGTTTTATCTTTTTTATATTGCTGAGTAATAATCCATGGTGTATATATACCACATCTTCTTGATCCAATCATCTATTTTGGGGCATTTGGGTTGTTTCCAAAGCTTACCTATTGTTATTAGTGCTGAAATGAACACGGGGTGCAGGTGTCCTTTTGAATTAATGTTTCTGTGTCCTTTGGGTAGATAACTAGAAGTGGAATTGCTCGATCATATGGAAGCTCCATTTTCACCAGTTTGAGGAACCTCCACACATCTTTCCATGTTGGTTGGACCTATTTGCATTCCCACCAGCCATGGAAGAGAGTTCCTTTTTCTCCACAACCTCGCCATCATTTGTTGTTGCTACTTTTTTTAATATGTGCCATTCTTACCGGTGCAAGATGGTATTTCATTACAGTTTTGATTTGCATTTCCATGATTACAAGTGATGTTGAACATTTTTTCATATGCCTGTTGGCAATTTGCATTTCCTCTTTAGAGAAGTGTCTTTTGAGCTCTTCTGCCCATTTTTTGACTGGGTTATTTACTTTGTTTTTGTTTTTGTCAGCTCTTTATAGATCTTGTGATCAGTCCCTTAATCATTAGTACTGTGTGCAAAAATTTTCTCCCCAACAGTAGGGTGTCTCTTTGTTTTGGTTAGTGTCTCTTTTGCTGTACAGAAGCCCTTTAATTTGATGTAATCCCAGATGTTTATCATTTCCTTCACTATCTTTGCTTTAGGTGATGTGTCTCTGAAGATATTACTGAGATGTATGTCATGTAGTGTTTTACCTATATTTTCTTCTATATATAAAATGGAACAATTTAGAGTTCCCATCCTGGCTATGCCACTTCCTACCTATGGTACCTGAGCCTCTCATGTGTCAGGATCCTCATTCATAAATGAGAATCCTCAAAAGTATCCACCCCTGAGGTTTTTGCAAAGATTAAATGAATTATAGTGGAAAGTGTTCAGAATAGGGGCCTCCCTGGTGGCGCAAGAGGTAAAGACACAACACTGTGAAGCAATCCATAGCCACTGCAGCACAAGTTTGATCCCCTGCCAGGGAGGTGACCCACATGGTGCAGCAGACCTTTCCTGTCTCGCCCACTGCTCCCCTCAGCAATGTATTTCAGTCAGTCTGCCTGTTCTGCTCCCCACTCTGTCTCTGGTGAATCCTCTCACCCCCTGCACCTCTGGCCTGCACCCCAGCTCTTGTATGCATAAATAAATAAATCTTTTTTAAAAAAAGTATTCAGAATAGTGTCTACCAAACAGCAAGTATAGTGAGGATTAAACAAAGGTGTCAAATGATGTGTTTTTTAAAAAATATTTTTCTAAGGAACTCTCCTGCACTGCTGGTGGGAATGCAAACTGGTCCAACCACTATGGAAAGCTGTGTGGAGATTCCTCAACCTACTAAAGATAGAGCTTCCATATGATCCAGCAATTCCACTCCTAGGTATTTACCCAAAGGACACAGAAACATTAATTCCAAAGGGCACCTGCACCCCTATGTTTATAGCAGTACTATTTACAATAGTAAGCTTTGGAAACAACCCACATACCTAAAAATAGATGACTGGATCAAGAAGATGTGGTACATATACACCATGGAATATTACTCAGCAATCAAAAAGATAAACTCATGCAATTTCCAGCAACATGGATGGAGCTGGAAGGGCTCATGGTCAATGAAATAAGCCAGAAAGAAAAAGAAAAATACCGGATGGTCTCACTCATAGCAGGAATCTAGAAAACCTAAATAAGGGACCAGGAAAAAGAATAGCTATAAGAAAGAAAAAATCCAAATCAACAAACAACTGTGAACCAGAGACACACTATGGGGGTGGGCAGGGAAAGAGGGATTGGGGTCAAAATAAGGGGGTTGCAATTGTATGGGGAATATAAAAATAAAATTTTTAAAAAATTTTAAAAAAAGATAAAAAATATTTTTCTTTCAAGTATTATAGAAAGAAAGGACACAGAACAATCAAAAAAGGAGCAAAAGACCTATAATAGCCATGTCTCCTATGGAGACATACAGAACTCCAAAGGCCCATGAAAAAATATTCAACATCACTCATTACCAAATAAATGCATATCAAAACCACAATGGGTTCTCACCACAAACTTGTGAGAATGGCTTATATCAAAAACAAAACAAAACAAGTGTTGGAGAGGGTGTGGAGAAATAGGACATTTATTCAACATTGCTGGAAGACAATAACTGGATGGTTTCTATCATTTTTAGACTACAAATAACCAAAGGAAGTAAACTACCAAACACAACAAAAAATATCTCAGACTCTGTTAAAAATATGATGGTTATCAAAGAGGACAGGTGTGGAGGAGAAAAGTGGGGGGTAGAGTGGGTAAATATGATGGTATAGTGGCACCTGAGCACTTGTGAAGGTAGGAATCTGTATACCTGAATTTACATAGTTTTATAAACAAATGGTAAATCAATAAAATAAGATTTTTAGGACTCCCTGGTGGTGCAAAGGGTTAAGACGCAACCTATGAAGCTATATACAGCCTCTGCAGCACGAGTTCGATCCCTGGCCGGCAAGGGAGCAACCCACATGGTGCAGCTGACCTCTCCTGACTCACCCGCTGCTCCCCTCAGCAGTGTACTTCAGTCAATCTACCTGTTCTGTTCCCCACTCTGTCTCTGATGAATCCTCTCACTCCCACACCTCTGGCCTATACCCCCATTCTTGTATGCATAAATAAATACTTAAAAAAATTAAAAAATAAGAATTTTTTTTAAAAAAGGACACAGAAGAACAGATCTGAAAAAAGAACAACACAGAGAAATATGAGGAAGAAAAGAGACCCCAGATGTGGTGGAAAGCACTCTGAGAAGACTGGGAATCTGCTCACCCCTACTTCTTTTTAGCCTCATCATCATCACTACGGATGTGAGTCTCTTGGTCATATCTGCTATAGCTTTCATGTGCCAAGTTCCCATCATTGAGTGCTAGCATTCAGGAGTCCCTAACATGTTACAGGGCACACCTGCACTTGTCAGATGCCACACTAAACACGTAAATGGGTGTTCCAGTATCCTGTACCCACACTCCTTCTGGATAAAAGATTGCTTACATAAAGAGACTCCTGTCACTAACACTTAAAAACCATTGTGGAAAAAGATATCAAGAGGTTGAGGACATAGAAGAAGTAAGTCAAGGAGAGCTTGTTAATTTTATACAAATTATATGATGGTAGAATGGCAAGGTTCACTGTTTTCCTTTAGTATCACAATGATGTGAAATACTCAGACAAGAGTTTAGCAATTTATTAATTACATGTTAAAATAGAACAAATGCATTATTTCAATAATATCAAATTTCTGAGTCTTAAGTGAATTTCATTTTTCTTTACCTCTTTTAAATGAAACAGAAAAGCAAAAAATGTAGTGGAATGAAATATGATACTAAGAAATCTCAATTGATTTCCTCTATAATCTGACTAAGAAATTTTTTTACAAAGATCAAAATAGCATTTTTTTCTCCTCTCTCATCACTGGTCTTCAATATAATAATGGAAGTCCCACCCAGAACAACAAGGCCAAAGAAATATATACAAGGAATTCAAATAGGGAAATAAGAAGTAAAACTATCACTACTTGCAAACGATATGAAAATATACATAGAGAACCCCAAAAACTCCACAGAAAAACTAATCAAAATAATCAACCAGTTTAGTAAAGTAGCAGGATAAAAAATCAACACAAAAATCTGTAGCCTTCCTATATACAAACAATCAAACCTGCAGAAGAAATCAAGAAAACCACCCTTTTATAATTGAAACAAAAAAAAAAAATCAATTACTTTGGAATACACCTAACAAAAGAGGCAAAGGATCTATACAAAGAAAATTACAAAACATTGTTAAAAGAAACAGAAGAAGACACAAAGAAATGGAAAGATATCCCCTGCTCATAGATTGGGAAAATTAACATTATTAAAATAGCCATCCTACCAAAAGCCATTTACAGATTCAATGCTATTTCAATGACATTCTTCAAAGAAACAGAACAAATACTGATGAAATTCATGATGAAATTGTGAATAGCCAAAGCCCTACTGATGAAAACAACGGAGAATAGAGGTATTATTTTTCCAAACTTCAAACTACATTACAAAGCCATAATAATTAAAAGAGTATGGCACTGGAATAAAAACATACACACAGACAAATAAAATCAAATAGAGAGCCCAGAAATAAAGCCACACTTATATGGACAACTAATCTTTGTCAAGGAGCAAAGAACATGCAATGGAACATGGACAGTTTGTTCAATAAATGGTGCTGGGAAAACTGGACCACCACATGCAAAAGAATAAACTAGACCACTGCCTCACACCATGCACAAAAATCAACTCAAAATGGGTAAAAGATATGGACATAAGACCTGAAACCATAAAATATATAGAAGAAAATACAGTTAAAACACTACTAGACATAATCTCAGTAACATCTTTAAAGACTCATCCCCCAAAGCAAAGAAAGTGAAGGAAAAGATTATCACCTGGGATTACATCAAACTGAAAAGCTTCTGTACAGTAAAGGTGACATTAACCAAAACAAAGAGATACCCCACTGACTGGTAAGAAATCTTTGCCCTCCATACAACTGATAAGGGGCTGATCACAAAGATATACAAATAACTCACATGACTCAACAAAAACAAAGTAAACAATCCCTTCAAGAAATGGGCAGAAGAACTTAAAAGACACTTCTCCAAAGAGAAAATGCAAGTACCCAACAGGCATATGAAAAAATGCTCAACATCCCTTATAATCAGGAAAATTGAAATATAAACCACACTGAGATACCACCTTACACCAGTGAGAATGGCACATATCAAAAAACTAACAACAAATGTTGGCAAGGATGTGGTGAAAAAGGAACTCTCCTACATTGCTGGTGGGAGGACAAACTAGTCCAACTCTGTGTGGAAAGCTGTATGTCTACTAAAAATGGAGCTACCATCGACCCAGCAATTCCACTCCTAGGGATTTACCCAAAGGACACAAAAACAATGATTCAGAAAAACATCTGTATTCCTATGTTTATTGCAGCACTATTTGTAATAGGTATGCTATGTAAACAACCCAAATGCCCAAAAATAGATGACTGGATCAAGAAAATGTGTTATATATACACAACAGAAGACTATTCAGCAATCAAAAAAGATATACTCATGCCATTTGCTGAATTATGGATGGAGCTAGAATGAATTATGCTAAGTGAAATAAGTCAGAAGGAAAAAGAAAAATATCGGATGGTTTCACTTATAGGAGGAATATAGGGAAACCAAATAAGACATCAGGGAAAAAAAAAGAATAATACAAAACAAAACAAGAACAAACAAACAATTATAAACCAGAAACTTCCTGCAGGGGAGGAGGACGGAGAGGGATTGAGGGAGGGAAGGCGGAGCACAGGGGACTATGGTGATGATGCATGGGTGCATTGGTGAAGGAAATTCTGTGGGGACTACACTGGGGTGGGGGGAAGCAAACATTGTTTAAAAATGACAATGATGTAAAAAAATATATAAATAAAAAGAAAATTTCTTAAAAATAGCATTTTTTTCTTTCCTTCTGAAAGTCCTTGAGAAATGTCTATCATTTGTCATACAAATTATCTGTAATGATTATTGAACATACTAATTTTTTTGTATCTGAAACATATTTGTAACATTCATCTGAATAATGGCAAGATCACATTTTAAATTAGGGTTAGAAGACTGATAAAAGCAGAATCCATCACTTATAAGGCCTAAAGATCACAAAGAACACCATACCTGGCAACAAAGGAACAAATTTATAAAAGAGTTCTATGGATTTATGTCTACATTCTGTCTGGGGTCTCCCACAATGGGCTAAAAGCCACTGGACGAGATTCAGCAAACACAATGGCTCCGCAGAAGGAAATCCTCTATATGGAGATAACACATCATAATTAATAAATGCTGCAACACTGAACATTTAACTGACCCCAGACTACAGAAATCAGAGATTCAATTTTGCCACACTAGTACATTGTATAAACCTCACTAAGAGGCATTCAATTTGTTAGTAATGTATTATCATTAGAATGCAATCAAAATGTTATAGGTTAAATCAATCCTAATTGCTCCTTACCTTCATTCATTTGTTTTTTTACCAAGAAAAATTTAAAAGCATTTCTTAAAAGAACAGCACCAAGTATTTTCATGTTTATTTTTCAAAGTACCTTAAAACAAAAGGGGGGTTGAAATCTAAAGTGGTGTTCCTCAAATTGTGGCCCCCAGACTAACTACATCAACATCATCTGTGAATTGGGCAGAAAGGCAAAATCTGGGCCTCGTCTTCCTCAGATCTACTGAAACAAATTTTGAGGGCAGGCCCAGCAACCTATGCTTTAACTACACCTCTAAGGAATCCTGATGCATGCTCAATTAATGGTAGAACATGAAAGAATCAATTTTAAACAACAGAGGAAATATCCAGTTTACGTTGAGTCAATGCTTCTGCAAAAATGTTGCCAATAGCAGAAACCAGAGTGCCCTAGGACTGAGTGCAGAGGCCCAGAAGGACTGAAGTACAACATCCCCTCATCCTGTCTGAGAACGAAACCTGCTACGGTAGAAATGAGAACAAAGACTGGAAACAACTGGTTAATAATCAAGCCTTGATTTTGAGCAGCTTCATTTCAAAATTCTATCATGACATGTGTATCAAAATCTTACCACTTTGATGTTTCAGTTCTTACTGATTTCAAGTTATTATCTATTAGTTCATAAATGCTCTAGTCAAATAATTCCACATCAAATTTTTATTCAAAATTAGTGCAGGTAAAAAAGTGTCTTAGTTACAAAACTAATTTTGAAATTGAGTCCACTATCCCAATCAAGGTCAAACTTGTAACTTGAACTAAGCATTTTCAAACATAAAGCTTTCAAACTTCTTTGGAAATTCCTTGTATAGAAAATGAATTCTTTATTACTTCCACACATTCCTCCTAGATTCTCCTTTATTAGCTGAAAATCAGTTTTATGTCAGGAAAATAATGGAAAAGAAAGTCGTATCACCTACCGTGGCGTACGACGTTTTATGGCAGTGTTTAAAGAAATGTGCTTCTTTTCAATAATGCGGCTTAGGTGGTCAATGGTGTCACAACATTGTTGAATTGTACCTGTATTCAAATATAAAAATATATTTTCAAAGATCTAAAACTGACTATTCACAAGTTAGTATTATAAGTTTATTGGCTTAGCTTTTAAATTTTAAAGATCATTTTACAAGAGAGTTGATATCTTCTCACCCCTCAAAATACAAATTATTCTATGTCCAAAAACAAAACCTGTATTTAAGAGTGCAGGACAACATGGTTTCCATGCATACATTCACATTCACACACACAGCAGTACCACATTTCAAGGGAAACTGTCCATCTGCTCCCTTAGTAAAAGCACAGTCTCACCTAACAGGTTTGAGATGAGAGACTTTGCAGTAACACAAAGCCCACTTACTGACCAAAACTTGTATACCTCAATTTAAGGCTAGTCATTCATACATCTAGGTATGTAAGCTAAAGTATAAATGCTACAATGACGCAAGCCAGCTTCCATGAAGACACAAAATGTGAAAATGTGTAGGTTATAAATGGTAAAGAAAGCTGAAAAAATAACTATTTACCATGTGGTAAATGTCTCTGAATTCACTAGCAACAATTTAGAAAGTAGAAAATAGGTCTCTTTACAAGATTATGGAAAGTAATTTTGGTCATACTTTTTTTTTAATATTTATTTATTTATGAATACAAGAACTGGGGTACAGGACAAAGGTGTGGAGCGTGAGAGGATTCACCAGACACAGAATGGGGAATAGAACAGGCACACTGACTGAAATACACTGCTGAGGGGGGCAGTTGGCAAGTCAGGAGAGGTCTGCTGAGCCATGTGGCTGGGGATCAAACTCGCGCTGCAGTGGCTGCAGACAGCTTCATAGGTTGCATCTTAACCTCTTGTGCCAGGGAAGCCCAATTTTGGCCATAATTAAGAAATAGTAAGATTCTACACAATGAAGTCAGTAAAATCTGAGTTTAAAAAGAAATAATGAAAAGAAATTAAGCCACTAGAGGAGAACAGAAATAAAACAGTGAAATAATCCACAAATGCACAGGGTGATTTAGAAAAGGAACTTTACACAACTTATTTTGACTGCTGTTACTGAGAAATTGTTTTCTATGCTTTTTAAATATTACAGTAATTTTGAATAAAGTTTCACTTGTTGGGAAAGTTCACTAATATGGGATGCCAAGATAAAGCAACTTAAAGACAAGAACTAAATTTTAAATATTTTTGCCCACAGTAGGCTACCAACATGAAGGATAACACAGTTCAACCGATCTATTAAAAAAATAAACAGAGGGGCCTCCTGGTGGCGCAGGGATTAAAGAACTCAGCGCTATCCAGCTATCACAGCCACTGCAGCATGAGTTCAATTCCCAGCCAGGGAGCTAGCCCACAGAGTGCAGCAGACCTCTCCTGTCTCACCTGCTGCTCCCCTCGGCAGTATATTTCAGTAGATCCTCCTGTTCTGCTCCCCACTCAGTCTCTGGTGAATCCCCTCATCCTCGGCACCTCTGGCCTATACCCCAACTCTTGTATGCATAAAAATAAATAAAATCTTCAAAAAAAAATTCCATGATATTCCTAATTGCTTCTGAGTAGAATTATAAAAACTACTGTTTATTACTCTTTTAGCTACTTTAGCCCATTTCTGACTTAATTTCTTTTCTAAACTCAAATTTTACCGACTTAACATTCATGGTGGGTAGAATCTTACTATTTCTTAAGTATGGCCAAAATTACTTTCCATAATCTTGTAATGAGACCTACTTCCTACTTTCTAAATAACTACTAGTAAGTTCAGAGACATTTACCTCATCTCAATGGTTATTTTTTTAGCTTTCCTTACCATTTATAACCTATACATTTTCACATTTTGTGTCTTCATGGAAGCTGGCTTGCTTCATTGTAGCATCATAATAAAATTGTCCCACCTGCTCTGTGAAGAATCTCTGACCTACCAGGAGGTAACCTCAGTGGCCACCAAAGGTTGATGGGGAATCTACTTGAGGAGGAGGACATAGAACCTCTTACAAACTGGATATGATATTCTGGAGGTGCATATGTCCCCTTCCCATTTATCACCACAAAGGGCAGGCATAAGAAAATAATAAACCAGCTTATGAGAGATTATCTGAGGCTTGTCCTCTGAGTGGAAAAGTTCTCAAAAACTTGGCAAACAAGATGATATTCAAACAGAAAGCTTGGGTAAGACCTACCTAAGGATTTCTCATCTGCATGTGCTAAGGCCAGACTTTCCATATATGTAACCAAGGCTTCAAACACAAACTGTTCAACCAGAGACTCTTCTTCCCTGTAAAACAGAGAATACTGAGCTTCACCAAAGAAAACAATAAGGCAGAGATAATAAGAATATTATTAAAGAATGCACACATTAATTATATGTTTTTAAAAACGGATCAAATACTTTAAAATCTAAGACAACCAAGATACTTCTTAAACAAGAAAACTTCAAAAGCAAGCAAAGACTACATAAATCGAAAGGGCAATGCGGGCTTTTTCTCTGTACACTATACCCTTCCTCCTCTTTCATCTGTGGAAATTCTCAGAGCACATAACTTTAGAAGCACTGTTGTGCCACATTTCCACACACCTCATTAAAATTGAATGTAGTAGAAAAGAACAATGATACCACATTTATATTCTTTTGAATAATTTTTAACATTTGCAACCTATTCAAAAATAAGTCAACACCAACAGTAAAATTTATACAAGCACATCTCATACATGTAAATAATTAATCCAATCAATGATATCTGTGGACCATCTACTTATATAAAGTCATAGGGAGACCAATGACAAAGACCAGATCTCTTACGGAAAAACGAGTTCCTTAGTAACCAAGACAGCAAGTCATTAAATACAAAACAACAAATATAGGTATTAAATCTCATAGGAATTCAGAGAAAACTATGAGTCAGTAATTCTAATTGTGCCATGAATCATGGCACCACCCAGTGCAGAAAGGAGCAGCTTCCTAGAACAAACAGAATTCAACAAGATACTGGAGAACTGAAATGAATTACAACACTAATGGCAAACTGCTATTTAGGATTACTATCTTTTCTTTTCTTTTTTTTTAATTTGAATCCCAGGAGGGGTAGGGTGTCTCAGATTTCCATAAACCCATTCTACCCCAGTCATGCATACCGAGATTTGACACCAAAAATTAAAGGTATTGCCAAAAATGTATGGTATGAGCAAAAATATGGAAGCAAAATGGAAAACAGGTCATTAAGCAAACCAGCAAAACTAGAAGTAATTTGTGATAAAACTACAGGAGCTGACTGTTGCAAGATGGGGAGTTGCAAGATAGGGACCTCAAGATACGCCAGTGGAACAGAGAGAGGGTGAGGTCTGCAGATGCAGGTGAGCAGAAAAGTGTATGCAGAGCGAGGCCCCCACACCCACCCACAATCTGGAATCGAGTAGACGCCACTGGGCAGGATCTTCCAACAGGGGGAACAGTGAGCACCAGGAGTGAGCGCAGCCCCTGCACCATTGTTGCAAGATGGGAAGTTACAAGACAGGGACCTCACATTAGCCCCATGAAAATGAGAGAGGGAAGGCTCTGCAAAGGAAGTCAGGGACCCCACAATGCCCCTCTGGAACTGAATAAACACAGAAGGTGGGGTTCTTCAGGGACAGCACCCATCAACATATCCACAGCATCATTGCCCTTGTGGAGTTTAGTGTAACAGTGCTGGACTTGGTCTGGCCACCAGTTCCTGACAACCCAGAAGGAGCACACCAAAAAGATTCCTGCCAGTACCAGCAGCACAGTGTCCCAAAGCATAGAACAAATTAGAAAACAAACAACAGGGAGAAGGAAAAATACAAATAACCAAGCAAGCCCTCAGGGGAAGGTCAATAGAACTCAACAACAATGACATGGAAGAACTTCTTTGCCTGCCAGATAGAAAATTTAAAATCATCATGATTAAAAATTATAAAGATAACGAAAAGGAAAAGAATGATATGAGAAAAATAATTAATGAACTGAAGAATGAAATTGAGTCCCTGAAGAAGGAAATGAAAGAAATGCAGGAGATTAAAAGTTTAATGGAGGGGGCCTCCGCTGGTGGCGCAGCGGTTGAGCGCTGGGCTGCAAAGCTGCCTGCAGCCTCTGCAGCACCGGTTCAATCCCTGGCCGCTGGTGAGGGTCCCACATGGCACGCAGATCTCTCCTGCCATGCCTGCTGCTCCCCTCAACAGTGTATTTCGTCAGTCTGCCTGTTCTGTTCCCGGCTCTGGCTCTGGTGAATTCTCTCACGCTACCTCGCTTTTGACTGTACCCAGTGCTTGTATAAATAAATAAATAAATCTTAAAAAAAAAAGTTTAATAGAGGGGGCCTCCCTGGTAGTGCAGGCGGTTGAGCACAGCACTGTAAAGCTGTCCGCAGCCTCTGCAGTGTGGGTTTGATCCTGACCAGCCTGGGAGATACCCACATGGTGCAGCAGACCTCTCCTGTCTCACCCGCTGCTCACCTAGCAGTGTATTTCAGTCAGTTTGCCAGTTCTGTTCTGTGCTCTGTCTCTGGTGAATCCTCTCACCCTCCCACACATCTGGCCTGTACCCCGGGTCTTGTATACATGAATAAATAAATCTTAAAAAAAAAGTTTAATGGAGGAACTAAAAAATTCTGAGAAAAGCAACGAAAACAGAACTGATAAAATGGAAGAATAGATCAGTACTCTCAGAGATACAGAAATAAAGAGCCAAGAAAGAAAAGGAAAGAGAAGCACAAAAGAAAAAGAATGAAGAAACACTTCGAGAACTATCCGACACCATGAAGAAAGGAAATAAAAGAGTTACAAGAATCCCAGAAAGTGAGGAGAGAGGCCAAGGAACCAAGAAACTATTCAAGGAGATAATCGAAGAGAACTTCCCAAGCATGAAGAAGGGGATAAAAACAGACATACAAAAAGTGAGAAGAACACCAAATAACCACAATGAAAAGAAAACTATATTAAGACACATAACATAATAGTAAAGATTTCAACAGTCCAAGGCAAGGAAAAAATAGTGAAGCTCACTGGGGAAAGAAAAAGATAACCTATAAAGGAAAACCAATTAGGCCGATATCAGACTTCTAAGAAACACTACAGGCAAAAAGAAAATGAAGTAATATATTCAACAAACTCCAGGACAAAAATGCCAACCAAGAATACTACACCCTGGGCCTCCCAGGTGGCGCAGCGGTTGAGCGCTGGGTTGCAAAGCTGCCTGCAGCCTCTGCAGCGCCGGTTCGATCCCCGGCTGCTCCCCGGCCACCGGAGGAGGGTCCCGCATGGCACGCGGACCTCGCCTGCAGCCCGCTGCTCCCCTCAGCAGTGTGCTTCGGTCCTTCTGCCTGCTCTGCTCCCCACTCTGGCTCTGGTGAATTCTCTCACCCTCCCGCGCTTCTGAATGTACCCAATGCGTGTATAAAATAAATAAATCTTTTTTTAAAAAAAAAAAGAATACTATACCCTACAAAGCTATCTTTCCTCTATGAAGAAAAAATAAGGACTGTCTCAGACAAACAGAAACTCCAGAAATTCATTACAACTAAACTCCTACTCCAAAAAATACTACAAAAAATGCCCTAACGTCAATGAGTAAGAAGAGAATAGGCAAGGAATAAAATCACAAAAACACAAAGTGGCAAATACAGATGCCAATATATCAATATTATCTCCAAATGTAAATGGACTAAACTCATCAATAAAAAGACACAGAGTTGGGCCTCCCTGGTGGTGCAGGCGGTTGAGTGCAGTGCTGTGAGGCTGTTCGCAGCCTCTGCAGTGCCGGTTTGATCCCCGCGGGCCTCGGAGCAACCCACCTGGCGAGCAGACCTCTCCTGTCTCGCCCACTGCTCCCCTCAGCAGTGTATTTTGTCAGTCTGTCTGGTCTGTTCCCCACTCTGTCTCTGGCGAATCCTCTCACCCTTCTGCGCATCTGGATTGTACCCCAGCTCTTGTATAAATAAAATAAATCTTTAAAAAAAAAAAAAAGATACAGAGTAGCAGGTTGGATCAAAAAACAAAATCCAACCTTCTGCTGTTTCCAGGACACACATTTAACTACAAAAGGTAAATACAGACTGAAAGTAAAAGGTTGGAAAACAATCCTACAAGCAAATGGAACAAAAAAGAAGGCAGGAACATCTATACTTGTATCAGATGAAATAGACTTCAAACTAAAAAAGGGGAAGAGACACAGACACTACATTATGATTAAGGGGACATACACCAGGAAGATATAACACTCATTATCATATACTCACCAAATGAAGTAGCACCAAAATATATGACAATTGCTATCAGATCTGAAAACAGACATTAGTGAAAATACATATATAGTGGGAGACTTCAGCACCCCACTCTCACCAATGGACAGATCAACAAGACAAAAAACAAACAAGGGACCATAGTAATGGTGCACAGGTGAATTGGTGGCAGAAATTCTATGGGGACTATACCTGAGAAAAAAAAATCAAACATTGTGGGAAAAAAAAAAAAAGAATGATTTAAAACATATTTGAATAAATAAATTATTTTTTAAAAAATCACTACAGGAGCTAGGGCTAAAATGTAGAAGCTTTAGAAGGCCAACATTATATATAATGGTTTTTACCTCAGGCACAAGTATCAGCTAAAGTAGATAAAAAAAGAAACGACATGACAGACAATCCTCTGAAACTGCGCTCCCTATACAACATAACTCATTAGAATGCAGAAAGGAAACATCAGGCTTGTATTTATATTACTCATTATGCAAGTTTTAAAAAATTATTTCTCATGCACATTTTCTCAAAAAGCCATTTGGGATGTGGTCCAATAAATGAGATACTGAAGAAAGAGACAGAGGAAAAGGAAATCAAAGATAATCACAAGAAAGAAGAGAAAGGTGCACCGATGAGAAGAATCAGAGACACAGACAAGGAAGGGATTAGGAAGCCAAGAATAGAGCTGCTGAGAGCTGTCTCCATCAAGATACTACAGGGTAGGCTTTCAACCTAGAGAGAAGGTCTATTCTAAGTTTTCATAACTTAGTCTACCATAATGATGGACTTGACATTCTTCTCCCATCCATATTTGCTTTCTAGACTGTGTACATTTACCCAACAAGATAAGTTTACTTTGACCTCCTAACAGATGGGGGAAGGCCACTGGAAACTGAGAAGGAGAAATTAAAGGGTAGTTCACACTCTCTGATGATTATTTCTTCTAAATGTTAGCTGCTAGCCAACTTCGCAATTCTGGAGAGCTCTGCTTCCCAGGACTAACAATGGACATTGTCAATCTAATTTCTTGAAATGGGCTCCTGTAATCTCTTAGGGAAGAACGAAACCTGTCTCCACCCAGCCAAGTCTCCCAGGATCCTTCTGCTACCAGTGAAAACAGTAACCCTTCACTATACAGCTGTGTTTCTAATTCCTATCTGCTTTCCAAAATGCAAAAAGCATACTGTTTAGGGCACATACACAGATAAAGAAATTACAAAAAAGGCAAGAAAACAACTAACATAATGGGGAGGAGAATGATTACCACAGGATAGGGGAGGTTCTAAAATATTGATAATGTTCTATTTCTTAAACTAGTTATTGGGCTTCAGGAACTATATTATTACTATTCTAAAAGCTTTATACATATGTTTTACACAATATTGTACATATATGTTTCACAATTTAAAATTTTCTTGAAAATATTAGTGTAATGTTGGCTTCATAGAACGTGTTTGGTATTATCCCTTACTTCTCAATTTTTTGGAAGAGTTTGTGGAGGATAGGCACTAATTTGTTTCTTAATGTTTGGTAGAATTCATTTGTAAATCCATCAGGTCCTGGGCTTCTGTTTTTGGGGAGGTTTTTGATTATCATTTCAATTTCGCTGCTTGTAATTGGTCTGTTTAGGTGTTCTATTTCTTCTTTATCTAGCTTTGGGTGATTGTAGAGTTGTAGGAATTTGTCCATCTCCTCTAGATTGTTGAACTTGTTTCCATATAACTGTTCATAGTAGTTACTGATAATTCTTTTGATTTCTGCTGTGTCCGTTGTGATTTCTCCTCTTTCATTGATGATCCTGTTTATTTGTGCTTTCTCCCTTTTTTCCTTTGTGAGCCTGGCTAGAGGTTTGTCTATTTTATTGATTTTTTTCAAAGAACCAACTCTTGGTTTCATTGATCATTTGGATTGTTTTTTTTTAGTTTCAATTTCATTTATTTCTGCTTTGGTTTTTATTATTTCTTTTCTTCTACTGGTTTTGGGGTTTTTTTGTTGTTCTTTTTCTAGATCTTTGAGCTTCGAGATTAGGTTGTTTCTTTGAGTTCTTTCTTGTTTCTTGATGTGAGCTTCTATTGCTATATATTTTCCTCTTATTACTGCTTTTGCTGCATCCCATACCAAAACCGAACAAGGACAATACAAAAAAGGAAAACTACAGGCCAATCTCCCTAATGAACACTGATGCAAAAATCCTCAGTAAAATTTTAGCTATCAGAATCCAACAATGTATCCATAAGATAATTCACCAGGACCAAGTAGGATTCATTTCAGGGACAAAAGGATGGTTCAACATCCGAAAATCAATCAACGTTATCCAACACATCAACAAAAAGAAATATAAAAACCATATGATAATATCAATAGATGCTGAGAAAGCTTTCGACAAAGTGCAACACCCATTCATGATAAAAGTCCTTGAAATTCTTGGGATACAAGGAACATACCTCAACATCATAAAGGCCATCTATGACAAGCCAACAGCCAGTATCATTCTCAATGGTGAAAAGCTGAAAGCAATTCCATTAAGATCTGGAACAAGACAAGGATGTCCACTCTCACCACTGCTTTTCAATATAATACTGGAAGTCCTAGCCAGAGTAATAAGACAAAAGAAAGACATACAAGGAATCCAAATAGGAAAAGAAGAAGTCAAACTATCACTATTTGCAGATGATATGATAATATACATAGAGAACCCCAAAAACTCCACAGAAAAACTAATTCAACTCATCAATCAGTTCAGGAAAGTGGAGGGATACAAAATCAACACGCAAAAGTCAGTAGCCTTCCTATACACAAACAATAAATCTGAAGAAGAAGAAATAAAAAAAAAACATCCCTTTTATAATTGAAACAAAAAAATCAAATATTTGGGAATAAATCTAACAAAAGAGGTAAAGGACCTATACAAAGAAAACTATAAAACACTGTTAAAAGAAATAGAAGAAGACACAAAGAAATGGAAAGACATCCCCTGTTCATGGATTGGAAGAATAAACATTATTAAAATGGCCATCCTTCCAAAAGCAATATACAGATTCAATGCTATTCCAATCAAAATTTCAATGTCATTCTTCAAAGAAATAGAACAATTAATGATGAAATTCATATGGAATCACAAAAAACCCCGAATAGCCAAAGCTCTCCTGAAAAAAAAAGAAGGGAATGGAGGCATCACACGCCCAGACTTCAAACTATACTACAAAGCCATAATCTTCAAAACCGCATGGTATTGGAACAAGAACAGACATTCAGACCAATGGAATCGAACAGAAAATCCAGAAATAAACACACAGATTTATGGTCAACTAATCTTTGAAAAAGGAGCAAAGACTATGAATTGGAGCAAAGAAAGTTTGTTCAATAAATGGTGCTGGGAAAACTGGGTCGCTACATGCAAAAGAATGAAGCTTGACCACTACCTCACACCATGCACAAAAATCAACTCAAAATGGATTAAAGAACTAGACATAAGTCCTGAAACCATAAAATACATAGAAGGAAATATAGGCGAAACACTACGTGATTTGCACATCAAAGACATCTTTACAGACACATCACCCAAAGCAGTGATAGTGAAGGCAAAGATAAACAGCTGGGACTACATCAAATTAAAGAGCTTCTGCACAGCAAAAGAGACAATAACAAAAACAAAGAGAAACCCCACCAACTGGGAGAACATTTTTGCACACAACACTGATGATAAAGGACTGATCACAAAAACCTGAAAAGAGCTGATGAGACTCAACAACAACAAAGAAAATAATCCAGTGAAAAAATGGGCAGAAGAACTAAAAAGAAACTTCTCTGAAGAGGAAATGCAAATGGCCAACAGGCATCTGAAAAAATGTTCAACATCATGTGTAATCAGGGAAATGCAAATCAAAACTACCATGAGATACCATCTTACACCAGTGAGAATGGCACATATTAAAAAAACTAGCAACAACAAATGTTGGCGAGGGTGTGGAGAAAAAGGAACTCTTCTGCATTGTTGGTGGGAGTGCAAACTGGTCCAACCACTATGGAGAGCTGTGTGGAGATTTCTGGACCTACTAAAAATAGAGCTTCCATATGATCCAGCAATTCCACTCCTAGGTATTTACCCAAAGGACACAGAAACATCAATTCCAAAGAACACCTGCACCCCTATGTTTATAGCAGCACTGTTTACAATAGCTAAGCTTTGGAAACAGCCCAAATGCCCAAAAATAGATGACTGGATCAAGAAGATGTGGTACATATATACCATGGAATATTACTCAGCCTTCAAAAAAGATAAACACATGCAATTTGCAGCAACATGGATGGCGCTGGAAGGGATCATGCGCAGCGAAATAAGCCAGAAAGAAAAAGAAAAATACCGGATGGTCTCACTCATAGCAGGAATCTAGAAAACTTAAATAAGGGACCAGGAAAAGGAATAATTATAAGAAAGTGAAAATCAAAATCAACAAAAAACTATGAACCAGAGACACTTTTTGGGGTTGGGGGTCGGGAGGGGAGGGACTGGGGTCAGAATGGGGGGGTTGCAATTGTATGGGGAATATAAAAATAAAATTTATTATTTAAAAAAATAATTTTCTTGAAAATAATGTACTAGCATCAAATGCTACCAATTTTCAGACATGTGTACATACGCACATGCACACACAGACTCCTATCTATCATCTATCAACCTTATCCACCTACCTATCATCTATCTTACCTTAACAACCACTCCCCTCTTCTCTGTCTTTAGCCATTTCCTGAGAGAAGTTATTCTGACCAAACAAGGTCAAGTTCCTCACTGTATGACTACCTGGTAAATGTATATCACTACTTAAAATGCACAAATTTTAGCTACAAATTTTAATCTATGTGATTTACTATGTCTTTTTCTTAAATGCAACCCTCACAAAAGGTTGTATCTCCAACATTTAGAACAGTTCTGGCACATAATATTCTTAACAAATAATGCTAAACTAATGAGCAAATACCACAACTACCTCAGGATAGGAACTAATTTTCTTTTTTCTTGGACTTGTGGAACAGCCATTTCACTGGTGCCCCGGCCCTCATTTCCTGTCCCACTAAGATCTACTGTCTAAATAGCTAGTGGCAAGTGAATGTGAAGAGGATATCTAACCATGTCACCCCCCTGCTCCCACTAGTTCAGGAATGTGATGTCACTAGAGGTGACTTACATTTATTAACCCAACAGATAAGTTTCTGGCCAGTCTCCCTATACTCCCTTCCAAACCTTAATTTCACAGTCTGCAAGTATGAAATGCTTACATGTCCTGATATATCATCCTATTTCTTTGATTTAGAATGCTCTAGCTGATTTCTATACTTCAAATCTCATCTCAAAAGTCTCATTTACAGGAAGCCTACCCTAACCTACTTAAACTGGTTTAGATACTCCTCTTACAAACTCCAAAAGACACTGTTTTACATCTCTTATTACATTTGTAAGATGCTCATCCAAAACACAGATTATGTTTGCATGTATTTCTCAGTAGTTTCTGAACACTTCTTGAGGGCAAACTGCATTTTATTCATTTTGCAATTCCCAGAGCACATATTACTTATTAAATGCTTGATATATGACTACATGGATACATAAACACTTTCTTGCTCTTCAAAATCAATAGTAAAAAATTTTAAGAAGTCTTTGACATTCCTCCATGTCAGGTGGATACTTACCTGAATTCCCTATAGATATTATTAAAAGCAAGTGATGCTCCTAGCCTCTTAAAAGCATTGGGGTGAAGTGCAAAGCTGTACAATCGCTTGAAAAGTGATTTGGTGTTTACTGGACTTCTTTCCTGTTGCTGTGGGGTAGTCTGCTTAATGGACCATTTGAGAAATTCTCGAATACACCGACCACAAAAATCTCTTAAGGTACTGTCAACAGGGTCCACGATGCCATCCTGAAACAAAGTATAAAATGACAACTGAAGGTATTATTCCACCTCTGAGCACAGTGTGTTATGAAAATTAATTTAGAACACTATTCAAGAAAAACTAAACACTAGTAAAACTAATGTAAACAAAACTCAAAACAGATCAAACTCCTCACAAACACTCCAAGTATTTGATGCCATATTTCCTCTATCTGGATGCCCTTATCAAATTCTTTATTTCCTCTGGCTCTCTTAAAGTTAACAGAAACTGACACTCAGATTCAAGTTGGAATCAATTTGCAAAAACCTAAAATTAAATGGCATTTGTCTGGACAAACTTGGCTTTTATTCCAAAGTCAATATATATGACAAAACAAAGTTATATGTTCAAATAACAGGTAAAATTAAATAAGATGACTATTAAAGGAGCCCAATGTAAAACTGTTTGCAAATAATGAACAAGTTATAATAAAATAAGTATCAAAAGATACTAAGGTTCATTCTTCCCTCAGTGAACGAGTGATCAAATTCAGGCAATTTTATTTCTACAGTCACCAGTTCTAGGTAAATAGTGAGTTAAGGGTTCTAGGGTCCTTTAGTAGATGAATGCACAAGAAAACTTGGATAAGCTTACAAAATTCCTTTTACTCTTAATTATTGTACTATAGATTTTTTCTTTTAAAAAATACAATTCAGATAAAAGTCAAAGAATGTTCTTATTTACTTCTTCAAACCTCAGCGCACACACACAGACTTCTTGTGAAGTCAAATTTATAACCACCCTCCAAAAAAAAAAGAAAAAATGAAATAAAGAAAGAATATGTGGTTTCTGCTTGAAGAGATACAAAATTAATACTTAAGTAAATAAATATGGCCAATAAGTCTGAGGAAGATTCAAATTGGAATCGTTAAAATGCCATTTCACCAATTCTCTAAAATAAAAAAAAGATGATATGAAGTAGCTAGACGCTACATTTTGGTACCCTAACAGGTAGCTTTTCTTTAAAAGATGTAAATATGCATCAAACATAATTACTCAAGAGGAATAGCAAGAAAATAATTAACCATTACTTACCAGTATTGTTTCTAGTAAGGCAACAGTATCCTGACTTTCAAATTTCTTATTGTTAGTGAACCAATGAATCAGTTGCATAACCAGTGGCTCATATAGTTGCCTTGTCACCTGAGGAAACAAAGCCATTACTTTATTACTAGAATAATTTTACATTTTAGAGTTTCATTTAAATGGCATGCACAGGGCACCCCCTGTGGCGCAGCAGATGAGCACCTCTGCAGCACCAGTTCAATCCCTAACGAGGGTCCCATATGGTGCGGTGCGACAGACCTCTCCTGCCACACCGGCTGCTCCCCTCGGTAGTGTATTTCATCAGTCTGCCTGTTCTGTTTCCCGCTCTGGTGAATTCTCTCACCCTCCGGTGCTTCTGACTATACTCAGTGCTTGCATAAATAAATAAATAAAAAATAAATAAATAAATGGCATGCGCAAACACCAAGGCACATTATAATAAAGCTGTCGAAAGCCAGTGACCAAGACAGAATATTAAAAACATCAAAAGAAAAAAACAGGAAACCCATAATGAAGCACCAATGAGACTGTCAGAGAACTACTCAGTAGGAACATTATAAGCATGAAGGAAATGGAAAGAGATATTTAAAGTATTTTTAAAAAAAATAACTTCCTGCCTAGAATTCTTCACCCAGTAAGATTAATAATCAAAATAGGAGGAAAAATATGGGACTTAGAGCAAAACCTGAAAGAATTTATCAACAGCAAGCTGCACAAGAAAGAAATTCTAAATATTGAGGCAATACACAACTAAATCACTTAGAGGAGGGAGAAAGTAACAATGCAGCCCATCAGAACGAGTCAGAGACCAGATTGTCTAATGAGACATGCAAAAAGCCTACAATAATCTCACTAGAACACTCAAGCAAAATTTAATAGAAGTAATACATAAGACAATGGGCATGGAATTAAAATAAAAAATAACATGAAATCATCAAAAATAGAGAAGACAAACCAAAAACAGTAACATAATGACAATGAAAACTTGTATGTTGCAATAATCACCTTAAATGTAAATGACCTAAACTCACCAGTCAAAAGACGTAGTGTGACTGAACGGATTTCAAAACAAAGTTCAACCTTCTGTTGTTTATAAGAAACTCATCTTACCAACAAAGAAAAATACAGACTTAGAGTTAAAATCTTGAAGACAAGTAAACAAGCAAATGGCAACCCAATAAAAATCAGGAACAACTATATCTGAAAAAAGACTTTCAGTTAAAAAAAGTAGTAAGAGATGGACACTACATAAGTATTAGACTAAGAACTAATATAAGAAGAAATACCACTCATAAATATATCTGTACTCAATGCTGGAGCACAAAGGTACAGAAAACAATAACAGAACCAAAAACAACAGAAACAAAGAGAAATACTGACACCACCACAATACTGCTAAAGAATTGTAATGTTCCACTGACATCTACAGACAGTTCAACAAGACAAAAAGATAAAGAAACAATAGCCTTAAATGAAGAACTAGAATAAACAGGTTTGACATACACAGAATATTTCACCCCCAAACCACTGTATACATATTTTTTTCAATTGCACATAGGACATTTTCAAGAACAGATCATATCTTGGACATAAGTAAACTGTAAATAAAATACAAAGATCAGAATTGTACCTAGTATTCTTTCTGACCAGAATGCCATAAAGTTAGAAATCAGTGACAAAAAAAGAAAAACCAGGAAAAATATTAAATAGACTAAACAACATGCAACTTAACAGCTATCAGATAAAAGAGGAAATCAAAGCAGAAATTTAAAAATACCCTGAGATGAATGAAAATGATGATACAAGCTACCAGAGTCTCTGAGATGTACCAAAAGCAGTCTGAAGAGTGAAGATAATTACAATACAGGCCCAGATTAACAAGCAAGAAAAATCTCAAATAAACAATCTAATATCACACCTAAAGCAACTTGAGAAAGAGAACAACCCCAAATTTAGTAGAAGGAAATAATAAAAATAAGAATTGAAGTAAATGAAATAGACATCAAAAAGTCAATACAAAAAGAAATTCATGAAACTAAGAACTACTTCTTTGAGAAGACAAGCAATAATTAACCTTTAGCTAGGCTGAAATAAAAGAAAAAAAACATTGAGAACACAATTACAAATAAAAGAGAAGAAAAAAACACAGGTAGCACAGAAATGCAAATGATCTTAAGAGTTTACCATGAACAACTCTATGCCAGAAAATTCAGTAACGTTAAAGATATGGACAAAATTCTAGGTCAGTACAGTCTATCTACCAAGATGAAGAAACAGATGAACTACTACTCAACTATAAAACAAGATGAACTCTTGTCATTTGCAACAACATGGATAGAACTGGAAGGGAATATGCAAAGTAAAATTAGTACAGGGAGAAAGACATACCAGATAATTTCACTCAAATGTGGTATATAGAGGAAAAAAACAAAGGAAATGATGTACCTAAGCCAAAACAAGCCCTATTAAGCCTTAGAATTAAGGCTACCAGAGGGGGAAGGTAGGAAGTGGGAATAAAGGGAAGAGGAGGCCCAACAGGCTATGGTAAAGGATTACCAGTGCTTTTGGTTGTATGTGTGGAGTGGAGATATATATCTGAGGAGGTATGAACCTATTCCTATAAATCACATACAGTGCCATCATACACAATATAACAAGAGTGCACTAATTTTTTTTAATTTAAAAAATATGCTGAGGGCCTCCCTGGTGGCACAGGTGGCTGAGCACAGCACTGTGAAGCTGTCTGCAGCCTCTGCAGCACCGGTTCGATCCTGGCCGCCCGGCGAGAATCCCACATGGCGAAGCAGACCTCCCCTATCTGGCCCACTCCTGCCCTCAGCAGTGTATTTCTTCAGTCTGCCTGTTCTGTTCCCCGCACTGTCTCCGATGAATCCTCTCACCCTCCTGCACATCTGGCCTGTAGCCTGGTTAGTGTATAAAAATAAATAAATCTTTAAAATAAATAAATAAATATGGGCCTCCCCAGTGGCGCAGCGGTTGAGTGCTGGGCTGCGAAGCTCCCTGTAGCCTCTGCAGCGCCGGTTCAATCCCTGGCCGCCGGCGAGGGTCCCACATGGCACGCAGACCTCTCCTGCTACACCTGCTGCTCCCCTCAGCAGTGTACTTCGGTCCTTCTGCCTGTTCTGTTCCCCGCTCTGGCTCTGGGCTCTGGTGAATTCTCTCACCCTCCCACGCTTCTGACTATACTCAGTGCTTGTATAATGAAATAAACAAATCTTTAAAAAATATGTATAAAAATAATTAATTAAAAATATGCTGAGTTTGGGCCTCCCCAGTGGCGCAGTGGTTGAGCGCTGGGTTGCAAAGCTGCCCGTGGCCTCTGCAGCACTGGTTCGATCCCCAGCTGCTTCCTGGCCACCGGAGGAAGGTCCCACATGGCACGCAGATCTCTCCTGCTGCCCGCTGCTCCCCTCAGCAGTGTACTTCAGTCCCTCTGCCTACATTGCTCCCCGCTCGGGCTCTGGTGAATTCCCTCACCCTCCCGCGCTTCTGACTGTACCCAGTGCTTGTATAAATAAATAAATAAATAAATCTTTAAAAAAAAAAAAAATGCTGAGTTTGTGTGTGTTTATGTGTGCACACCTGCATACATGATTCAGGTAAACCGAATGATTTTCATTTGTTTGGGAAAGGAAACCTGCACTCCTATGTTTATTGCAGCATTATCTACAACAGACCAGCTATGGAAACAAACTAAATCCCCCAAAACAGATGAATAGACCAAAAAGATGTATGCATACAAAATGGAACACTACTTGGGATTCAAAAAAAAAATTAATTCACGCCATTTGCAGCAACATGAAAGAAGTTGGAGGAGATTATGCTAAGCTTAAATAAGCCAGAAGAGAAAGATAAATACCAGATGGTGTCACTCACATGTGGAATATAGAGAAAACAAACAAGGGTCAAACAAAGACAAACCTTAAAACCAACCTTGAAAACTGACCACAGATCTGAAGCATCAAGGTGGGGAGGGAAAAGGAGAGGGGGAATGGTGAGCACAGGGTGGGGGCAGAGAACACCATGGACTGTGGTGGAGGATTATAGGCGCTTCAGTGGTGGGAGAGTTGAGTGACCACACCTGAGCCAAGAAATCCTATACTGTCAAATAAACTAATAAGGATATAAAACATTGGTACTTCATTAAAAAATAAAATATAAATAAAAAAAAGAAAGGGAATTCATGTCAGAAAAGAAGAAGCAATGACCTTCCTGGTGGTGTAGGGGTTAAAGACTCAGTGTTATCAAGATAGCAGAGGAAATGCATATGGCCAACAGGCATAGGAAAAATGTTCAACATCACTTGTAATCAGGGAAATGCAAATCAAAACTACCATGAGATACCATCTTACACCAGTGAGAACGGCACATATTAAAAAAACTAGCAATAACAAATGTTGGCGAGGGTGCGGAAAAAAAGGAACTCTCCTGCACTGCTGGTGGGAGTGCAAACTGGTCCAACCACTATGGAAAGCTGTCTGGAGATTTTTTGACCTACTAAAGACAGAGCTTCTATATGATTCAGCAATTCCACTCCTAGGTATTTACCCAAAGGACACAAAAACATTAATTCCAAAGGGCACCTGTACACGCCTATGCTTATAGCAGCACTATTTACAATAGCTAAGCTATGAAAACAACCCAAATGCCCAAAAATAGATGATTGGATCAAGAAGGTGTGGTATATATACACCATGGACTATTACTCAGCAATCTAAAAAGATAAACTCATGCAATTTGCAGCAACATGGATGAAGTTGGAAGGGATCATGTTCAGCGAAATAAGTCAGAAAGAAAAAGAAAACTACCAGATGGTCTCACTCATAGCAGGAATTTAGAAAACCTAAATAAGGGATCAGGAAAAAGACTAATTGCAATAAAGTAAAAATCAAAATCAACAAGCAACTATAGACCAGAGACACACTACAGTTGTGGGGTAGGGGGAGGAGAAGAGGGATTAGAGTCAGAAAAGGGGGGTGGGAACTTTTTCAGATTCAAAATTCTTCACTTACCTGATCTACATCACACGCAAGTCTAAGTAGCACGGGGAAAGTCCGCTTGTAGAGCTGGTACATTGGTGGAGAACCCTGACCACCTTCAGGCATTTGAGTAGATTTTCCCAGCATGAACATAACCAAGCTATGCAAAAGTTCACAAGCTGCAACCTGAAACAGGGAGGAGTTCAACACAATTTAAGTCTTCAGGTTTACAAGAGAATATTTTAAAATTTTATTCAATTGAGCCATAAAAAAAAGCTTTTGTAGCAAATAATCCCACATGAAAATAAATTTACTGACATGAGTAGTTCTTATATAAAGTGAAAGCTTCTGTTCACTCTGATCTTTATCCAAGAGTTAAAAACTCAAACTTTGAAGTTTTAAACATTGGGACTAGAATATTCATAAGAAATGTATTTCAATACTTCCTTCCATATTATGGAACACTGCTTCATTTGTTAGGACATGTTCAACTACCATTTTTTTAAAATATATTTTTGAAGCACTCTGGAAATTCACAAATTAATATAAAAATATAAGATTAGAAATTAATATAAAAATTTGAAATTTTCTGTTTCTAATATACCCAGCAAGAGAAGATAATCAAGCATAGACTTAACATCACTTTAAATGCCTTTTGCCTGTGTTTTCTATTACAAATAATTTGAATATATTAATGTTTTACCAAATAATTATCTATTAAGCTAATTTATGCTCCATTTTCATTTACCAATTAACGCCTACTTCTGATAATTGAGAAGTTTTCTAACTAGGAAATATATAAGTTATGATACTGGAATGGCTGAAATATATTACCTATCTCCTAACAAACATATGTCTGAAAAGCAATAGACTCTAACATATTGAGTGTGATAAAAAAATAAAAGTAAAGTACTTTTGTTTGTCTGTCACTCCCTGAAAGTGCTAATTCTGTCACTCGAGGCAAGAAAATATCTAGGTAAATGACAGGTTTCATTTCTATAAATGGTACTGCAAAGCTGAGCTTTTTTTCTCTATCCCATGCCACACACTTCTTCATCATTTCATCTGAGGATGCAGCTGTTAAAAAAGATTTAGAAGAACTTTTTTAGAATTCAAAATACTTTTAAAACCAATTGCTCTACAATGCATTAGTGAACAGAGTACATATGCTTTTAAGTTAAACACTTTATTCATCTTTTAAATGCTGGTTTTTATTACACACATATAATTACAACACTAGAAATCACTGATGCACTATTTTTGAATTTAATTTAAAGTAAAATTATTTCTAAACAAGTCTAACAGTCTCTAACATTTGATTTCCAATTTCAGTAAGAGTTAAGGTATTTGGGGGCCTCCTGGTGGTGCAACAGGTTAAGCGTCAGCATTATGAAGCAATCTGCAGCTATTGCAGTACCAGTTAGATCCCTAGCCAGGGAGGTGACCCATATGGTGCTGCAGATGTCTCCTGTCTCCCCCCACTACTGCCCTCAAGAATGTATTTCAGTCAATCACCTGTTCTGCTCCCCACTCTGTCTCTGCTGAGTCCTCTCACCTCTCCAATCCCGCACCTCTGGCCCACACCCGGGCTCTTGTATGCATAAATAAATAAATTTTTAAGGGCCACCCTGGTGGCGCAAGGGGTTAAGCACTGCACTATGAAGCAATCCACAGCCTCTGCAGCAGGAGTTCGATCCCCAGCCCGCAAGGAGCAACCCACATCGCCCAGCAGACCTCTCCTGTCTCGCCTGCTGCTCCCCTCAGCAGCGTATTTCAGTCACTCTGCCTGTTCTGTTCTCCACTCTGTCTCTGGTGAATCCTGTCAACCCCGCAATCTCTGGCCTGTACCCCAGCTCTTATACGCATAAATAAATAAATCTTTTATAAATAAATAAATAAACCTTTTTAAAAAAAATAATTATTTTGTGAGTTATAAGTGAATAATATTTTTATTAAAAATCTCTTTATTATACCACTTATTTTCTCAGTATAGGCTCTAACTTCCTAAAAACCCAAAGGTCATAGTATATTTAATAGAAAATTTCAAAAGTAAAAATGCAGATAAATATTTACAAATATAAAACATAAATTCTCATTATAAATAATAATCTGAAATATCTAAATATTAAGACATTTGGGTTTAAAAAGGATTAATTTTGAATTTCTGACACAATGATTAATATAGAAAAAAGTGTCAAATTAGATTCTAATTAGAAATAGAAAGCATATTTAACAAACCAAGCTAGACCATATCCCTGCTAGCATGATGAATTACTCAAACTATTAGTCTCTGTAACCATATTTGCAACCTTATTTCAAAATATATAAATCACACATAGGAGCAATAGCAGAATATACTGTGATCTATATATATCCAAGTTAATGTACAAATATATCTACAGAAGTTAATTTATTTTAAAGAAAAATTTACCTGTTAGAAGATTTTTGTTTATTTGTCCTCCTAGGCAGCCAAGCATCTGTACCACTCTAATCCTGATTTCTTGTAAGGACAGTACTTCACTCTGAAAATTTGAATAATTGTATACATGTGATAAAGTCAAAAATTAAAGAGAATTATCAGGAAAGAAAAACTAGTTTATACCCCGCTCTATAAATGTTTCTCCTAGTGATTTATTTTATCCTACACATAGTGCTGTTAAAGTTTATTGCAAATTCATGAAATCATCTCTCCCTCAATTTTGTACTTTCTAGTCCATTTTCTAGACAGTGGTTCCAAAGTTTTTGACAGGACCTTTTACACCCTTAAGAAAATACTTAGTATCCAAAATATGTGGGTCATATTTATCACTATTTATCATACTAGAAGTAAAAACTTAGAAATCATTTAATTGTATTTTATTTAAAAATTTTACACCCGGGCCTCCCTGGTGGTGCAAGGGGTTAACATGCAACCGATGAAGCTAACTGCAGACACTGCAGCACGAGTTCGTTCCCAGGTCAGGAAGCAACACACATGGCACAGCAGACCTCTCCTGACTATCCCGCTGCTCCTCTCAGCAGTGTATTTCAGTCAATCTGCCGTTTTGGTCCCCACTTTGTCTCTGGTGAACCCTCTCTCACACAGACACATACTCCCTACCCCGCCCCCTCTGGTCTGCACCCCAGCTCTTGTATGCATTAAAAAAAAATCTTTAAAAAATAAATAAATAAATAAAAATACTACACCCATTACATACTAACAAATGACATTTTTCGTAGAAAAAGTAATTCCATTTTCCAAATAAACACACAAAAATCCTTAGAAAAATGGTACTGTTTTCACTTGTGCATATCTCCTATTGTCTAAGTCGACAAAAGACAGCTCTTGTTCTTGGGCTGTAGCTGGAAGAGGAAAGATTATTTATAGCCTTTTTAGAAATTGTGGTTATTCTTTGATACTACACCAAAATGAAGAAGTCATAGTTTCTTAAAGATTAGTTACAATGTAGAATCTGAAAACTTATCATTGACGTCTATATACTCTATTACATAAAATCCACTGATCTATCTTGCTCTATGAGTGGATATTTTACCCATGCATAATTTGGTAACATAATGTATTGGTCATCTGAAAATACTGATTTGCTGTGTTATGCAGATCCTCCAATTACCAACACATTTCACTACATGCAGAAACACATTTGTTATTATCACCACCAATCTCACTACAAAAAGCTTTAAAATAATGAAAAGCTGTTAAAGTTCATGGTGATGGCTACAAGTTTTCCAAAATTTAAATCTTCACATATGTATTGGAATTTTATCTTTAGCAACAAATTTCCTCAGATGTTTTATTTGAAGTGACAGGCTGGTTCTGTTTATTTACTTTACTAAATAGTCAATTAGTCTGTTAGTTATTTCTTTCAAGTAAAAATTGTGTTCTTGAAAACAGCAGCTACTTTAACTCACAGCACAAAGCATCACACAAATTCTTTTCCAGAAAACAATGGTCACACTTCACAATGCAGCAGACTGCTTTATGTATACTTCCTGTTTCATCACACAGATTAAAAAGATGTGTGCTAAACATCACAATTTAAGAAGATGCTAAAGAACCAACGAAGTGTTACCCATCTTTAATACCAGAACACAAATGCCAAAAGAGTAAAAAGAAGTTTTGGTCTAGCACCCTGAAACCCCCAGAGGTCTATATTTCAAGAACCATCAGATTAGAAAACAGGAGTTACACTATCTGTAAAGAAATTTTACTTTTGGGGCCGCCCTGGTGGTGTGAGGTGTTAAGTCTCAGCATCATGAAGCTATCAGCAAAGAAGTCTGCTGCACCATGTGGGTCATCTCCCAGGCCGGGGATCCAACTCATGCTGCGGATGCTGCAAATAGCTTCACAGTGCTGTGCTTAACCACTTGTGCCACCAGGGAGGCCCTAAATAAAATTTAAAAAAACAGCAAATTTTATTTTCAAAACTATTATGCTCACGGGCTTCCCCTGTGGCGCAGCGGTTGAGCGCTGGGCTGTGAAGCTGCCCGCAGCCTCTGCAGCGCCGGTTCTATCACCAGCCGCCGGTGAGAGGGTCCCACATGGTGCGCAGACCTCTCCTGCCGCACGCTGCTCCCCTCAAGCAGTGTACTTTGGTCCTTCTGCCTGTTCTGCTCTCCACTCTGGCTCTGGTGAATTCTCTCACCCTCCCACGCTTCTGACTGTACCCAGTGCTTGCATAAATAAATAAATAAATAATCTTAAAAAAAACTATTATGCTCACAAGTAATTTTATCTTGTTGTATGTACATGATATGAAATTATTTTTAAAATTTTAGACAATCATTTCCAGCTTTATTCAAGTCTCAAAAGCTGTCAAAGAGGTGGGAAGAATTTACCCTAGAGTTACATTAGCAGTTTTAGACATTAAGGGTTTTTCAAACTTCAATTTTTTCTCCATACCTAAAATATGTATTGTCCTTTTATTAACTTTCTCTACTTACATGTGTTTTTTTTTTTGTTTCTACTGCACATCAAAAAGAATTGGTCTAAAGGAATTATCACCCAAATAAAGTGGCATGAATTGAATTAAGATCTAATTAGTAAATGAATCAAATTTACATATGCATGATATCAGCATTCTCATAGTTACTACACAGGAATAAAATTACTTTTTGTTTCCACTAAATACCTTTGAAGGTAGAGACAAACAGGAAAACAAGATCAAATAAATAAAAGTAATAGTTAATATAGCTCACATTTTGCTATGAATATATTAGTTATTTTTATATTTTAAATGAAAATTTTTACTTTTCACAAGCATTAGAATCTTTTTTTTTTTTTTATAGAGGCATGTTTTATTTATTTATTTGTTTGTTTGTTTGTTTGTTTTGTTTATACAAGCACTGGGTACAGTCAGAAGTGCAGGAGGGTGAGAGAATTCACCAGAGCCAGAGCGGGGAGCAGAGCAGGCAGAAGGACCGAAGTACACTGCTGAGGGGAGCAGCGGGCGGCAGGAGAGGTCTGCACGCCATGTGGGACCCTCCTCCCTTGGCCGGGGAGCAGCCGGGGATCGAACCGGCACCGCAGAGGCAGCTTTGCAACCCAGCGCTCAACCGCTACGCCATCAGGGAGGCCCACAAGCATTAGAATCTTATCTCCTTATTACTTAAGGTAAAGAAACACAAGGAATTTCTTACTGATGAAATGTTCTTTGTCTTTTTCAGCTGTTTTAACACAACTTCATTAAATCCCTTCTGGACAGCCCGAGAAAGTGCTGACACCTCCAAGTTATTCTTGGTCTCATCTATCAACAGTAAACAAAAATATATTTTAAATAACATTCATTTATTTTTGAGGAAATCTAGAGAGAACATACTACATTGCCAAAGAGACATTTAAATCCTAATTTTAATTAAACAAGTAAGTTCAAATGAGTTTCTTGAACAAACAAAAAAATGTTAATAGTGAAGCCAGTTCCTACTTCTCATATACAAGCAAAAGCTGGGACAATTTGAGCATCAAAATCAGTAATGGTTGGTAAAAGATTACACCCACTGGAAAAATAAGAATACACAAGTTCCTACTAATATAATAGGCAAGAAGAGAAAATTAGTTCTTACAATAGAATGCCAACTAGTGTAAAGGGAATGTTAGAATAGGAAAAATCACCATTTCACAAGTATCACTGTACTAACTGATTCAGGAATAATCATCAATGAATAATAAAACTACTATGGAGGAAAGCTTGATGAGGAAAAAGAGTATTTACAGTTGTTAATTACTGGCCTATGAATTTTTGGTTTTTATGAAAACAATCATAAACCTACAAAAAAATTATAAGTATAGAACAAAACTTTTCTTCCGTCAATCAGTAAGTTACCAACTCTATGCCCCACCACCCCTGAATACTTCAGTGCAGAAACACACAGAACTGATGCCACACCCTCCTCATAGCATCATAGTGGCAGTTGGGGTTATTACCAGTCATGTCCACTGACCGTCTGTTCTATCTTAGTGTAATCTGAAGTAACTGTACCTTTGGAGTGAGTTAGTCATTTGAGATCCCCTCCCTCTCTTCCTCCAGAGCGTTCAATCCTACAACCTTTAGGGGGTGCAGAGGAAGATGGGTCTTGGGGTGTTCTAAGGAGCATGAGGAATGCAACCCTGAGGGGTAAAGTAACTTGAGGTGAGAGTCAGAGCAGGTGAGGGCATACAAATATTAGGACAGCTTTTTGAGGTCTGGAAGTCCAAGAGGGTTGAAGAGAACAAGAATAGGGGAATTGATCAAATAAAAAGATTAAGGATGAAGGAAGTTGGGTTTTTCAACATTGGAAAAGGAAGATGCAAGTATAGAAAACTATAGAGTAAATCTTTTGGTCTGGATAGAAACTGGGTATATCAGTGTGAATTCATGACCCTCTATTTCCTTTCTTTGCTCTATTTCCTCTCCCCAGTCTGTACTTCTCAGACACACACACACACACACACACAATTAATATATATCTATACATATATTGGTAAATAGATGTGGAAATAGAGAATGAAAACATGCTTGTATGTAAATGTAACACAAGCATATTCTAGTTCTGTCCTGGTAGTCAGTGAGGAAAATTTTTAAAAGGCTTAATACCTAAAACCATAAAATACATAGAAGAAAACATAGGCAAAACACTCTGACATACATCTTAGGAACATCTTTGAGGGCTCATCCCCAGAAGCAAAGAAAATGAAGGAAACGATAAACAGCTGGTACTACATCTAACTAAAACACTTCTGCACAGTGAAAGACACAATAACCAAAACTAAGGGACACCTAAAATATTGGGTGAGAATATTTGCATTCCATACAACTGATAAGGCACTGGTATTAAAGATGTACAAAGAGCGTATGTAATAACAAAAAAAAATAAACAACTTGGCCAAAAAATGGGCAGAAGAGCTAAAAAGAAACTTCCCCAAAGAGGAAATGCAAACGGCAACAGGCATATGAAAAAATGTTCAGCATCACGCGTAATCAGGAAAATGCAAATCAAAATCACAATGAGATACCACCTCACACCAGTGACAATGGCACATATTGAAAAAACTGACAACAGCAAATGCTGGAAAGGATGTAGAGAAAAAAGAACTCTCTTACACTGCTGGTAGGAGTGCAAACTGGTCCAACCTCTATGGAAAGCTGTGTGGAGTTTCCTCAAATTACTCAAAATGGATCTACCATATGATCTAGTGATTCCACTTGTAGGAATATACCCAAAGAACACAAAAACATTAATTCAAAAGGAAATCTGCACTTCGATGTTTACTGCAGCACAATACCTAAGATACGGAAACAACCCAAATGCCCGAAAACAGATGACTGGATCAAGAAGATGTGGTGCACACACATAATGGAATACTACTCAGCAATTAAAAAAGGTAAACTCATGCTAATTGCAGCAACATGAATGGAGCCGGTAGGGATCATGCTCAGATCTGAGGAATACAGCAGGGAAAAGGGAGGGAGAGGTATCAAAACAGGGTAGAAAGAATACAAGTGACAGTTTACAGGTGATATGGTGGTGAAAGATTTACATGGACTAGACCTGAGGGGAGAAATCAAATACTGTCCAAAAATGAAGAATGATGTAAGAAAATTTAGAAGTCTAAAAAAATAAATTAAATAAATAAATAAGACAAATGCTTCAGTTCTATTTCCTTATGTCCCAATTACATTGAAAAGAAGTGGGAGATTACAAAACTACAATCAAATATATTTTGAATATGTTAAGTTCAAATTTCAGAAATAAAATACAAATTTCAGAGGTCATATTATAGTTAATACATTGCCATTTTAATTAAGATATACATCACAATTCTGGCAACTTACTTGATACAGCTGAAGTTTTCAGATATCCATCCAGGCTGGGTAGAATGTCTTTATAATAGGGCTGAATTACATGTTTGCAGATATAAACTGACCATTCTTCTAGGGCATTCAGGCCTACTTCTGCCAATGGAGTATAGCTCAGACCCAGTTTAAAAGCCATCTAGATATCAATACAAACAAGGTAAAATGAAACTTAATTTTTAAAATTTAAAGAAAAAATAACACCAATTAATTGTGGTTTCTAATAAATAAATCTTTCTTCTGCCCTAATAGCAGACAATGCTGGAGGTAAGTGGTTATATTCCATGTTGTTAACAAGAAAATAAGCACTAGGGCCTCACTCTTGGCGCAAGGGGTTAAGACACAACCTATGAAGCTAGCTGCAGCCACTGTAGCACATGAGTTTAATCCCTGGCCAAGGAGCTACCCACATGGTGCAGCAGACCTCTCCTGACTCGCCCACTGCTCCCCTCAGCAGTGTGTTTCGGTCAAATCAGCCTGTTCTGTTCCCCACTCTGTCCCTGATGAATCCTCTCACCCTTCATACCTCTGGCCTATACCCCAGTTCTTGTATACATAAATAAATAAATCTTTAAAAAAAAAAGAAAAGAAGCACTACTGTCTATAAAGTTGTTGTTACATTATGGAGTTTCAACACATGGACAATTTAATCTTCACGTCTACCTGCAAGGGAAGTTTAGAGAGGCTAAGCCAAGTGTTCTAAGTTCCAACTAAGCAGCAGAAGCAGAATTTGAACCAGGAATGTCTGATGGGTTAGCACCTGCTATCACTGCTATGGCAAAACTGTACTATTTCTCATTTTTCTAGAAAATGTAATACTGCAAAAAGAAATGGATTTGCTTAAGATAATGCACCTACCTGCAAAGCAGGAACGTAGGCTTTAATATCAAGTTCAATAATGTTATGTGGGAGGGTCAGAATAAAATTCAAACAGGAAGCCAAAAGTTCATCTTTGTATTGCTTCATTTTAACTGATACCTTAACAAAAAGGAGGGGAAAGACAGTGCTGCACTATAATGTGAAAGTCAACTAAAATACATTAACCCTATCCTCAAATATGAACAATGACCATGTAGCATTAATTTGACGCCATGTTGTTAACAAATTTAACACTGATCTCCAGGAAAAGTTCATGTGTTAAAGTATTCAATTCCCAATGAATGAAAAAGATAATCTATTAATTCTGAGTTGTCATTATTCATTAAATTATTTCCAGAAAACAGAACACTCAATGGACTTTTGAAACAGTGATTTCTTTTGTTAGTGTTTTCCCTCAATCTGGATTAAGCAAACCGATTTTAAGTATCAATAGAAGATTCAGATTCACTAGGATTTTTTTTCAACATACACTCATTCTTAAATAGCTCTTGGTAACACTGGGTATAGGTTATTGGAAAATTACCTCTTTGCCAAATTTTGCAAGCAAAGCAAAGCAAGAATATTTTTCTGGGTCCTTAGGAGATTGCTTCTGATTCTGTAGATTAACTCCCTGCTGAATAAAATAATAAGTTAATATAATGAACAAGAATCAGATAACCCTATGCCCTAATCCAGAAGTTCTCAGCCATTCTTCATTCTCATTTTGCTAAGGTCTTGAGCATAGTCAGAAGAAAGGAATACAAGTTTTGAAAACTTCACTCAAAAGTCAGTAAGAAATAGTATGTAAAATGGGAAGTGGATGGCTGGTCAAAAGCCACAGGCCTGGAAAAATCCAATCTCTGTTCCCTGTCTTTCAATAAATACCCTTGTGAGCTCGCAGACCTGCTTCCCTGTAATTAGCCAGTTAGGTTGCTCGTAACTGACTTAGGTACAATAGCTCAGCTATTTTCAAACTTAAGTAGTTACCAGATGACATGGTAAGACTGCTTAGCACAGACTGCTAAGTCTTGCCTTCAGTTTATGATTAGAAAGCCTAGAGAGGACAGCAGTGTATTTTAGTCAGTCCGCCTTTTCAGTTCCCCACTCTGTCTATGGTGAATGCTCTCACCCCCCTGCACCTCTGGCCTGTACTCCAGTTCTTGTATGCATAAATAAATAAACCTTTAAAAAAAAAAAAAAAGACAGTCTAGAGAGGAGATGAGACTTCCATGTGATGCTTGGGAAAGGTTATTCTCTAATTATACTTTGTGAACTTCTAGTTCTAGAACTTCTAGAAGTTACTGTAAGTACCCTGAAAATAAGAACAGAAAATGCTAGTAGTTAACATTTTTAAGAGCACCATCCAATTCACCTAAATATCAGTTTTTAAAATATAAATAATAAAATTAGATTGTAAATACCAAATTGCTATAACCTCGTATTTATGATACATATATACATGCTTACACAACCTTAAAAAAACAGGAATATTCAGTGTGTTCCAAGAAACAATTACCTCAAAGTATTTTATTTTCTTGGCATTTCTTACAGCAACAGAAAGCAATTTGTAGAAACCACTGATGAGTGGCAACCGTGTAGACTGTAAAATTATATCATATGTAAATGAATATACCCATGGCTCAAAAAATTCTACATGTTTCTCAGGAAGAATCTCTCTGAAAACGACAAAATAAAACATTAGTGGAGAAATCTGTATCATACTAATATTTTTATCCATAATCAAACAAGTCCACTACTTCATAACATTTTCAGGTACATTTATATTCCTTTTTTTCCTTACTTGAAAAACTTTTATTTATTTTAATTAATTATCATTATTATTATCATTTTATTTTTTTCTTACTATATTTAGCAAAATAAGATTTTTTTTACATCAATTCTTCATTTTTGTACAATATATACTTTCTGCTCTCAGGTGTAATCCCTGTGAAATTCCCACCACCACTTCACCCTTGCACCATCACCATAGTTCCATGTATTCTTCCCACCCCATCCCAATCCTTCTCCCTCCTCCTCCCCAACAAAATATCTCTGATCTGTAGTTGCTTGTTGATTTTGATTTTTATTATAATTACTTTTTTTTTCTACCTGATCCCTTTTTTGGTTTCTCTACATCCCTCCTATAAGTGAAACCATCCAATATTTTTGTTTTTCCTTCTGACTTATTTCACTGAGCATAATCTGTTCCAGCTCCATCCATGTTTCTTGCAAATGGCATGAGTTTATCTTTTTTGATTGCTAAGTAGTATTCCATTGTGTATATGCACCATATCTTTTTGGTCCAGTCATCCATTTTGGGGCATTTGTGTTATTTCCAAAGCTTACCGATTATAAATAGTATTGCAATAAACATTGCAGGGGTGCATGGGGCTTCCCTGGTGGCACAAGGGGTTAATATACGGCACCACAAAGCTATCCACAGCAGCAGCATGAGTTCATCCCCAGACAGAGAGGTGACCCACATGGCACAGCACACCTCTCCTGCCTCGCCCACTGCTCCCCTCAGCAGTGTTTTTCAGTACATCTGCCTATTCTGCTCCCCACTGTGTCTCTTGTGAATCCTCCCACCCACCACATCTCTGGCCTGTACCTCAGCTCTTGAATGCAAAAATAACTAAATGTTAAAAAAAAATAAACATAAGGGTGCAGGTATCCTTTTTAATTAATTTTTTGAGTCCTTTGGGTAGATACCTAGGAGTGGAATGGGTGGATCATATGAAGTTCCATTTTTAATTTGGCTATTTAAGGTACTTGCGGCTCCATATAAATTTCATCAATATTTGATCTATATCCTTGAAGAATGTCACTGAAATTTTTACTGGAATAGCATTAATATTACTATTTTAATTAGGTAGATTGTTGTTAATTTTGAAACCATAGGATTTCTCCCCTCAGATGTGGTCTCTAGAGCTCTCCTACCACAAAAGCACCAATAATCCTCCATCATAGTTTATTGTGCTCTTAACTCTCCCTTTTCTCACCTCCCCATCACCTCCTGGATGCCTCTGAGAAACCATTAAATAGTAAAATATAGCAATTCTAAGTTGGTACATTTTGATATATTTTAAAGGTTCCCATAAACAATTTGAGATTCTGTCTTTTGTCATTTCATTTCTTATATCTACAGAAGTATTTATAGACAATAACTGATAATATTCATTCTAAAATAATTAGAATTTTTTTTAATTACCTGCAAAATTCCACCAGGTTAATGAAAGCTGAGAAATCTTTAGGTTTAACAGGATGCAAGTTAGCAGCTGGATCTGAAGTCGGAATCACCCAAACACCAGTAGCTTCATTTTCATCCTTAAAAATTAATTGTGCCAAAGCAAACATTGTACCATTCAATCACACATTCACTCAACAAATAACTGACCAACTGACTTCATGGCCAAGATCTGATGGTGTGAGAAAGGAATGCAAAAGTGAAAAAAGTACAGATGAAATCTGAGGTTACAGTGTGATAGCAATGATGAACTTCACAGAAAAATTAAAAGAATGCATGGGAAGTGATAAAAGTAAAATGAGAAAAAAAGTTTCAAAAATGAAAATATGAAGGGGGTGGGTATAAAACAGAGAACGTTACAAACGTTGACAAATGGGGTCTTTTACTGTTTTCTGTATATTACCTGCAGTCTCTCGTCTAATTGTATACAGTATGTAGTGAAAGTACATATGCATTAGCACTCACAAATATAAGCTGGTCTTAAAAAAACATTGAGCTCAAAGAATCAATAAATAAATGGGGGAAAAAATAATTATGTGCTCAAAAGGAAGATATTTCCAACTGGAACTCAATCCCTTTAACACTAGTCTCAGTATCATGGTATTTTTTTGTTACTAACTCCTGCAGAGCAGCTGGCAGCCTTAAGCTATGATTTTTCCTAAGTCAGGAAAACCTGGTACAGAAAAAGGGAGGGTGTCTCCTTCCTTTTCTTCCTATTGTTCATAATCTAATATCTTAAGAATACACTTAACTTCTTGCAGCCAGACTTTAAAGTTTTCCTAGCTATAAACAAGAGGAATTCCAGGTTTCCCTATCCTACTGCAAAAGTGACTTTTACAAAAAATGAAATTTGACTTTGTTATTGCAAAGAAAAACTAACAAACCTATTCAACAATTTTTCCAAAAATTTGTTTTAACATATTAAACATACAAATTACTTGAACATAGTAACAACATTTTCTATATATTTAGACTATTCAAACAGAAAAGCACTAATATCTTTATGCTGAAGAAATCAACTTCCTATATGTCAACAAATATGCTATTTTTTCCTGAATACTTACATGCAAAGAGTTGGTATTAAAATTATGTAAAAGCATTACTGGCAAAAACTTCTAACCTCTTGATGTCCAACAATCTGTTTTTCTAGTGTAAGATCCAATTTCTCAACAATCTTCAAAATAGACTTCACAAACTCATTGTACACCAAACGTTTCAGATTTTGAAGGGAAGAACTCACAAAGAGAAATGTTTCATCACCTAAAAAAGAATCCTTTAGGTAAAGAAAAGTAATAATTGTCAAAATTTTGTACACAAATTTATCAATATGAATATTAACTAAGTACTAAGATATACACATACATACATACATATTTAGAAATTATAAAAACCACTATATAAACTAGCAGATTATCAGGAAGTTTTCAAACTGCAAAAATATAGGCAATTTGCTAAATTATTAAATAGTATCATTTCAGTCAGATGATGCAATTTCAATTTATCAGTCATGTAACAGTTACTAAGTAAAAAGGTACACGGGAAGGATTTAGTTCAATCCCTATCACCTCACCCATTAATTTGTGTAAGTGTGCACACATGATGTATTTACATATCTGTGTACATGCAGAGGTATACATACACACATTTATACATACATACATAAACATATACCCTCAAAATAACTTAAAACTATAATCGGCCATTTCTCTAAAAGTGAAACTATTCTATTATAACAAAAATATAGACCAATTACTCTGCCTTTACTGAGACAAATATCCTGTGGAAATTAATCTCAAAATAGGGATATCATACCCAAGGAAGAAATATTTAAGTTAGTAAATGTAGTAAAATTACTAAAAACTTCTCTGCAACAATTCCTAGACTTTTTCACAAGACAGAAATGAACTATTGACAAAACTATTTTTCCTAGGCTATTACTTTGTCAAAGTCTAAATTAAAATGATGCCCAGAACCAGCCAGAAGTAGAAAGAAACTAATAGAAATATATTAGGCAAGAGACATTATTATAATCACAAATGATATAAGTAAAAGCTATATGCCAACCTCCTTCATTCCTATTAAATCAACTGGATTTATCTTCACATTTAACAAATATAAAAAGTATCAATACATCTTTTGATACTTATTTTGTGCTTATTTGATGCTTATTTTGTACTTATTTGATACTTATTTTGTACTTATTTGTTATTTATTTGTTAAATAATAAATATTGGTAATACTGTTATAGTCTTGTTACCCACAGGCTGGATGTCAGAAAGGTCTTTGCATCAACTATACTAAACTACTTAAAGCTAAAATGAGGACTCAACTACAGTAATAAGTTAAATTTAAATGAGCCCTATAATTTTTTTCCTTTTAAGTGATTTTTTTCCTAGTCTCTAAGTTACAAATTTAGTGCTTTATTATGTGAAGTATTTTTCAAAATAACAATTGAAAATTAGTAAAAAATAATTCTGAAATAAGCTTTAGCATGAAACTTTAGAGACTAATAGAGAAGAACTAGGGTACTTTATTCAATTGTAAATTATCATTTTTACCATCATCTGGTCACAGCTCAGGAGATTTCTAAAAAGATCCAGATAGTCTTTGTAGGTGGGCACTTTCCATTTGCCAGTTCTGACTTCCCCCGATGCACGATCATCTTCAGATTCAGCACCCTGGGAAGACAACACACAAAATTTACTAATGGTATTACATAATTATTACTTTTGCCACACTCATTTCTTGAATTTTCTAACCTAAAACAGTTAGGAGTAGGAGACTATAATTTGATTGAGGAAGACAGTGTATTATGAAAGCATAATAGAAAGCAAACTGTAAAAATATCTGATGTTCTCAACTGGGACAAATTGTGACACACTAACATATAATTAAAACAAACACCAAGAAATATGTTATAAATTACTTATCTTATTATCATACATTGGTCAATCTTTCACCTTATCTCATGTCCTGTAACCTCTAGTCACTAAGACATGCTTCCTCTAATCTACTATAAGTAGCCTAGAGTTTCAAGGGACAAAACATTCCCTTTTTGTAAAAATATGTATATAACAGTAATGTTACATTTAAGGATGTTTCATAATTTAGAAGTTTATTCACCTAAAAAAATAAATAGGTACTGTGTCCTACAATTTTGAAAATATAAGACATGGCTAAGTATATTTACTAAAAGGATTACTTTTGTGTATTTTATTTAGAGCCCCAACAATATTTCTAACTTTCAATGACATAAAAAAATAAAATTCAGAATTTACCTTTTGAAGGATCACTGGCTTAGAACATATCCTGATTAAACCCTGATGCACTAAAAAAGAGAAAATAAAAAAAATAAATAAACACTGAGGGCCTCCCTGGTGGCACAAGTTAAACACAGCACGATGAAGCTAGCTACCTACAACCATTGCAGCATGAGTTCAATCCCCAGCAGGTCAGGGAGCTACCCACATGGTGCAGTAGATGTCTCCTGTCTCGCCCACTGCTCCCCTCAGCAGTGTATTTCAGTCAGTCTGCCTATTCTGCTCCCCACTCTGTCTCTGGTGAATCCCCTCACCTCCTGTACCCCTGACCTGTACCCCAGTTCTTATATGCATAAATGAATCTTTTAAAAAAATAAAATGGTGGTGCAGCAGTTGAGCACTGGGCTGCGAAGCTGCCCGCAGCCTCTAGAGTGCCAGTTTGATCCCCGGCCACTGGTGAGGGTCCTACAGGGCGCGACAGACCTCTCCTGCCACGCCCACTGCTCCCCTCAGCAATGTATTTCATAGGTCTGCCTGTTCTGCTCCGCTCTCTGGCTCTGGTGAATTCTCTCACCCTCCCGCGCTTCTGACTGTACCCAGTGCTTGCATAAATAAACAAATAAATAAACAAACAAATAAATAAATAAATCTTTAAAAAATTAAATAAAATAAATAAATGCTGAAAAATACAAATACTCAACAAAAAATGACAGCAATTTTAATAACCTTTACATCTTATTTTTTTTCTTGAAGTGTGTTAATCACTTCAGTTTTAAATTTTAAACTATTAATATTCAGAAGTAAAAAAAAAAGGTTCAAAGAAAGGATGAAAAAAGGAAATTTTGGAACATCAATTATCAGAAGTTCTTCAAATGACATTAAAAGAATTTGATAACTATATGCTCTTGATATTAACAATGATAAGTATTTGCCATAAAAGTAATAATTCCAAACTTACCCACAGTACTAATGCAATTCCAGAGCACTGGTCCTTTTTCTGCTAAAGCAAGGAAAACTTTCACGATGGCTCTACAACACACTGACTGCATTTTTGGACTATACTGTGGGAAACTGTCTATCTGTACCACCATGACATGTTCCAGAACTGGGGTATATACCTCTGGAACCTAATGGAAATAAAGAGCAAACTAAAAGTTAGAGAAGAAAATAAGTAAACACAGGAGTAGTTAAATACTCAAAGTAATTACAACTCAATTATATACATATTAGATAAGTGGGGAAAAAAAAACCTAACTTGTTATCTATTACAAGGTTAGCATTGATTCTTGTCATTACCTAATAAAGGCCCCAAAACTCAGAGTAGAACAGTCTGAATGATCCTAAGGTACAATCCTAGCCCAAACAGCAATCTTAATCTTTCAGAAAGAATAGTAAATAATTTTTCCTGTTATGAGTAACAAAAAGTCAAGTTTCGTGACAAATTTATTTACATAAAATACAATTAAAATTTAATCATAATGGGGCCTCCCCAGTGGTGCAGCGGTTGAGCACTGGGCTGCGAAGCTGCCCACAGCCTCTGCAGCGCTGGTTCAATCTCCAGCCACCAGCGAGGGTCCCACATGGTGTGCAGACCTCTCCTGCCGCACCTGCTGCTCCCCTCAGCAGTGTATTTCGTCAGTCTGCCTGTTCTGCTCCCCGCTCTGGATCTGGTGAATCCTCTTACCCTCCTGTGCTTCTGACTGTACCCAGTGCTTGTATAAATAAATAAATAAATAAATATTTAAAAAAAAATTTAATCATAATGGTGGTGTCCCGAATGCATACATGACTCCATCAAGTTATTTTAAGAACTGAGATTAAATACTTTAAAACTGTGCTCAATTTAATTAAATGATCCTACTTACAGTATCAAGATAAAGCAAGACACTTGCAATGGACTGGAGGAAACTTGGCATCTGATACATATTGTCCTCAACTGTGTCTGTCTGAGTGAGGTACAGCTGCTTGCAGCGCTGAATGAGCTCTACATACATGATGTCAACATCTTTTGCATTTATAACCTTGCAAGGCTTTAAGAAGATAAAACAATAGTCTTAATCAATCTTATAAATACAAAATAATGGTGTTTAAGATGCTGTGCTAAACCATGTGCTTATACACTAGATACCAATAAGTTTTTTAATGGAGAAGAAACACATATAAAATACAGTATAGGGCCACCCCTGTGGCACAGCAGTTGAGCGCTGGGCTGCGAGGCTACTCGCAGCCTCTGCAGTGCCGGTTTGATCCCCGGCCACCAGGAGGGTCCCACATGGCGTGCAGACCTCTCCTGCTGCACCCACTGCTCCCCTCAGCAGTGTATTTCGTCACTCTGCCTATTCTGTTCCCTGCCTCTGGCTCTGGTGAATTCTCTCACCCTCCCGCACTTCTGACTGTACCCAGTGCTTGTATAAATAATATTTGTTTAAAAATACAGTATATATTATAACGATACTTTCAAAAACAATCCATCAGTTACATTATTAATATTTATTCTACACAAAATTTATACTGATTATCAAGTACATTCTAGCATTATTTAGACAGCAGATATCAAAGTCAATGAGACAGTCCCAGCCCCCACAAGGCTAAGTCACCAAGAGGATGAGACTAAGAACTCAATTCATCATCGGAATGTTTTATGGTATTGTACCAAAAACAGAAACAAAGACTAATGGGATTCTTATTCTTGAGACAAGGGAGCAGATATTGAAAGACAGACTTGTAGAGAAATAACAAGTAATTTTTCTGTAAAGCAGAGATCTGCTAAGAGAGCAGTAATTTGGCCATTCTTAACAGTCTTATAATAACTGCTCTTTCTAAAACTCTGGGTAACCTCAAGTACAAGTTTTACATCATAATAAAGGGACAATACTATATTGGAAAAAACATGGTGTTTCTAGCCATCAGACTTCAATTTATATCTTAGTTCTAGCAATTATTAATTGTGTATCATTTGACGAGTTTCCTAATTAATCTGGGTTTTGAAGTCCTTATCTGTGAAGTGGAATAATACTTCTGTAAGCTTTAGGAAGATATGAAGATTTGATCTAATACATGCACAAAAGTATATTACACAATAGAACAGATACTGGAAAAACAAAAACAGCAAGAAAGCAAATGTCAACAATATTGTCAAGTGTGATTATGATATTAAAAAATGCAATAAACTATATTACTCTAAACATTCAAATGAAACTAAAAACAGTAAATTTATGAGCCATACTCCTGCAAAAAGTCCATATCCACGGATAGCAATGGATAAATCCTTGCTGTTTGAATCCATGTTCCTGATGATTGCATAAAATTGCTCCATAAAGTACTGCAGCTTTTTCTTATGTGTTTCTGCATCTTTTCCCACCATAAAAGAAACCTGCAATTGCATAATATTTACTTTTCAGAAATAATGAATAACAAAACAAAGGAATCTACACAAATGTGAAAAGGCTACAATTGTTCAATTATCTATTGTTAACGTGCTACGCAGTTCAATACCATTTCTTTACTCAAAAAAGGACCATTGCTTCCATTTGTTTGGTCTCATCAAGTTCAGAAAAGATACACTATTAAATAAGGCTGTATTATATGTGATGTATTTTTCCCTATTATCTAATTACATCACTTACAACAGTGAAGGCCCACCACCATCCAGCAAGTTCAAGTCACCAAAGGACTGGGCACCTCATTAGGGTAATACAACATAGGTTCAAAACTAACAAGAAAGGCATCTCATTAAAAATTTAAAAATCTACCTACTATAAAGCTTAAATTAGACGAGAAGCAAGAAAGTCTCTATCAAATTAAACAAGCAATAGCTCAAACGCAAAAACGAATATGGATGTTCATAAAGTCTCAAATTTTGGCAAACACTCTGCCCAAAACAAGAATACACAGACTCTAGATAGTTATCAAAGCCAGAAAAAAACTTATCTACCTTAATTGCCAACCTAACAACACACATGGCACAGCAGACCTCTCCTGTCTCCCCGCTACTCTCCTCAGCAGTGTATTTCAGTAGATCTGCCGGTTCTGCTCCCCACTCTGTCTCTGGTGAATTTTCTTACCCTGCCCCCCACAACCACACACACCTCTCTGGCCTAGACCCCAGTTCTTGTATGCATAAAAATAAAATAAATCTTTTAAAAATATATACATATAAGGGCCTCCCCGGTGGCGCAGTGGTTGAGCGCTGGGTTGCGAAGCTGCCCGCGGCCTCTGCAGTGCCGGTTCGATCCCCGGCTGCTCCCCGGCCACCGAAGGAGGGTCCCACATTGCGTGCAGACCTCTCCTGCCGCCCGCTGCTCCCCTCAGCAGTGTACTTCATCAGTCTGCCTGTTCTGCTCTCTGCTCTGGCTCTGGTGAATTCTCTCACCCTCCTGCGCTTCTGACTGTACCCAGTGCTTGTATGCATACATAAATAAATAAACCTTTAAAAAAAATTAAATAAATAAAATATTAACTATATATATATATATATACACACACACACACACACACACACATATATATAAAACAGTGATTGATGTGTAAACCCAAAACTGGAAACAACCCAAATTTTGTCCACAAAGAAATCATGGTATATTCCTTATTGTGAGAGCTACACATGAGAGATAATCTTAATAACCAGAATAATGTGGTGAAAAGGAAAGCCTGATAAAAAGAATGGAATACTATGCAGTAACAAAACAGAAAAATCTCAGAAACATTAGTGCAAAACCATGAAAGAACACAGTGAGATTTACATAAAATTCTAAAGGCAGTGACAGAATGTACTAGTTGCCTGAGACAGGAGGTAGAAATTACATGCAAAGAGGCTAGCGGGAATTTTCTGAGGTGATAGAAATGTTCTGTATCTTGAATGTGTTGACAGTTACATAGGTATATATATTTGTCAAACTCAAACTAAAAATTTAAAATATGTATATGTTGTTATATATAAATTATACCTTGAAAAAGTTGATCTTTAAAAAAATGTGTGTCTAGTTGCTAGATTCTGAGCTTCTCAGCAGCCAGAACAAAAACTATATTATATATATCCCAGATATTCAACGTATTCAAGAGAACAAAGATTTTCCTAGTACTTAGACAAGTCAGAAAGGGGGTACTATTAACAATAAAATCTCAGAATAAATGTAGTAAGGAAGTTCCTTATGGCTGTCTAAAAATATCATGAAATGTACAACAAAATGCAAAGGGGAAATTTTTTACCTATTTTTTCCTACACATTTAAATTTCTTATTATGGGAGCTAGAAATGAGAGGTAATCTTAATAACCAGAATAATGTAGTGAGAAGGAAAGCATGCTAAAGGGGATTGATAAGAAGTTGAAAGGGACAGAACGGGAGAAGGGGACCAGAAAAAAAGCACATCTATTTCAACTTTTGTTGGAATTGGGCCCACACCTTAAAAAAAAAAAAAAAAAAAAAAATCACCACTTCCTCTCCCTCCTGTACCTCAAAGTCAGGAATCTCAGGCCAATACTATCTGTGTGTCACAGTTCAAATAGATGTTCATGGACTAGCTTTTAAATGTACAATCTTTTATAACATTGCCCAGATAAAAATTTTGTTGTCAATCTTCAGTACTCTCCATCAGTGCCAACCTAAGTAGTCTAATTCCACAATTAGTGCAACAGAGTTATTTCCAGACATGCCTAGATTCTCAGATGACAGTCATAAACACATTCACCTTAGTCAAGTGAGATATGTTCTACATTTCCAAACTTGCAGGCTCAAATTCTGTACCCACATCCTATCTGGATGGGAACAGGGAAAGGCAAATGAACTCTCCTTGTTCTTAAATATGTGCAATGTAGCATTTTACCACCACCAATGGCCCCACATTTAGGGAGTTGTGTTCCTCACCTACCTGGTTGCCCTCTGGCTTGAGTGAAGACCTGATCTCTCAGCCCTTCCTTCTACCACCTCATCACTACATCTTCTCTCTCTGAGACCTGCCCTACTCTTGGCTCTGAAACCCCAGTCAGATCTGGTATCTTCTAAGCTTTATTTCAATCCTGCTGCTACCCATGTGGCTGATCAGTGATGAAGCTCTTTTCTTTAAAGAAGCTAATGGGTCAATTTGTACTTACTTTTGAAATGTGCTTTCACAGAATTGGAATTTAATCTTTTGTTTGGAAAAAAACATTTTCAAGTGAAAAGTTGAATTTGTAGTACCTGTTTCAGAAAAGATTCCAGGGCTGAAAGTGCAGTTCTTTTCAATTCCATATTTGTATGGCTACACCATTTTGACATTACTTCAAATAAAGAAATATAGTTGTCCAGAAGACAGGTGCTAAATTGTGATGCATGCAGGGTAAGTAAGCGTAAGCCAGCTGCAATTGTAAAAAACAATCATGTTTAATTTAAATTAGCACAGCAAAAAGCAGAAAAAGAACTGATAAACTTTAGGCATATGTAGAAATTAAAACTGTGTTCATGAAAATCTAGTGTCATTATAGCTAACAACCTACGGGTCCTGATCAGAGCTCTAACGCCTCATTGACCATTTGAATCAACAGCTGACCAATGAATCAATAACAGTGGCCCATGACTGGCCAATGATTTGACCCAAGGCCCCTGAAACAAAGTTCAGAAATAGGATCAGGATTTATTTAAAGTCAGAATCAATCAATCTGGGTCCCACCAAAAAATGCTTTAATTTTTTTTAAATCATTTAATCTAAGCATGACCACCTCAACTGGAGTTTGTGCGCTAAAAAGTCTTCAAAAGCCTCCCTGTAAAAAATTGTGTATGAAACATCACAGATGCTATATTTACTTTCATTTATAGTTTAAGCAAAAGTTTACTCAGGACATTAACTTAGTAATCTGAAATATTCCACCTCATTAAATAAAGAATCTTACCTAAGGGTACTGCATATCTCTTCAGATCAATCTATGAAAAAAGAAAATTACCATCAGTGTTTGACAATCACAAGCCTCAACTGTAAGAGAATTAGAGTAGTATTAATCCTACCTGAGGACGAATTGCCTTTAACGCAAAATCAAAAATCTCCCTTGACATCTGGGCATCTGGGAAAAAACACAAAAAAGCCTCTACTCTAAATTCTATTTTTTTTTTTGGAAAGATTTATTTATTTATTTCTACAAGCACTGGGTATAGTCAGAAGCACAGGAGGGTGAGAGAATTCACCAGAGCCAGAGCAGGGAGCGGGGAACAGAGCAGGCAGACTGATGGAGAAATACACTGCTGAGGGGAGCAGCAGGCGCGGCAGAAGAGGTCTGTCGTGCCATGTGGGACCCTCGCCAGCGGCTGGGGATGGAACGGCGCTGCAGAGGCTGTGGGCAGCTTCGCAGCCCAGCGCTCAACCACTGTGCCACCAGGGGAGGCCCTACTCTAAATTCTAATAGTTATCTGACAAACTTCACAACCAACTTCACAACTAATAACTCTATTTCAGACATTGTGACATCTATATCAAACCCAACAGTCTCTTAGGAATGAAGGAATAATGTCTCCCAAGATCTGACTGAGCTAGAGAGCTGCAAATTATTACTACTGTACAGTTATTACTACAGTAAAATTGGAAGAAAGTTTAAAATAACAAAGACAGGGGTTTAAATTCTAACCCATCACTTATAACCAGTTAAATAATCTTTCTGAGCCCCCACTTATAATCTGTAAAAAGGGGCAGTTTATACCTTCTTTCAGGGTTGTTTGGAAGATTATGTAACTCAACAAAAGCCAAACACATTATAATTTTCCCAAGTCTTCCAGGAATTCATCATGTAGTACATACCAAATCATTATGAGATCTATAAATGTGAATTATGAAGATAAAACAGATACACAACTATATAAAGCAAGGCTCTTATCCTGGTCTGCTTGATGTAACATTTATTTGAAGTACTATCTCCCACCAGATTATTCATTGCAGCTGTCCAGAAATCATGCTTTATTCACAGAATTTCCTGCCCTGGTAACAATGACTTGAAAGCATGGCAGAGGCGAAAAAGAGAAGGAATTAGAAGGGGCTTAAGTTGAGAGGAATATTAACATGACAAGGAAAGGTACTTTAAATTACACACAAGGAAAGATCTCTTCTGGCTGTGATTACTGAAGTTAGCTTCTAAAGTCAAGGTATCACTTGAACTGAGCCAAAGAGAATACTAATTGGGGGAAAGGTCACTCTAATAGAAAGGTGTAGTATACACAGCTGTGCAGACACGAGGGCACCAGGCACTCTTCAGAGCTGTTGGTCTAAAACAAATGGACTCAGTACATTAGGGATTAAAGACCCTGAGTTCTCAGAAGTATGAGTGGATACCATCCTGGTCATTGTGAATTCTCTTCCTATCGTTGGCCCTCTCAATTTGCCTATTCTTGCTTTCTCTTAAATGGAATATTTGTGCTTTAAAAAAAAAAAGATTTATTTTTATATATTGCATATAAGAACTGGGATGCAGGTCAGAGGTACAGGGGGTGAAAGGATTCACCAGAGACAGAGTGGGAGAAGAACAGGCAGATCTACTGAAATACACTGCTGAGGGGAGCAGCAGGCAAGACAGGAGGGGTTTGCTGGACCATGTGGGTTAGCTCCCTGGCAGGGGATCGAACCTGTGTTGCAGTGGCTGGTGATAGCTTGAAAGTGCTGAGACTTTAACCCCTGAGCCACCAGGGAGGGCCTATTTGTGCTTTTTTAACTGGCTTTTCTCAGTTAGCATGATATGCACAAGATTCATTCACATGGTAGTATGTAACAGTAGCCCCTTCCATTACTAAAGCTATAGAGTAAGACAGATCCCACTATGTATGTATATAGTATTATAATATGTATATATTGTGTATCAATGTGGTTGCAAGAAAAGAGGTGACTGTGGCTATAAAAGGGTAGAAGAATGGATCCTTATGTTAATTAATATTCAGTATCTTGACTATTGGTGTACAAATTTACATAGGTGATAAAACTGCACAGAACTAAATACATACACAAACATGAACATGAATCTGAAATAGGTCACTATTCTACTATAGTTATAAAAGATGTGCTTACTGGGGGTAAGTGGGTGCAGACCATATAAAGTCTATATAACTTTTGACAACTGCACATAAGCCCACAACTGGTTTGAAAGTTCAAAAAAATAAACAGGCAATTTATTTTAGACTTATGGTTTTTGAATAAAGAAAATTAAAAAAAAAAATCAAGTAAGGTCAAACAGTACCCTCTTCCATGGTTTTTGTGAAGTTACACATAAGTGAAGACAATCCCTTTAGACATCCTGCCACAACAAGTAGTTTGGGCTCTCTTACTGTTGATGTCATCTAAAAGGCAAGTTTTACAAAGGTATCAATAAAAGAGAAAAATACAATCAAATCTTTGGAAGCAGGGTATCATAAAATTTATCATACCTGGGTCTTAAGTTCTCCCAGAAAAGCCCGGAACAGATTTTCTGAATTATTTATCATCTCACTAGGATGAACTTCACCTAATACTCCTAGGAGTTCATATATTTTTTCTAAAACTGAAAAATAAATTTTAGACAAGTGAAGGCCTAAAGTAACATTTAAATAAATTAAAGAAAATAAGAAAAAATATGAGACTTTAGTTCAAAAGTAATTTCATAATTAAGATATACCAACTATCTAGTTTTATGTACTGAAATCTTTGAAGCTTTATGTAAATCTATTATTATAAACTAAACTACATTTGACATGCACAATGAATTTTCTGTTTACAGATACCACTTTGTAAAGGTTAAGATTTTTAGAAGCAGAAGTCTTCACATTGTTTTTCTTTTGTTTCCATTTTGGCTTGTATTCAGCAAAACAATTCATCCATAAAACATATAAATATACCTTAGTAGAGAAAAGTCTTACACTAATAATTTTTAGTGTTACTTTGTTAACACATTTTAAAATGATATGTAGATGTATCTTACCTGTATCTGGTATTTTTGTTTTCAATGCAAGTTCTCCATAGAATTTGCTAAATAATTCTCCAACTCTAAATTGATCCATGAGTCTAGAACTCCTCAAAGTCTGAAGTAACTAAAAGAATACAAATAGCATTTTCTAAGAAGGAAAATAATGAAATGTGTGTGTATACAGTAAAGTTCCAGAATCATGTGTTTCTAAGGGATTTATGCCTGGGCTCTCAGGATTCTTATCTACCCGATTACTTGAGGGATAAGGTTGGGTAGTGAAAAGAGGGGATTACAAGAGGAAAGAAAGTGTAGATTGAATGTTACCTTCCCAAGTAACTATGGTCATATTATTATATGACCATAATCTCTCATTGTCACTTAAGACAAGGATCAACAAGACCCAAAGGAATTGTAAGAAATGCAGGTAAGGAAAAAACTCTGATACAATGACAATGAATTTAGGCAATTCTTAGTAACCTTAGGTTTTAGAGTAATGTGAGCAGCAAATTCTTTAGTTATTTTTCCCCTTTATACTCACAACCCAAAATTCTTCCTTCGCTACCCAGAAGGGTCTGAGAGCAAATACCCAGATACTGGGTGACAGAAAATAAACAGGGCCTCCCTGGTGGCGCAAGTGGTTAAGACGCAACCTATGCAGCTAGTGCAGCAACAGTTCCATCCCCAGTCAGGGAGCTACCCACATGGCACAGCAGACCTCTCCTGACTTACCCGCTGCTCCCCTCAGCAGTGTTTTTCAGTCAATCCACCTGCCCTGTTCCCCACTCTGTCTCTGGTGAATCCACTCACCCCCTGCACCTCTGGCCTGTACTCCAGTTCTTATATACATAAATAAATCTTTAAAAAAAAAAAGAAAATATATAGCTTATCCATAACCTTAATGTAATTCAAGTCCCTCTTCTAACAGCTCCCACGCAAAACATATTCCAAAGCAACATTGTAAAATTTTTAAAGTTATATATGTTTAGTATAAAATATATGTTCTTATAAATAAATAATTACCTTAATAAGGAGCTCCAGAGCTGGAATTTTACATTTAGCAGCTTTATCTTTTGTGTAAACACTGGTACAGGTATTCTAAGTTTTAAAAGGAGACATATCCAAATCATCAGTAAAACAACAAATATATAACAACAGCTAAAACAATATCTCTGAGAAGAGCAATACCAATAAATGATGTAACAAAATTCATATTTAGGGCCTCCCTGGTAGCGCAAGGGGTTGAGACGCAATCTATGAAGCTATCTGCAGCCACTACAGCACGAGTTTGATCCCTGGCCAGGGAGATACCCACGTGGTGCAGCAGACCTCTCCTGACTCACCTGCTGCTCCCCTCAGCAGTGAATTTTGGTAGATCTGCCTGTTCTGTTCCCCACCCTGTCTCTGGTGAATCCTTTCACCACCATCTCCAACACCTCTGGCCTATACCTCAGTTCTTATATGCATAAATAAATAAATCTTTTTAAAAAAATTCACTATTTAGTTGCTAAAAGTACAATACTTAAGTACATAAATGTACAAATTTAAAAACTAATGAAAACACTGAAGCAGTATGTTATGTATAACAATATCAACAGTAACTACAAAAATTCAAAGTAAAGGAAACCTCAGCAGGATTTAAATAAAAAAAAAGTCACTCCTCCTTCCATACTTTCCACAACACTTATTACTATATCAAGAAAGGATGAATAATTTAAAAAGTCACTAGAGAAATTTAGGGAAGAGGGCCTCCCTGGTGGCTCAAGGGGATAAGACACAACCTATGCAGCTATCTGCAGCCACAACAACACGAATTCAATCCCCGGCCAGGGAGCTACCCACATGACGCAGCAGACCTCTCCTGTCTCACCCGCTGCCCCCCTGAGCAGTGTATTTCAGTCAATCTGCCTGTTCTGTTCCCCACTCTGTCTCTGGTGAATTCTCTCACCCCCCCATACCTTTGGCCTGTACCCCAGTTCTTGTATACATAAATAAATAAATCTTTAAAAAAAGAAAGTTTAGGGAAGACTAGCTGAGATACGATGGGTAAACAGTACAATATAATAAAAAAAGCAGGAGCTCTGGAAGGAGGCAAGTTGGCTCCAAGATAAGAATGAGTTTCATAACTCATATTTGTAAGCTTACAGAGGTTAAGAATACCAACACCACCAACTTTTGGTAAAAATTAAATAAGACAAGGGGAGTTCCTGGTGGCACAGGTGTTAAAAGTCTCAGCGCTGTCAAGCAATTGTGAGCCACTGCTATATGAGTTCCATCCCCAGCTAAGGAGCTAACCTACATGGCACAGCAGACCTCTCCTGTCTCATCCCCTGTACCCCTCAGCATTGAGTTTCAGTAAATCCACCTGTTCAGTAGATCCATACTCTGTCTCTGGTGACTTCTCTCACCACCACCCTACCTCCCCACTTCTGACCTACACCCCACCTCTTGTATGCATAAATAAACGAAAATAAATCTTCAAAAAAAAAAATAAGACAAGCAAAACAGTGCATTAAGGAATTCTGCGAAACGTGATGCACTCTAGAAATGTTATATGTATATGTTAAAATTCCAATCAAGAAAGAAGTCAAAAGACAAAATCAAAACCTATTTTTAAAAGACTGATAATTGGGCCTCCCTGGTGGCGCAAGGGGTTAAGCACCACACTATGAAGCAATCAGAAGCCTCTGCAGCAGGAGTTCAATCCCTGGCCAGCCAGGAAGCAACTCACATGGCACAACAGACCTCTCCTGACTCGCCCGCTGCTCCCCTCAGCAGTGTACTTTGGTCAATCTGCTTGTTCTGTTCCCCACTGTCTCTGGTGAATCCTATCATCCCCCGCATCTCTGGCCTGTATCCCAGCTCTTGTATGCATAAATAAACAAATCTTAAAAAAAAAAAAAAAAAAAGACTGCTAATCATTAAAAATATTTCCTACATTAGGGCTAATTATAATTTATAAAAGATTTAATACAGACTTCATTGAACCCTTAGCATCCAAGAACTGTAATAGAAGCAAATTAGGGCTATTAAAACAAATTACTATTCAAACTATAAATAAGTCTGGGAAAGAAAAGCTTAATATATGGTTACTATTTCCAAAGTATATTTGAGGAAACCTAGGGAACACAGGTTAGACAAGAATGGGAGGCCCAAGAGAGAAAACTTTTCACACTAGTGTCAAAGAGAAAATGTGAATCTTACTCAGTAGGATAATTCTTTAAAATTGCTTAAAGTGACTTGAAATCTCCCTACAATTCAAAAAATCCAATTTACTATGACATAACATTTTAAGTGCAAATTTTATCAAAATAAGTTTTTGACATGGACTTATTAGATCTAAAAAAAAGCCCCCTTTATTTCTAACACAATCAAGTATATAAGTAAACTTTCCAACAAGAAAGGAATCAGTAAAATAAAAATCCAAGTTTAATTTATGCCATGGATGTTAAAAATGGATGTTGCTATTTAATAAGGTTTATGTTCCTTACCTTAATATCAAGAGAATAAGGTGTGATCTTCTGGCCAATTTTTTCTAAGAAAATACATAAAAATTTTAAGACTTCTTCTCTACAATCACGAAACTATAATAAAATAAATGCACAATATAGTAAATATGGGTAAGAATAAGAGTCACTCCAACATAAAGGAATATACAAGAAAAGCAATGAAAATTTTCAACTTACTTCATAAATGCTAAGTGACTTCTGAACAAATACAAGCAAACCAAAATCCTTGGAAAACACTAAGGAAGTCTGTAATGCTGGACCGAAAAACAAAAACAAAAAAAAAAAACAGTTAAGAAAACCTCAAGGACCTACCTATTGGCACAGGGGCTCTCAACACTATCACCACCAGGGCCTAAGTTCGATCCCCAAGTTTGATCCCCCAGCCAGGCATCCAATGCAGCAGACCTGTCCTGTCTTGCTTGCGGCTCCCCTTAGCAGTGTATTTCAGTAAATCCACCTCTTCCACTCCCCACTCTGTCTCTGCTGAATTCTCACCACCTACATCTCTGGTCCTTACCACAGTTCTTCTATGTAGAAATAAATAAATCTTTAAAAAAAAAAATTAAAAGAGCCCCCGGGAAGTACTCCATCACAAACCCACCCAAGTGCATGTTTCTGAACTCGGCCTTGTAAGTGATAAAACACTAAAATAAGGCTGCTATATTAAAACAAGTATCAGACCATTAGGGCAGAGAGGGTGGATACCCAAAGAAAAGCAAATGGCTATCTACATCCGGACCCCAGGAAGCACTTGCTAGAGTCCATAAAGAATTCCATAACGTGGTCAAGAAACCCCCAGAGGGGCAGAGGCAGTCCCTCACCCCAACCTACAGGCAGGCCCTTAAAGCCCAAGGAGAGCAAGAAGTGGAAAGGGGGAAGGCAGATCACTGCCCCAACATCCTGCTTACAGAGCAGTGACTTAGAAAATCCTGCCTGGACAGATAAATTAACACCCAGGGAACACCGGAGCAGTAAACCCCAAAAAGGGATGGAGTGAGCAATCCCCTGTACCCCCTTTAAGGCAGGGGTCACAGGCTTTCCTTGCAATTGTTCTTTGGACTCTGCCAGCCTAGACCTCTTCCCAAGCGTACAGTCATTCTGTCATTCTGTCAATAATAAACTTTGCTTTGCCTAGACATTGCTTTAAATTCTTTCATGGCTATACTCAAGAATCAAGGAACTCCAAAACCCAGACCAAAGCAGGAAATCTGGATGATCTTCCACAGGACTGCAGTATGCAGAATAAAGGGCCCAAAAATGCCAGCAAGGTAAATCTCTGGTGTCAAAGCTGAGACTATGCTACTTTACATGGCAAAAGAATGCAAATGACATTAAGGAAGTTTTATCTACTGACTTTATTTTTTTTTTACAGTATTTTTTAAAAGATTTTTTTTTTTTATTTATGCGTACAAGAACTGGGGTGTAAGCCAGGGGTGCGGGGTGAGAGAATTCACCAGAGAGAGTGGGGAGCAGAACAGACAGATCCATTGAAATACACTGAGGGGAGCAGTAACTTGGCGAGACAGAAGAGGTCTGCTTCACCAAGTGGGTTGGCTCCCTCAGCAGCAGAGGATATGCTGCAGTGGCTGGCTGCAGTGGCTGGCAATAGCTTAATACTGCTGTGTCTATAACCCCTGCACTATCAGGGAGGCCTTTATCTACTGATTATTCTAGATTTTCAGGTAGGCCCAATGTAATCACCAGGTCCTTAAAAGTAGAAGAGGGAGGGGACTCCCTGGTGGCCTAGGGGTTTAAGTCTCAGTGCTGCCACTGCAACAGCCCTCTGCAGCCACCTGAGTTCAATCCCAGCCAGGTAGCTAACCCACATGGTGCAGACCTCTCCAGTTTTGTCCGCTGTTCCCCTTAGCAATATATTTCAGTAGATCTGCCTGCTCTGCTCCCTACTCTGTCTCTGATGAATCCTCCCCCCACATACACACCTCTGGCCTACACCACAGTCCTTTTATGCAAAAATAAATATAATCTTTAGGGCCTCCCTGGTGGTGCAAGGGGTTAAAATGCAACCTATGAAGCTATCCACAGCCTCTGCAGCATGAGTTTGAGCCCTAGCGGCCAAGGAGCTACCCACATGGCACAGCAGACCTCTCCTGACCTGCCCACTGCTCCCCTCAGAAGTGTATTTCAGTAGATCTGCCTGTTCTGTTCCCTGCTCTGTCTCTGGTGAATCCTCTCACCACCCGCACCTCTGGCCTGTACCCCAGTTCTTGTATGCATGAATAAATAAATATTTTAGATAGATAGATAGATAGATAGATAGATAGATAGATAGATAGATAGATAGAATCTTAAAAAAAAAAAAAATGGAGAGGGAGCAAGAGAGATGGGAAGACTGGACAGCATGAGAGATTTCAAACATGAGAAGTAGTTTACCCCAATGAGGCAGAACAGAATTCTAACAACCTTAATGAAAAAGAAAATCAATTCTCAAATCTTCAGAATGGAAAGTGGCATTGGTGGATACCTTGGTTTTATTATACCTTGGGATCCATGTTGGGCTGCTGACTACAGAATGGTAAGATTAACAAACCTGTGATGTTTTAAACCACTAGTTTATGACAGTTTTTATCGCCATCCTCTAAAACCAATAACAATACACAAATGAAAAGACACAGATTATATACTGAAAATAAACTTGGAACTGCCTTGTAATCAAAAAACAAAAAGAATTCTAACTTAGAAACTGTGACAATAAAAAAAAAAGAAACTGTGACAATAAAGCAATTACATAACGCTGTTAGTTTATATCTCCTTTAACATATTCTGGACAATTTATAGATACTAAATAGCACCGCGTTTAAGGGGTTGTTTACATATTCAGCACTGACTTCTGCGGAAGACAATTTCACCTATCTTTCAATTAAGAAGACCGACACAACATCTTGGTGTTTTAAGAAAAGAAATTCAGGAAAAGTTTTCACGCAATGATGAATTTTGACAGTGCTCACGTGAGGCACTTTTACCACAAAAGGATAAAAAGTTCTGACCCACGCATTGCTAAAAAGTGAAAAGAATAGCATGACTTTTTAAGTTACATTTCCGTAATGCTGTTCAAAAGTAGGAACAGCACGTATAACCTTAAAGAAGGTACTAGTGGTTGTAGCTGAAATTAAGGTGAAAGAAAATCCTTGTTTGCTCTCCCTGCTTTAGACAGCAATTGTTGCCAAACTTAGGGCACCAAATTTGATTTTAATATGCCTCTCCAACAAAAAGCAGTATGACAAATCACTTTTTATACACGTCCACAGAAATCCCGCCTTTTTCAGAATCAAATGGCTGGGCCACCAAAAACTCTCGGCGTCCCCCTGCGGGAGAACTGCCGGCCTCGTTCCCTCCCGGCTCGGAAATCCGCAGGGCGCGCGCCCCGGCGCCGGAGGCGGCGCGGCCACGCCTGGACTGTACCCACCCAGCGCCGCGGGGCCGACGCTCAGCACGCACTCCTGCCCCAGGCCTCGGATCAGCTGACAGCTGGCCGTCGCGGCGCCGCATCGATCCGCTGCGGACAAGGACGTTTGCAGCTGCAGCAAGGAGGCCCGCACGCCCAAGCCGGGGTCCGCCATGACGCCCCAGGCCAGCAGAGCGCGTGCGCACGCGCCGTCCCGCCGGGAAGGGCCGCGCGCGCGGGGGCGGGGCTCGCAGGAGCGAGGGGCGGGGCCCCTTGGGGGCGGGGCTCGCAGGGGCGGGGCTCGCGGGAGCGGGGCTCGCGGGAGCGGGGAGCGGGGCCCCTTGGGGGCGGGGCTCGCAGGAGCGAGGGGCGGGGCTCGCAGGAGCGAGGGGCGGGGCCCCTTGGGGCGGGGCCCCTTGGGCGGGGCCCCTTGGGGCGGGGCCCCTTGGGGCGGGGCCCCTTGGGGCGGGGCCCCTTGGGGCGGGGCCCCTTGGGGCGGGGCCCCTTGGGGGCGGGGCTCGCCGTGGCGGGAACTTTCCGTCAGCCCCTAGTGCCTTCCCGCTAGGGCCCCCGGCTTGGACGTCAATTAGAATAGCTGAGCGGCCACGCTATGAATTTGTTGGATACAATTCACTTATCATGCCTGTACCGAAACCTCAGGAGAAATCAGAAGCCATCAATTTGACCTGCAAAAAGAGACAGGAAGGAGAGTGTGGGAGTTGAAGTTGACCCAATACCAGAGCTTGGTGAATGAGCTACACTTTTTTCTCTAGCTAAAGGCTGAAATGCGTTTGGAATAGTTTTAGAAATACAATTGTCTAAGATAGAAAGAAGCATCTTCTCCTTGGCTAGCACTACAGTGAAAACCAACCCCTAGTTGAACATGGTTTGATCCGACTCCCCAGCTTTCCCGCAAAATCGGGGTGGCGTGGGCGGCCGCACCACCCGAACGGCAGGGGGACCGGGGAGCCCTGGCCTTCCGCGGCGCTCGGGTGCTGTTCTGTCCCCCCCGTCGATGCGGAGTGGCACCTCCCGGGGCGGAGCCGGCGAGGACGCTGCTGTGATTGGCAGGGCGTCGGCGACGGCGGTGACGTTGGCGCCGCTGGCGCGAAACCTCCGCAGACTCGGGCTCCCAGAAGCCGAGCCCGCCGCGCGCTGCCTCGTCCAGGTAACGGGGAGGAGGGACGCGGGAGAGGAGCGAGGGGGCGCGGCGAGCGCTTGTTCTCGTCCTCACGCAGATACACGAAGGACCATGTCCTCCCCGGCGTCCACCCCGAGCCGCCGGAGCAGCCGGCGCGGACGGGCCCCCCCGGCGCCGACGCGTAAGTGCCCGCCCACGGCCCTCCCGCTCCCGCCCGCCGTCTGGCTTTTTCCCGCCACGGCGGGGAGACCTTGGCCTGCGCTCTGGGCCTCTCTCCTTTCAGGCCGCCTGTGTCTTCCGTCGGGGTGAAGTAAGAAATGTGGGCACCACGAGCCTTCGTGCGTGCTCTGCAGGCTCCACTGTGCAGCCTTGGCTTTAGGGCGCACAGCAACCATTGGCTGACCTGTTCGCCCCCATTTGCCTCTGTTTTCTTTGGTTTCCATTTGCTCAGTAAAGAATTCGTCCCTAGAGTCAAAACAAGGTAAACCAAACAAGGGAAGTGAGTGCCATCTCTTCTGTTTTGTGTATCACAAGTTCGAAGTGACGATGCCAGGTCATCTCCGTCTCAGAAGCGAAGAGGCGAGGATTCAACTTCCACAGGAGAGCTGCAGCCGATGCCCACCTCCCCTGGAGTTGACCTACAGAGTCCTGCAGCACAAGATACAGTATTCTCCAGCCCTCCTCAGATGCTTTCTTCAAGTGCGTTTCTGTAGATCTGAGTATTCCCCTGATTAATGCACAGAACATGCTTAAGGGTCAAATTTCCTCCTTTTGTTCATGGTAGTTGGAGTAACTCTGCATTAGATAATGTGTTTTCTACAAGAAGCTAATACATGTTTAGGGGTTAGTGAGCAGAGAAAAAACTTTTGGTGCTTTTTTTAATAGAATATTTAATTGTTCTTAGCATCTTCACCACCACAGGTGAGTTTTACTAGTGTGTTTAGATGAATTAGATGATTAGTGTGTTTAGATCAACAAGTAACATGCTATAGTTTGGGAGTTGATGTGCTACCAGAATTTCATTGTAAATTTTCACAAATTTTTTACAGCCATTCCTCTTGACTTTGATGTTAGTTCACCACTGACTTATGGTACACCAAGCTCTAGAGTAGAGGGTACCCCAAGAAGTGGTGTTAGGGGCACACCAGTGAGGCAGAGACCTGACCTAGGCTCTGCACGAAAGGGCCTGCAGGTGGATTTGCAGTCCGATGGGGTGAGTACCCTGTACAGTCTTTGGTAACATCATTTTTGGGTTGTAAAAGGTATATTCCCTATTAACGTGGTTTTGTCATTCTTTCTGTGTAGCCAGCAACAGAAGAAATAGTGGCAAGTGACCAGTCTCTAGGCCAAAAACTTGTGATTTGGGGAACAGATGTAAATGTGGCAACATGCAAAGAAAGTTTTCAGGTGAGCCACATGTGTTAGAATTCATATCTTAGGGCCCTGACAATGCTGAAAGTGTTTATAATCTGTAACCAAGTGGCCATAATGCTTAGGAGTAGATTTTTAGATGACTTAGAATTGTTATTTTTCTAGTTTTTCAGAAGTCATTGTTTTTTTGTCCAAATAACGATATACTCATAACTTTTTGTTTTTTGAGTAGTTGCTTGTTTCTTTCTTTTTTGTTTTTTTTTTTTAGTATTTATATATATGCATAGAAGAACTGGGGTATAGGCCAGGGGGTACAGGGGGTGAGAGGATTCACCAGACAGAGTGGGGAGGAGAACAGGCAAGTCTACTGAAATGCATTGCTATGGGGAACAGCAGGTGAGACTGGAGAAGTCTGCTGTACCATATGTGGGTTATCTCCCTGACCTGGAATCGAACTCAGGCGGTAGCAATGATAATGTGAAGGCGCTGAAACTTGACCACCAGTAAGGCCCTAGTTACTTATTTCTAAGTGCATTGAACTTGGTATATTTCTTTCCACATCAAGAGATTTCTTAAGCATTTTGTTGACCCACTGGCTAAAGAAGAAGAAAATTTTGCCATAGATATTACAGAACCTGTGTACATGCAACGACTTGCAGAGGTAATCAAATATTCTTATAATTCCAAGGGACATCTTTTGTTTAATTAGCAGAACATAACATTTCTTTAACTCTTACAGATTAATGTTATTGGGGAGCCATTTTTAAATGTAAACTGTGAACACATAAAATCGTTTGACAAGAACCTATACAGACAGCTCATCTGCTACCCACAGGTAAGAATTTTGCTTTGACCATCATGAATCACAATAAACATCTGGAAGTAGGGTTTCTAGATAGCAGAATTTCCTTAGCTATCAAGAGGCTATGCCAAACTGTAAAAGCTTCCTAATAAAACTGCTTTTCATCTCCACTAAGATGAACATTTTTTCACGCTAACATTTCTGAAAGTAGAATGTATATTGTGAATGGTGTGTCATACTTCATTTGGTACTGGCATAGCATATAAGATAATGGTGAATGTTATCATTGATAGCTTGTTAGATTTGATGAAGTGAATTACCTTAAGAGGAAATATTTTAGGAATGTATTTCATACTTCTGTCAACTCAGCAGACTAACCTAACTATATTGTAGTCTTTTTTCTTAGGATTCAGGCCTTCTTGATGAAATATCAGCTAGATTCTAGCAGTAGGTCTTGGAGGCATACAGGCTTGGTTTTAAATATTGATTTTGTGGCTTAATAACTATGTGACTTTGCTCAGGTTCCTTAGCTTCCCAGAAATTGTTTCCTTACCTGCAAAATGGGAAGCAAACGTTAACAAATAACAAAAAAAAATATATAATGATGATTTAAACAGTTTCGATAGCATTAAAATATGGGGGGAAAGTAAGACAGGAAAAGTATGAAAAAAAATTCTATTACCAATTAAAAGTCTAAACTATGCCACTTACATGTATATGGTCACATTTACCCTAATGAGAATATGCATCTAATGAGATAATCATTGCCTGGGTATGTAAATGGCATGTGTGTAATTAATTAGGATAATATTTTTGAATTATGTTGTGTGTTTTTGTTTTTCTATTTTGCCAATGTAAAATATTTTATTTCCTATTTTTAGCACTAAGATACAATGATAGTTTGGCATCCTTACCTTCATTTAACAGGAGGTTATCCCAACTTTTGACATGGCTGTGAATGAGATCTTCTTTGACAGTTACCCTGACTCAATCTTAGAACATCAGATTCAAGTAAGACCATTCAACGCGTTGAAGACTAAGAATATGAGAAGCCTGAATCCAGAAGGTAATCTTTTCAGTAACAGGAAATTACCTAACATAAAAATAAGCAAAGCTTCTTTCATGAAAGAATTTTAAAGAGTCATCAGTGATAGTGATGGATTATAAACTAATCAAAGAGCAGATTCAGTGATCCTATATGCTCATGGACCCACCTTATCAAAAGCTTTTTTTTTTTTAAAGATTTGTTTATTTATGCATACAAGAATTGGGGTACAGGCCAGAGGTGCAGGGGGTAAAGTTAGAGGATTCACCAGAGACAGAATGGGGATCAGAACAGGCACACTTACTAAAATATACTGCTGAGAAGAGCAGCAGGCGATTCAAGAGAGGTATGCTGCAATTTGTGGGTAGCTCCCTGGCCGGCCAGGAATTGATCTTGTGCTCCAGAGGCTGCGGATACCTTCACAGTGCTGTGTTTAACCTCTTGCACCATCAGGGAGGCCCCTTTATCAAAATTTTTAAGTTAACTGGGCTTCCCCGGTGGCGCAGCGGTTGAGCTCTGGGCTGCAAAGCTGCCCAAGCCTCTGCAGTGCCAGTTCAATCCCCGGCTGCTGGCGAGGGTCCCACATGGCGCACGGGCCTCTCCTGCTGTACCCGCTGCTCCCCTCAGCAGTGTATTTCATCAGTCTGCCTGTTCTGCTCCCTGCTCTGGCTCTGGTGAATTCTCTCGCCCTCCCGCATTTCTGACTACCCAGTGTTTGTATAAATAAATAAATAAATCTTTAAAAAAGAAAAAATTTTAAGTTAACTGAAATTATTTATATGAAAGATGAAATTACTATTGGCAGTTTTCTATTTTAAGGTGAACTTATTCAAAAATGTCAGGTTGTTTTTTAATTAAGTTGGCATCTTTTCAAAATCATTATAAAGAGCAAATACAAAATACAGTTCCGGGAACTTAAAAAAGAAACCTGGCATGGAAAGCGAAAATTAGAACAACAAAGAAACATGCAGGCTGTCTCACCTAAGAGGAGAAGCAGAGTGCAGGGCCTGAGTTGGAAGAGTTCATGGTGAAAGAGAATTTTGCATTACTGGAAATGTTTGGAAAGCAGATGTAAAGGAATTTAGATAGCTACAGAGAGTTTGGGAGGTGATGTTTGCCTGGGAGCTGGAAAGCCTAAGTAATGAAGAGCTTTGAATTCCAACTTTAACTACCCAAGTAAGTAGAGAGCCATTGACAGTTTTTTAAGGAGAAAGATTTTGCACTCTCCGTAAGCTCACAGTGGTTAAGTGTGTAAGGTATATTGAAGTTCATATCTATTTCAACCATAGCTCAGATGTGAGGCAGCAGTGTCCTAAGTTAGACAGTGACCACAGGAGTGAAAATACAGAGTAAACATATTTGCTGTATATGGAGATTAACATACAAAACCATTGAAAATGTATTAATGCCTCTGTAGATAGATGTGCAGAAGATAAATTTCAGTAAGGGAAAAAAAAAGTCAATAAATATGAGAAAGTATTTATTAAAGAAATACAATTTTTTATACTTGTAATTTGTTTTTGACATCTCTATGGTTGGGAGTTCTAGTGGGGACACTGAAGGAGGAAGAGAGCTATTTTGGGTAGGCGTGTTGCATTTAAGTGTTCAGAAACAAGAACAATGTTACGTGAAGAATTCCAGGGTAATATCAGAAATAACACATTCAAGGACACCAGGGGATTTATAGGTGTTCAACTGATATCAAAAGTATTCAGGTTTTACTTAATTAGCTTGTATGTCTATTGTGTAACTTAGTTACACAATAAAAGTTACATTTTAAAGAAGACTTACCTGACACAGTGAGTGAAGTACAAGGCAAGACAGGGAAAAGCTTAGAGCTTCTAATCTTTACTGAATATGGAGCTGAGCAGGAGGCAGATGAGCAAGGGTTTGGTGGTGGGACCATGAAGAAGGGCCAGAGGTCAACCAGGGTTGAGAGAAGGCAGACTGGCCACAGAGGGGCATTTAAGACCTGAGGGTACCAAAAGTACCCAATGGTACCTGTTAACACAACCACCCCCCGGTATTTCTGCATGCCTGTACAAGCTTCTGTTGGATTTGACAACAGAACCATGCCTGCCATGGCAGAAGCCTAACTCAGGGAAAGACCCATCTGACTGGGTTGTGGGCTGTGACTAATGGATATGCCAACCTCTCTTTCCCCGTACAGATATCGACCAGCTCATCACCATAAGTGGCATGGTGATACGGACATCCCAGCTGATTCCAGAGATGCAGGAAGCCTTCTTCCAGTGCCAAGTTTGTGCCCACACAGCCCGTGTGGAGATCGATCGTGGGCGCATTGCTGAGCCCTGTGTGTGCGAGCGCTGTCACACCACCCACAGCATGGCACTGATCCACAACCGCTCCGTGTTCTCTGACAAGCAGATGGTACATGGCCTTCCAGTTCCTTGGGTGACTTCCCCTTTGGCATACCTTGTCTTTATTCAGCCCCTACCTAGATCCTCAAAAAAGACAAATTTAACTTGTTCATTCATGAGGCCCTAAAACCTTGCTCATAAATGACATTTTTGTTTTAAGATTTATTTATGCACTCAAGAATTGGGGTACAGGGGAGGCGGTAAGAAAATTCAGAGACAGTGGGGAATAAAACAGGCGTATTGACTGAAATACACTGCTGAAGGGAGCTGCTGAAGGGAGTCAGGAGAGGTCTGCTGTGCCATGTGGGTCACCACCCTGGGCGGGGATAGAACTCATGCTGCAGTGGCTGTAGATCGTTTCACAGGTTGAGTCTTAACCTCTTGTGCCACCAAGGAGGCCCTCCTAAATTACTTTCATCTACCTTATAAGGTGAAAAAGAATGCATTCCTCCACTATTAACATGTTAAGTTTTCGTGTGATTTATAAGCTAGTAGATCAGATTAACCCATTCCAGTGTAATAAATCAAACTTAACATGCAGTACATCTGTGAAAAATATTTAGGACTAAAAAAATTTATGTCAGAGGCCTCCCTGTTGGCCTAGGGGTTAAGTCTTGGCGCTATCACCGCTATGGCCTGAATTCCCTGGCCAGGGAGCTAACCCACATGTGGTGCAGCAGACCTCTCATGTCTCACCCGCTGTTCCCCTCAGCAGTGTATTTCGGTAAATCCACCAGTTGTACTCCCTACTCTGTCTCTGGTGAATCCTCTCACCCCCTGCACCTCTGGCCTAAACTCCAGTTATTTTATGCAAAAAATTAAAAATATATACCATCGAAAAGTATATATAAAACATTTAAAATAGTAATTATTTGGCTAAGGTCTGTCATTTTGCAGCTGTGCCACTGGTAAATAATGGGTTGATAATCTTTTTAAAGTTTTCTCATTATATTATATAGGAAGCTTGGCCCTTTAATGATGAAAATTTTGAGATGCAATCATTGATGTAGAAATAAATCAGTAAGCAGAAAATTATTTATTATGATGATAATGGCGTAGTTATGCACAGGGCTAAGGTTTTTTTAATGTTAAATAGAGATCATGTTTGAAATACTATAAATTAATACTGCTGTTAATTTCCTTTATTGGATGCCAATAAGGAAAATACTACCAAATGCAAATAGTGTTTAACTTTATAACCAAAGAATTAAGATGAAATTAATAAATTTTCATTGAGTGTTTGTGCAAGTTGTAGGAAAGAATATACCTCAGTACATGCCTTTTCAGTACTGAGAACTAGAAACACAGTGGTAGGAGTCATACTCCCTAGGAGTATAGTCTGTATTCTCAGAATACTTCAAAAACTCACAGACTGTCTTAGAGTAAAACCTAATGTCTTTTCTTTTACATCTTAGTTTTTATACAGTATTTGATTTCTCCCCTCAGATGTAGTCCCTATAGGTCAGCTACCACCATAGTACCCATGAACCATCACCATAGTCCCTTGTGCCCTCCTGTGTTTTAACCCTTCTCTCTCCCGTGCTGTATGCCTCAGATCTATGGTCAGCTTGCAATTTGTTTTTTTTCCTGACCCTTTGTTTGGTTTTTCTGTATTCCACATATAAGTAAAACCATCTGATATTTATCATTCTCTTTGATTTATTTTACTTAGCACATTCTCTTCCATCTCCATCCATGTTGGCTACAAATGGGATTAGTTTATCTTTTTTGATTGCTGAGTTGTATTCCATTGTGTATATTTATCACATCTTCTTCATCTATTCATCTGTTTGGGACATTTAGGTGTTTCTGTTTCTTGGCTATTGTTAATACTGCTGCAATAAGCGGGAGTGTAGGTTTCCCTTCAAATTTGTGGTTTTATATTCTTTGGGTAGATAGATTCCTAGGAGTGGAATCATTGAATCATATGGTAGATCCATTTTTACTGTTCTGAGGAAGCTCCACGCAATAAAGCCTAGTATCTGAGAGTAGATTCTATACCAACATGACCTGCTATCACCCACAACACACTTTTATAACCATAGGCCTCCCTGACATTGTTTGAACCGTTTCTTCTTTTATGGCTCCTCAGACTAGCAAAAGCCTCTCTGAGAACCGTTGTATTTATTGTTTTTTCCAGTGAGAACATACAGCATTCTTAGACATCTGCCCAGAGGTCATGTGACTTAAAAGGCTTTCCTAACCTTGCTTTATTAAAATCATCTCTTCTACCTTCTTGGCCTGTCTGACTGCATTTGTTACTGTCAGATCTATTAACATACTTGCATGAGTTTGTGTATTACCCATCTACCCTCTTATGAGAAAACAGACTTCTTTCAAGAATCCCCAACACCTAGAACAGGGTCCAGCAAGTGGCAGGTGTTCAACAGAACCCTATTAGATAAGAGAATATAGAACTAGCTAGGCAGGTATTTGTTAGGTATACAAAGTGACTACGAGAGATGGACAAGAAGTACTTGACTGTGAGCCTGAAAAGCATGTGTTTCACCTAGGAAATCTAATAGAAATAAGTTCTAAATTAATTAGAAATGTAGCATTTATGAAAAGACATATCCATTAAAACCTTACAGTGGCAAAAAGAGACAAAATCATGTATTTCACCCCCTCACCCCATCAGAGGAATGTTTAAGCATCCTTAACAAAATGTTCGGGCCATATTAAAGCCTTTTTTTTTTTAACTGTTAACTATATAGTGATTAAAACAAAGTATATGATTCTGAGAGGTTAAAATGATGTCAAAAAACAGCTATAGACTCACACAGATTTGTCTCCATTTTGCTTTATGTTTTCACTGTTCTTCTTTCAGATCAAACTTCAGGAGTCTCCTGAAGATATGCCCGCAGGGCAGACGCCTCACACCGTCATCCTCTTTGCTCATAATGATCTTGTTGACAAGGTTCAACCTGGGGACAGAGTGAATGTTACAGGTAAGAGTGTAGGTTGTTAATGTAATAAATCTGCCTTGCATTTAATCATTTGACTTGTTTTGTTTTGTTTTTTAAGATTTATTTATTTATTTATTTAGACATGCATACAAGACTGGGTACAGTCAGAAGCACGGGAGGGTGAGAGAATTCACCAGAGCCAGAGTGGGAAACAGTACAGGCAGACCAGTGATACACTGCTGAGGGGAGCAGCGGGCGGCAGGAGAGGTCTGCACGCCATGTAGGACCCTTGCCGGTGGCCGGGAATCAAACCAGCGCTGCAGAGGCTGCGGGCAGCTTCACAGCCCAGCGCTCAACCGCTGCGCCACCGGGGAGGCCCTTATTTGACTTGTTAATGAATTCATTGACATGGGACTAATTGTACCTTTGGGTCTTGAGAAGACAGGATATAATGTTTTATCCCCCTTTGCCACCTAACGGGATAGAACCTTCCAGTATATGTATTGTCCTTGCAGTTCCTTACTTCTTGCTCTCAGTGTTCCAAAGCTGTGTATATATCCTAATTTGGTGTTGGAAATATTTTGAGTTATGCCAGAAGTTACAGGAAATACTGCTTACCAACTCTGGTATTTTAAATAATTTTCCACCTATTTCCCAAGTACACAGCTACAGGTTACAGTTTAATTATTAAAGAAAAAACTGGTTATAGCACTATTTTGATGCTAGGAGTTAGGGTCTTTTTAGAGCTAAACAAACTGAGATACAGAGACATGTAAATCTCTTTACCAAATTTTTTATGGTTGTTCTGGCTCTCAGGACTCTTCCTCTATGCCAAAAGAGTGTTCTTTCCAGCATAGGGCTGGGGACAGTACGGTACAGGTACAGGATAGGACACAGGACATGAGACTCCCTTTCTTGGAGGTGTTTATGGCAGCATTGTCCTTGTTGAGGATGTTGAGGAGTCAAGACTAACACTGTCTATGTGTTCTGTCCAGTGAGTCAGATGTCTTATCCTGTGTGCCTTCAGCTGTGACTCCACTCCAGCAGTTGTTACTAACAGACTTAAACATATGGGTAGTAATTAAAATGTGAAAGAACATGTTACCTTTAGCAAAATAGATGTATAGTTCCAGTTCTGCCACTCTAATGTTCTGAAACTGATCAAATATTTAATCCAATGTTTTAAATTTCTTAACTGCAAAGTGGAATTAATGTGATGATACATGTAAAAGTGTTTTGGAGGAGGGGGCCATGAAAAGCACTATATAAATGTAAAATAAGTATTAACAATGCTGTTCTGTGATGATAAATCACCACTGAAGATAACTAGACCACTTTTAACATAATCATAATCATCTGTCCCTAATCTATGTGGGCGTGAGGAATAGTGTGTGTAGTCTAATTACATATTTACATATAGATTGTTTTAGCATTTATTTATTTATGCATACAAGAGCTGGAGGCCAGAGGTGTGGAGGTGGTGAGAAGATTCACCAGAGAGAGTGGGAAGCAGAACAGGTAGCTCTACTGAAATACACTGCTGAGGGGAACAACAGGCAATAAAGGAGAGGCCTACGATGCCATGTGGGTTACCTTCATGGCCAGGGATTGAACTCATGCTGCAGTGGCTGCTGATAGCTTCATAGTGTTGAGACTTAACCCCTTGTGTCACCAGGGAGGACCCTGGTTTTTATGTTTTAAAAGAAATGAACTGACCTGTTAGATAAACAGAAGGGCAGGTAATCAATGGCAACATGTTGAGAAAGCTGAGGGCACATGTATGAATATTTTCCCTTCAAAAAGCAGCAGAAAACTGGGCCTCCCCGGTGGCGCAGCGGTTGAGCGCTGGGTTGCGAAGCTGCCCGCAGCCTCTGCAGCGCCGGTTCGATCCCCGGCTGCTCCCCGGCCACAGGAGGAGGGACCCACATGGTGTGCAGACCTCTCCTGCCGCCCGCTGCTCCCCTCAGCAGTGTACTTCTGTCCTTCTGCCTGCTCTGCTCCCCGCTCTGGCTCTGGTGAATTCTCTCACCCTCCCGCGCTTCTGACTGTACCCAGTGCTTGTATAAATAAATAAATAAATCTTAAAAATTTAAAAAAAAAATTTAAAAAAAAAAAAAAAAAAGCAGCAGAAAACTGAATTGTTAGAAGTTAAGGCTTCTAATTAGAAACTCAAAAAAGATAAAACATCAAACATACCACTTTGGGATTTTTTTCTTCTTGGAGAATGATGAGTTGGTGTGGTTGAAGAGTTGAGCACCTACTTCTTTTAATGTTCTTAAATTCTTCAGAAAGCATGATAGGGTCCTCTCTGGTGGCGCAGGGGTTAAAGTCACAGCACTATCAAGCTGTCACCAGCCACTGCGACATGAGTTTGATCCCCAGCCTGGGAGCTAACCCATATGGTGCTGCAGACCTCTCCTGTCTCACCCACTGTTCCCCTCAGCAGTGTGTTTCAGTAGATCCTCCTGTTCTGCTCCCCACTCTGTCTCTGGTGAATCCTCTCAACCCCCACACATCTGGCCTACACCCCAACTCTTGCATGCATGCATAAATAAATAAAATGAATCTTTTTTTAAAAAAAGCTAGCATACACTAATAAACGAATTAAGAGTTCTGAGGCTAAGAGGGTGACATAAAGGAGAAAGGTTAAGGGTTATAAAAAAATACTAAGGGTGAGTCATTGTTCCTTCACCATGTCTTTACCTTTACCTGTGATATAATGTATGAGTGATTTTTTTATTTTTTTTTTTTTTAAGATTTACTTACGCATACAAGAACTGGGGTCAGGCCAAGGTGTGGGGGGGTTGTGAAAGGATTCACCAGAGACAGAGCAGGGAACAGAGCAGGCAGATTGACTGAAATACACTGCTGAGGGGAGCAGCAGACAAGTCAGGAGAGGTCTGTTGTGCCATTTGGGTCACCTCCCTGGGCAGAATCGAACTCATGCTGCAGTGGCTGCAGATCACTTCATAGTACTGTGTCTTAACCTCTTGTGCCACCAGGGAGGCCCAGTTTTAGAATTTCCTTCTCAAGTTTTGATAAGAGATTTTGGTATTTTGTTCCAGTCAAATCTAAGCTTAAGGAAAATGGAAATACTGTTTCTTTGAACACAACCATGAACCAGTCATTGTGCTAGAAGTGGAATAATTTCAGCTAAGCCTTGGAATAATCGTATGCAATGTGGTTGCACCCAGATAGGTGTCTGAGATGGTAGAGCTAAGGAGGAAGGTAAATGGTGAACACATTTTTAGGTCTGCCTTTTTCAGAAACCTGTTTTTTGTCCCAACTTGCCCTGCCTCTGTCGGTTGAGAGGTTAAGAGTGTGCCACAGTTAGCTCTGGGAGCCATGAAGGCAGTATACTCAGATGTGCACCTGCTTCGGAGTCTGCCCTCAGCTCTCCTCAGTGCTTCCTGTTGTGCACTGCTTTACAACGCTATTGGTTGGAGGTAAAATTACATCTTATGGTATGTTCTTAGGCATCTATCGAGCTGTTCCTATTCGAGTCAATCCAAGAGTGAGTAATGTGAAGTCTGTCTACAAAACTCATATTGATGTCATTCATTATCGGAAAACGGATGCAAAACGTCTGCATGGCCTTGATGAAGAAGCAGAACAGAAACTTTTTTCAGAGAAACGTGTGGAATTACTTAAGGAACTTTCCAGGAAACCAGACATTTATGAAAGACTTGCTTCAGCCTTGGCACCAAGTATTTATGAACATGAGGATATAAAGAAGGTAACTGGGTTTGTGTTGGGTTTATAGTTCTTTGGGATCAAATGATATTAACATTTGTTCTGCTCCATACAGGATAAGACTTGTGACCTGTTTGTCAAAGCAAGATATTCACATCTTAAATTGGTTGGCTGAGGAGATACATTGTCCATTTCCTCCTCTCCACACCATACTTACATGTTTCTAAATTAAGAAAAGCTACATGGGGTCAGAATAGAGATTTACATGGTCGCCATCTGGCACAGCATAGTGTACTTATGTTTAAATAAAGCATGCACTACCACATAACATTGTTTTTTAAAATTTATTTATTTATACATACAAGAACTGAGGTACAGGCCAGAGGTGCAGGGGGGTGAGAGGATTCACCAGAGACAGAGTGGGGAGCAGAACAGGCAGACTGACTGAAATATACTGCTGAGGGGAGCGGTGGGTGAGACAGGAGAGGTTTGCTGCACCATGTGGGTATCTCCCTGTCCGGCTGGGGATCAAACTCATGCTGCAGAGGCTGCAGATAGCTTCATTGTGCTGTGCTTAACCCCTTGTGCCACCAGGTTTACCTGTAATTTCTTAACTTTAATTCTTTATTCATAGAGAAAACAGTATCACTAAAATACAAATTCAATCTCAGTTACCCTGTAGTAAACAAAATGTTTAGACATGTTTGTTTGCCTAGGGAATCTTGCTTCAGCTCTTTGGTGGAACAAGAAAGGATTTTAGTCACACGGGAAGGGGCAAATTTCGTGCTGAGATCAACATCCTCCTGTGTGGTGACCCTGGAACCAGCAAGTCCCAGCTACTGCAGTATGTGTACAACCTTGTTCCCCGGGGCCAATATACATCTGGGAAGGGCTCAAGTGCGGTTGGCCTCACTGCATATGTAATGAAAGACCCTGAAACAAGGCAGCTGGTCCTGCAGACCGGTGCCCTCGTCCTAAGTGACAATGGCATCTGCTGTATTGATGAGTTTGATAAGATGAATGAAAGTACAAGATCAGTACTGCATGAAGTCATGGAACAACAAACACTGTCCATTGCAAAGGTGAGTTAGAGTCTTCATTCTTACGTGTTGGATACATTCAAAATGTATAGACAATTGAAATAAAGTATCTGAAACTGCAGAGCATCTTAGTTCTAACTGGAAAATTGATGAATGAATATCTTTCCTGCTAAAGTTAAGCATAATCCTGAGAATTTTCTACAGGATTCGCTTCTATCTTTTTTGCTGTACAAATTCACTAATGTGTACCATTTGTAGAACTAGAACTTTTTCTAAGTCTCATTCAGGGGTTTAGTGTTTTTTGAAAGGCACTTAACGCCTTACTTGGGCCTGTCCCAAGTGAAACTTGAAGTCACCTTTACAAGAATATGTGACTCTCAGTAACTGTGATAATACAGCAGAGGGCTTGCCAAGCAAAGGCAGCTCTGCCAGTCTCAGGGTAAGGCTTCTAATTGCACTGTTTTCTTTGATAGGCTGGGATTATTTGTCAGCTCAATGCACGCACTTCTGTCCTGGCAGCAGCAAATCCTATTGAATCTCAGTGGAATCCAAAAAAAACTACCATTGAAAATATCCAGCTACCTCACACATTATTATCAAGGTATAAAACAGATGTTCTTACTTTGTTCATTCATAGAGCTTTCATCTTGAAATTGAGGAAAGACTAATACTTAACTAATAAACTCATTGCTTTATTGCAGGTTTTCAAATTTGGTTGGTATGGTGTTTCTCTACTGAGCTATGGTAGCACCTTAGCATTCATTTTCTGAAACAGGACATTTTACCTTAACAGCATTTTCAGAAACCTGTCACTCACCACTCTCAGTTTTAAACCCTCTCAGTATCGACATATTCCACAGAATTGCTTTACATGATAGATGGGGTTTATCAAGCAGTTCTTTTTTTCCCCTAGAATTAAATGTGTTTTCTTTAAAATCTTCCATTCCTCAAAATTAGAGTAACATTTCCCACCAGAGAATCTTAGGTTGACTCAGCTATATGGTGACTAGGCATTTCCCTGGGCAGACCAAGGACTAGGAGATTAAATGCCCTCTGGGGACAAAGCAAGTGAATTGATCCATGTAGAAGCTCTTCATAGGCAGAAGATGCTTCCCTCCCTTGATAGCCCTGGCTAAAAGCATGTTCACTGTACGTGCCTGGGTGTCTCAAGAATAATATTTTAATTGTGTTTACAATCATATTGGTCCCAACTAGGAAAACAGTGTTTTTATAATATGTTTTCAGATTTGATTTGATCTTCCTCATGCTGGATCCCCAGGACGAAGCCTATGACAGGCGCCTTGCTCACCACCTGGTGGCACTATACTACCAGAGTGAGGAGCAGGTGGAGGAGGAGTTCATGGACATGGCTGTGCTCAAGGACTACATTGCTTATGCCCACAGCACAGTCATGCCTCGGCTGAGTCAGGAGGCCAGCCAGGCTCTCATTGAGGTAACACACATTCACTCCTAGGTTTAAAGCCTGAAAAATATGTATTGCGGAGCCTTTAACTAAAAGCATTGATGTAACTAGCCAATCATCCTCTCTCAACAATTATTTTAAGAATAACATACTATCTTCTGTAGCTATTCTTACCCTCCTGTGTTGCAAAATTGACTTTTCCAAATGTGGAAAGGGTAAAAAGATCCATAGAGGTTGTACAAACCAGTTTATATTTAACTACTTGTAAGCTCAATGAATTTAAAATCAGAATGCCTGAGTTGAAATATGAATTATACTGCTTTGTAACTTTATGATCCTGGGCAAGTCAAGCAGTTTCTCTGAGCTTCCAGTTTCTTGTTTCTAAAAGATAAAATGAATTGTAAATATTCTGTGTTCACTTTTCAGTATCCTTTTATATGGATAGTTGTATGAAATGGCAGATATTAGTTTATTCAAGCATTATGATGCTGAGAAAGTTCCTGGATGCTTGGATAACTTTCCATCTTAACTAAGCTCCTGAAAAAGCTCAAATAAAAATTATAGATTAGGTGTAATTTTCTATGTATTATATATTCTTTAGAGTTATTTGAAAAAATAAATTGTGTCATCTACATGTAAGTATAGTACAACTTTTGTAACTGTCCCAGTAACCCTGTGCATACCACATTAAATGAATTCTTACTTAGCAGGGTATAAACCGAAGTCACTGCCTGAGTACCATTTTCTGATAGGCTCCCTGGTGAGTCCTCTTTGTGCCAGCCTCACCACCCTCTCTAATTTTCCATTCTTTGAAGCTACATTTCATACCATCTTGATGACTCAGGGCCAGATCACTACCTATATGTGCAGCCAAATAGAAGTTAATGGAATTCTAACTTCAAAGTTCAACCATGAAATTAAGATTATTGTTACTGAGGATTATTGTTGTTATTGTTACTAAGATTATTGTTCCTTTGTCCACCAGGCTTATGTAGACATGAGGAAGATAGGGAGTAGCCGAGGAATGGTTTCTGCATACCCTCGACAGCTGGAATCACTGATCCGCTTAGCAGAAGCCCATGCTAAAGTACGGTTTTCAAACAAAGTTGAAGCAATTGATGTTGAAGAGGCAAAACGCCTCCATAGGGAAGCTTTAAAGCAGTCTGCAACTGACCCCAGGACTGGCATTGTGGACATATCTATTCTTACTACAGGTTTGTTTTTGGCATTGAACTTAAGGGTGCATGAAAATTTTTTTCTTGTTTCTATATTGTAGTGGTTATCATGTTCACCTCGTGGGGATTATTTAAATGTGTGAGTCACCGATACCTTTAAGCTAACAATTAAATCATTTTAAATAGATTCTTCATGTTTTTTTGATCAGGGCACTTTTTTTCTTTTAAAGATTTATTTATCTATGCATATAAGAACTGGGGTATAGACCAGAGGTGCAGAGGGGTGAGAGGATTCACCAGAGACAGAGTGGGAGCAGAACAGGTGGATTGACTGAAATACACTACTGAGGGGAACAGTGGGCAAGACGAGAGGTCTGCTGCACCACGTGGGTCACCTTCCTGGCCGGGGATCAAACTCGTGCTGCAATAGCTGTGGATAGCTTCATAGTTGCTTGATGCTTAACCCCGTGAGCTACCAGGGAGGCCCCAGGATCAGGGCACTTTTGAAAGTTGTGAGAAAACTATACACTGACTTTTTATTTTAACTAAATTTTTAAAACAATAAAAATAGCATTACTTTTTTTTTTTTAAAGGTTTATTTATTTATTCAAGAACCAGGGTACAGGCCAGGTGTGGGGGAGGGTGAGAGGATTCACCGGAGACATAGGGGGAAACAGAACAGGCAGACTGACTGAAATGCATTGCTGGGCCTCCCCTGGTGGCACAGGCGGTTGAGCACAGCACTATGAAGCTGTCCACAGCTTTGGCAGCACCAGTTCGATCCTGGCCAGCCGGAGAGGGTCCCACATGGTGCAGCAAACCTCTCCTGTCTCACCCGCTGCTCCCCTCAGCAGTGTATTTCGTCAGTCTGCCTGTTCTGTTCCCCGCTCTGTCTCTGGTGAATCCTCTCACCCTCCCCCACGCCTGGCCTGTACCCCAGTTCTTATATAAATAAATAAATAAATCTTCTTTTAAAAAAATATGAAATAGGGCCTCCCCAGTGGCGCAGCGGTTGAGTGCTGGGTTGCGAAGCTGCCTGCAGCCTCTGCAGTGCCGGTTCGATCCCCTGCCACTGGCAAGAGTCCCGCATGGTACGGTAGTCCTCTCCCGCTGTGACCGCTGCTCCCCAGCAGTGTACTTCGGTCCTTCTGCCTGCTCTGCTCCCCGCTTTGGCTCTGGTGAATTCTCTCACCCTCCCACTCTTCTGACTGTACCCAGTGCGTGTATGTATGTATGTATGTATAAATAAATAAATAAATAAATCTTTTTTAAAAAAAATAATGAAATACACTGCTGAGGGGAGCAGCAGGTGAGACAGGAGAGGTCTGCTGTGCCATGTGGGTTACTCTGTGGCTGGAGGGGATTGAAATGGCACTGCAGAGGCTGCGGACAGCTTCATAGCGCTGTGCTCAACTGCCTGTGCCACCAGGGAGGCCCAGCATTACTTTTGGTGATAAAATAAGGTAATATTCTTGACAAAATATAGTTGATCTTTTCCCAGTAGCTTTATGGTGTAATTAAATTTTAATAATGGTGCTTATTATATGTGGACAGAATAAACTGGAGTGGTTCTTAAGGACTCATCACAAGAATTTCTGTTTTGGTTTCTATGGTACTTATACATTTTGGGTAAATACTCAAATCCCTGCTCTCTAAGTATCTTTTAAATTTCTATTGAATACCATAGACACGGTAATTCCCCTGCCTTGATAGGCATCATCTGAATCAACTAGATTGCTCCTTAGAAATTCAGTTCATGGGCTGGACTCTAGTCTCTGGGATTCGGTTTAGTAGTCTCTGTCTTAGGAATCAGCATTTTAAATAATCATCTACAATGATCAGATAACAGGGATCTCCTCACTATATATATATATTTTTTGTTTGTTTTAAAGATTTATTTATTTATGTGTAGAGATGGAGTGTAGGTCAAGAGGTACAGGGGATGAGGAGGGTGTGAGGATTCACCAGAGACAGAACAGCAGATTGACTGAAATACACTGCTGAGGGGAGCAGCGGGTGAGACAGGAGAGGTTTGCTGTGCCATGTGGTCCAGCTCCCTGGCAGGGGATTGAACTCCTGTGGCAGTGGCTGCCAGTAGCTTCATAGTGCTGAGACTTAACCCCTTGCTGCCACCAAGACGCCCCCTCACTATATTTTGATAAACACTAGAATGGTGTTTATGATACCAAAGACAATCATAATCTGAATTGATTTAACAAATAATATTCCCAAAATTTCCAAGTGGTATTTCCTAACCTTGTAAAATATACACGTAGTACCTTAACTCTGTCCTCAACAATGGCATCTTTTGTCCTGTATTCAGAAGTATTTTGAAATCCTCATCTCTCCCTATTCCAGGTTATTCCCAATTCTAAGGGGAAGCAAGGTAATTTAAGAAGGGCCTGCCTCTATAGGCAGGCAAGAAGGAGAGCTCCCTCTGCATTTTTCTATTCTTTTTTTCTGTAACTTCTGTTAAGCATATGTTGGGCTTCATTCTACTAAACCCATGTGACTTAACTTTTTAAAAGTATTTTCCATCAGTTTATTGCATTCCAGGTAATCTCTTCTGTTCTAATTCCAATATTCCAGTTCTCTGATTCTCTTTCCAGCTATATCTAATCTAATTTTATGGCTGTTTCATATCTAGAAATGATTTTTGTTTCCTTTTTTCATGGTCCTTATTATATTCTTGTTTAGCCTTGAATAATTTGAGGACTTTATGCATCTTTGATATTATTCTTTTCATGAGATGCTCCAATTTTTTCTTGCATTAGAAATTGTTCTGTTATCGAGACATTCTGCAGGGGAGGAGGAGGTAGAAGGATAAAAACAGGTGGGAAGAGCACAGGGGACTATGGTAATGGGTCACGGGTGAATTGATAGTGGGAATTCAGTGGGGACTACACCCGAGAGGAGAAAGCATACATTGTACAAAAATGAAGAATGATGTAAAATATATGTAAAATCAAAAAAAAAAGAAAAATTGTTACATGTGGTAAACTATTCATCTTATACTTTGTTTCTTTTGACGTTTTCTTATCTTGCATAATATTCATGTGTATGTTTGTATTTTTGTGTTAGGACTTGATCTATAGTAGTGAGTATTCTTTCCCTGTAGGAGTTTCATGCAACCTGGACATAAGACTGCTGTCTCCTTTCTCTTTTATCTCCCAGGATTCCTTATTTTATTTCAAAATGGTGACTAGGTCTGACTTAGATCCAAGGAAACCAGGTTTCCATTGTTCTTCAACATCCTATCAGTTTACAAATTCCATTGAACCTCAACCAGATATTCCTACTCCTGGGAGAATTCTGTGGCCATATCCCTAAATGTCAGTAGTCACACCATGCCTAACCTATCAGCAAGCTGGGCTCTTCTGCATAATCCATGCTGACAGCTCCTGGCAGAGACCTACACTAACTTCTGAGAGAAATATACACTAGCATGCATGCAAATGCACACCCAAAGTTCTGTCTAACATAAAAGGGATTCTTGCTTCTCTTCTGCCCATGTACCCATGTTAGCCCTTTTTAAATAACTCATTTCTTAAAGCAATGATTGATCAGTCTATAAATTATATAGATCATGTTTCAGGGGACTGTAACAGTTATTACGTGCAGAAATTTGGAAATAGCAAAGAAATCAAAACTTACTATGCTTTTGAGCAATTTTGGCATTCAATCACTGTCCCCTATCCTCTTTTGGCAACACTGCTAGACATTTGAATGTTTCACTTCCTTATAGCACAAGTTATTTTAATTTCTTTTAAATTCAGGACTGAGTGCCACCTCTCGTAAACGGAAAGAAGAGTTAGCAGAAGCATTGAAAAAACTTATTTTATCTAAGGGCAAAACACCAGCTCTTAAATACCAGCAACTTTTTGAAGATATTCGGGGACAGTCTGACATAGTAAGTATTTATGTTTTTTTGTTTGTTGAGTAGCTTTTGCCTAAAATAAAATTTGAGCTTTTAAAATTTTTTCCTTCATTGTTTAATAAATGTATTAAGGGTAAAGAGGTAACATGAACCAATCATCAAAAAATAATCACAAAATTTGTTACACTATTACAGTTTTTCTGTATGTATATGCACACATGTGTTTGTTTTGTTTTGGAAAATGCACCTAGACAATTACAGTTATACTGTTTTGTAACTTGGTGGCTTTTGTTTTTTCTTTTTAATTAACAATTACTGTTAACATTTTCTGTGATGGTTGCATCAAAATAGGTGGGTATCATTCCATTGCTTCCATATTCAATCACTTATTTTATCGGTTGTCAGCCATTTAGGATCTTGGGTTTTTGGGAGGGTTTTTTTTTTTTTTTTTTTTTTTAAGATTGATTTTATTTATGCAAACAAGAATTGGGGTATAGGCCAGGGGTACATGGGGTGAGAGGATTCACCAGAGACAGAGTGGGGAACAGAACAGGCAGATTGACTGAAATATACTGCTAAGGGGAACAGCAGGTGAGTCAGGAGAGGTCTGCTGCTCCATGTGGGTAGCTCCCTGGCCAGGTATCAAACTTGTGCTGCAGTGGTTGCCGATAGCTTCATAGGTTGTGTCTTAATCCCTTGCGCCACCAGGGAGGCCCGGATCTTGGGTTTTTTGCTTCTATAGTGTTAGGATCACACATCTTATGGCGATCGTATTTACTACTATATTTGTTTTGGGAATAAAAGACTGGTATCATTTTGTGAATAAGTTATGTTAAATTATTAAGTGAAAAGAACCCCATTGGCCAAGTCCATGCTTTTGCCTGCTTTCAGTCCTACCCTTACTTCCCATCCACAGCTCCAATTCCACAAGGGTAGCAGAGTGGAGTAGTTGGGGAGACCATGCAGATGCCAAGCTCATGATACTTACCATCTAGCCCTTTACAGGAAATGTTTACCGCCACCTGAATTAGCACCTTAGAAATGTATGCAACCACTAAAAGGAAAGAGACTGGTGGTTCTTTACAAGTGAAATTATTGTGACTCCAGCAGCTAAGGGAAGACCTCACATCTAACATGTTTGCTTTCCTATTTTTCCTCAAAGGCAATTACCAAAGATATGTTTGAAGAAGCACTGCGTGCCTTGGCTGATGATGACTTCCTGACAGTAACTGGGAAAACTGTTCGCTTGCTCTGAAGCTCTGTGAGGATTACCATGTGTTCTGTCCTGACAAGGGCATGGCATTTGCTCATATGTGTGGCATCAGACTGGTCAGCTGCTATTGCTGGTATTATTGTTGGACATTGATTTTTAGCATCATTATTTGGTTCCATAGAGATTTTCTAACTTGAGTTCAGTTTTCGTAGTAAAATGTTTTCATTTTTTTAATAACATTTTAAGGATAATATGCCAATTCAATTTGTAAGCATACAGAATAATGATAATTTTCTATATACTATTTCCTTAACACCATGACTTTTAATCTGTATGTATTTACAGATAGCAGGATGTACTTTTAGAAGATGGCAGTTTGAGTTGTGGTTTTTTATGCTAGGCAATCATCCTTGTGTTAGAGTCTTTTGCAAGTGAGGTAAAAGACTTAATGAGGGCATTTCATTGGCTATGAAGTAGTGAAGGAATACTCTTTCTGCCTGCTACAACTCTCAGGTGTAATTGCTTCTAAGGATCTTTCTCATAGCTACTATGTGATCTAAAATGGAAGTGATTAGGCTCTAAGTAATTATCCTAATATGTAAAACTTTCCTAATAAATAATAGAGTAAATAATACTTGCTTATTTGGCATTTTTCATTAAGAGAAGAACTTTAATAATAAACACTGTATTCATGGAAAGTCATGACAGTAAGTACCTTATACATCATAAAAGAAAGTCATGATTGGCCTCCCTGGTGGCACAGCGTTTGAGCGCTGGGTCGCTGGGTTGCAAAGCTGCCCGCAGCCTCTACAGTGCCGGTTTGATCCCCGGCTGCTCCCTGGCCACCGGAGGAGGATCCCACATGGCGCACAGACCTCTCCTGCCACCTGCCGCTCCCCTCAGCAGTGTACTTCGGTCCTTCTGCCTGCTCTGCTCCCCTCTCTGGCTCTGGGGAATTCTCTCACCCTCCCGCGCTTCTGACTACCCAGTGCTTGTATAAATAAATTAAAAAATCTTTAAAAAAAAAGTCATAATGAATTTCATTTTATTCAAAAATTATTTCAATCCTAGGGTTATTATAAAACCACCATAAGGCTGAGATCATACATGGAAATACTACTATAATAAAAAATTTCTGAAGAATTTAAGTCATTTTATGAGTTAGACCTTTTTTAAAATAATTTAGAATCAATATTCATTAATAAAGTATACATAAAAAATGATAGATCTAATTCATTGTTTAGATAAATGTTAACATTAGTATGATATTTAGAGATCATCTAACCAAATGTTTTCATTTCATGGATCATTTTTATCTGTTCAGGCCTACCAGATGTGCAAAACACTAATGTTTTGAATTAAACAGTGGTTAGGTTAGGGTGTTGACAGAGAATGCAGGGCAGACTGCCACCTAATGGCTTTGCTAATCAGGTTTTTTTGGTGAAGGAGATTCAGTTACATGTAATCCTCTCAACCACGCTGAAGGATCAGTACTTTCCATTTTTCCCATGAAGGACTACCCAAAGCAAGAAAAGGTGAAGCGATGATTAAAAGTTTAGGCTTCAGACTTTAGAACTGAATTTAACTGTACTATCCACTGGCTATATATAACCCAGATATTCTGCTCAACTTTTCAACATACTGCTTAAGCTTCCAGAGTAATTCAGAGAGGCTTTCCTAGTGGTTGTCATATGGTAGGCACTTTTTAAATGTTCCTTTGAAAAGTCTGGATCTGATAAACTGTTCTTGTGATCACTCTGATTTTAGCCTGGAAATATGTTTTATGTCCAGATCTAGAATTAAGATAACTTGCCCTTGAGTTTTTTTTGCCTTTGCCACTGCCAAAGTGTAAATAATACACACTTTGTCACTATGGACATTACACATGTAGAGTTGTATGAGGCAAAGTTAAAGTGATTGGAAAATCTGTCCTGTGGCCACAAGAAGAAATTGTTTCCTAATTTTTCTTTTTTTTTAAATGTGTACACCTTCAAGGTTTTTATTGTGTTTTTTTTAAGTTTTATCCTTACTGGGATAAAATTTGTGCATTCTCCACTACTAGTCTCAAGTCATAATAAAAACATACTTCTTTTAAAAAAGGGAACTCAAGACAAAATAATCAAATACCGAGTACCTTCTTCCAGTCTCCTATCAAGAATTTGAAGACCTCTGAAAAACAATGTGAATGGAAATAATGGTTTTGAGACCTAAATTTATCATAATTTGGGGGAAGTTTCTTTTTTTCCCCAGTCACAACTACATAATAAAATTAATCTGAAGCACTCAAAATAAAAATCTATAAGAACCACCTGTAGATGCTATTAAAAAATTGTATGAGACACACACTTCTAAAATTGTACAAATGTGAATTTAAAAAAAAGATTTAAAAAATGGGCCTCCCCTGAGGGCGCAGCGGTTGAGCACTGGGCTGCAAAGCTGCCTGCAGCCTCTGCAGCTCTGGTTCGATCCCCTGCCGCTGGCGAGGGTCCCACATGGTGTGACAGACCTCTTCTGCTGTGCCTACTGCTCCCCTCAGTGGTGTGTTTTGTCAGTCTGCCTGTTCTGTTCCCCGCTCTGGCTCTGGGGATTCTCTCACCCTCCCACGCTTCTGACTGTACCCAGTGCTTGTATAAATAAATTAATACAAAAAAAAATTGTAAAAAAAATTTTTTTTAGGGCCTCCCCGGTGGCGCAGCGGTTGAGCGCTGGGTTGCGAAGCTGCCGGCGACCTCTGCGGCGCAGCGGTTCGATCCCCAGCTGCTCCCCGGCCACCGGAGGAGGGTCCCACATGGCGCGCAGACCTCTCCTGCCGCCCGCTGCTCCCCTCAGCAGTGTACTTCGGTCCTTCTGCCTGCTCTGCTCCCCGCTCTGGTTCTGGGGAATTCTCTCACCCTCCCGCGCTTCTGACTGTACCCAGTGCATGTACAAACCAAACAAAAACAAACAAATAAATAAAAAAGACATGCCTCTAGAAAATTAAAAAAAAAAAAAAAAAAAATTAAAAAAAATTTTTTTAAAGTTATTTAAAAATAACCTTGGTTAATCCCATACCACATAATATCAGAAGATGATTTAAGCTGCAATCATGGATTTTGAAAAAGTATACATATAACCTCATCTATAAAAACAGTACTGCCCAAACATCAAACTAAAAGTTATTCAAAGTGACACAAATGTTCTAAATCTCAAGGAAATTTAAAAATACTTATTATCGGGCCTCTTTGGTGGCGCGGCGGTTGAGCGCTGCTGGGCTGCGAACCTGCCTGCAGCCTCTGCAGTGCCGGTTCAATCCTAGGCCTCCAGCGAGGGTCCCACATGACGCACAGACATCTCCTGCCGTACCCACTGCTCCCCTCAACAGTGTACCTCGGTCCTTCTGCCTCTTCTCTTTCTGGCTCTGATGAATTCTCTCATTCTCCCGCACTTCTGAGTGTACTCAGTGCTTGTATAAATAAATAAACAAATCTTTTAAAAAAAAAATAACTTATCTGTATACAACAGAGTAAAACTGATCTGATTGTGTTACTTAGAAATTTGTTCTGGAAAACTGTTAATAACTTACTGGTGGAGGGCCTCCCCAGTGGCGCAGCGGTTGAGCGCTGGGTTGCGGAGCTGCCCGCAGCCTCTGCAGCGCCGGTTTGATCCCCAGCCACCAGGAGAGGGTCCCACATGGCGCGCAGACCTCTCCTGCCGCCCGCTGCTCCCCTCAGCAGTGTACTTTGTCACTCTGCCTGCTCTACTCTCCGCTCTGGCTCTGGTGAGTTCTCTCACCCTCCCGTGCCTCTGACTGTACCCAGTGCTTGTATAAATAAATAAATAAATAAATCTTTAAAAAAAAAAAAAAATAACTTACTGGTGGAAATTTTTAATATCCATTATTACTGCCAACTGAAACAGACTAAATCATTTCAGTAAATGAATAATGAGTAAACTGACAAGCTACAGGTTAGACATCACTTACTACAACCAAACATGACTCTGAAAATAACAGGAGTAGTGACACAGTGTCTCAGGTTCAGGTGTGTCCTTAATTTCGCACTATTAAGGCATTAGGCCAACCTACCTGTGAGACAATTTTATCATTATACACAGACAACATGTCTTTTTTTATCCTATTTCTATAAAGTTTGTAGCACTAGTCTGTAACAGAGAGTAACGAGATGGTTTTTGCAGTACATGAAGCAAGAGTGAAACTGTTCCAAAAGAAACCAGTTATCTGTCTTTCAATCCAAGCTTCTCAATTCCTGAAGAGGAGCCAACCAACTCACGCCTATCAATCAGATTAAACTCCTGAACAAAAAAAAATATAGTGCTTACATAAGGAGGTGTTGAAGTGGGCCTCCTCTTGAAGCTGCATCACCGAATCAAAGTGCTGATGATAAATATGGGCATACACTCTTAAGAAATGTTTTAGAATGGTCTTTGCCACAGACATAAAGGTTTGGGGAAAAGGGACACCAATCTTAGATGGAAAAGTTTCATCATCAAGTTGATCCTGAACCCAAGTCATCAAATAGTCAATGTATTTTGGTGCAGAACATTTGATTGGCTTTTTAATATTAGTACCATCTGCCCAATGATACTCATACCTTGGACCTGCAGACAGACTGAACAGCTTGCTTCAAGGCAGAATTCTGTCTTAGTTCCATATAACATGTTCATCTGGTTGAAAAAATTCAGTGTTAACAGCAATCCATTCATTGAGGTCCTCTCCCCTGGCAACATAACAGCCTATCTCAGATTCCACTTCCTAAAGTCGCTTCCAAATGTTTCAAGAGTTCATACTGATGAGACCCTTCAGGGATGTTCTGTGGTTTGAATGTTTTAGAAGAGCAGCTGCTGAAGAGGAAGCTCATCATCTATCCTTGGAGGGGAGGGGGTGCTGCTGACCCCCCCCACCCCAGCCGGGTCTCCCTTAATTTTTCCATTGCATACCGAGTTAGATCACAAACAAAAAGAGTCCATTCTTTTATAATTGTAAGCATGTAATTTTAAAACATTGCAGCTAGTAGGGAACTGGAAATCAAAGAGTATTAAGTTTTACAGCCAAATTCTTTATACAGTTCTGTATAGTTATAAAATTGATGCAAGAAATAATAAGTTCTTGCTCCAAATTAAATTCTTATCTGCAGTAATGACTAGTACAATGGAAGCTATCTTTAGATTTGAAATTAATGGATGTGTACAATGCTTGTTGACTATAATGTTTTCCCCTGAAGTCTTATACACTTGTAGTGTTTTCCTAAACCTGGTAATTCATACCAAGATGGAAGTATAACAACTGCACTCGAAGTATATGTATAGTTTTATTTTAATGGAATTTTAATTAAGCAAAAAGAATGTGGCTATCTTGTTGCTGACAGTTTCCACCTCAGTGACTGAATTTACTTAGCTTGGTGAATTTCCTGCTTAAGTCTGTGACTTGCCCAATGATCTGTAGGTCTCTGCAAGTGTAGATGATCCTATTTCTTGTAGTGTCTAGCGAAAGATACTTGTTATATATTTGTAGAGAAAACTGACTCCCATGAAGGGAGAGGCCATAAAATTTATCAGAGCACATTAGTAAAATATGCAGTCTCATAGTATGAAATGGGGCAATAAATGTGTTCAAAATAGAGCTCTGTTCAAATGTGTTCTGTTGAAATGTGTTCAAAATAGAGCTCTGTTCCCTAAATTCTGATAGATGCTCCCGTAAATGATGTACCTCTTTGCTGTTGGAGATCACCACACCCCTCAGGAGTATCAGAAAAGATCAGAACCCCCTACCTTGAGCTGAAGAGCATCTACCCCATTTATGTAAGATGGTTTATGATGTGATTTGAGAGAACAGGTGTGACTGCTCAGTCTTTAACCCTGGTTCACCACTTCCAACATGCAATGCTAAGGACACTGTACATGTGTGCCCAATAAATACTATGCTGTGAACAAAGTAAGAATGTGAATCTTTATTACTAAGGCACTACAATTTCAGCTTAATTCCTATAAAGAGAGAGTTTTCAAGCATTACAATATAA